ATACCAACAACAGGAGCCGCTCCCTTGTGTACAAACTCCCATTGACCTTGCATTGTGTAAGTATTGGTTATGCTTCACGCACTTGGGGATGTACTCACCGGGCAACTTGTTACCCGCCAGACGGAATGCGTCCTTTGCAACAGCCTCGTGAAGCATTCCTCTGATTTCGAAAACGATCTGGTTGACAGCAACACGAGCCGCCCAATGATCGAAAGAACCCTTTCCCTTACCCATACGCATCTGGTCCGAGAATCAGCACCTCACTATCGCCTATAATTCCCGATCATCCGCCTTACCTCGTTACCCGACACATAGACACCGACGTTGCAGCACACTCTCTTGTACATCCGGTACTTTTGGCCACGTAGTCTCATCTTAATCGTATCTTCGGCGTTCTTGAGCTGCTTCGCGCTGATTCTTCGGTGATGGTCCTTCATCCTGAGGCCGTAGTCGCCCCAGATGACAGTTGTGCCCTTGGTCGATCCTCCCGTAGCCACACGAGGGCGTCCTTTCATCATCTTCTTTGTTCGGTCGATCGAGGGTTCGAGCCAATTGCCCTGCGCTGCAGGTGTTGTGGAAAATGGGCGAGCATCGCGGAGGATCTGGGATGCGACCAGCGGCTTCGTCAATTGAGGTCGGATCGCGGCCCTGAGGGGGCTAGCTGACGGCGTCGCAGATATTTTAAGGCCTTGAAAGGCGCTGAAAAGCGCCGTGGGAGCGGTGGGCCTCATTCTTGCGACTTGCCGATGAACGTCGTTGATGATGGGATCTCCAAGAAAATATCCCTAGCTTCACGAGAGCTTGGGTGTGGCTCATATGGCCTGAGATATTGGGCGATAATTTTGCTGAGGCTGCCTTGAGCTGCTGCGCCACAGGCACTCTAAAGTGCTGACCGGGGTCACAGACCTCGCGTCACTTTCGCGTAGCAACTGGAAATCCATTACGTGCACGCTTCTAGACGCCAGGCACGGCGACCTCGATTGGCTTCTTCGTCTGTCAACCTCCAACCTTCCCTCCAGGCAACAGCAGCCCAACTTTCGATTTAACCTTCCGTTGCTCTCTGCGACTGCTCAACGGAAGATAAATCACTGCACAAAAACACAATGCCTGATATTAGGTCATTCTTTGGGCCTAAGGGAGGCGGTCCCCCGAGGCCACCGCCGAAGAAGGTCGAGGAGCCCCCGAAGACCCGGAGGAACAGGAAGGTCATCGAGGACAGCGACGACGATGCCGAGCCTGCCCCTGCGCCGTTAGTCTATTTCACAGACTTGCAGTTGAAAAAATAGCTAACTTTTCCTAGAAAGCCGGCTGCGAAAGCTGCTGTCAAGCAGAAAGCCAAGTACGCGAATCGAATTCCCCTCTCCATCGATCGCTTCTAATTCCACAGCAGAGACGAAGCTCCGAAGGGAACTGAGACCACGGCCAGTGATTACTTCGCGTCATCCAAATCTTCGAAGGCGGCTAAGCCTACACCCGCCGCCAAGCCAGACCAAGCAACCAAAGTGAAGACCGAAGTAGAGATCAGGACCAGCCCACGCACCAAGAAGACTACTGCCAAACCTGTACAAGAATCGCCCAAGAGACGGGCCGCTAGGACATACACGAAAATCGAGTCCGACGACGATGCCGATGCATACAAGGACGAAGATGACAAGGATGACGATGATATTTTTGCTGCTGATGTAAAGGGTCGCAACAAGCGAAAGACTGACGACTATGCGGAGGACGATAGCGACGAGGACATCAAACCGAAAGCGAAGCGTGTAGCCTCTCGAAGTGCTCCTAATGGTACTCCAAACAAGACTACGAAGGCAGCAGCTGGTACAAAGAGGCGCAAAACTCCTGACGAAGACGAGGGGGAAGAGGAGGAAGAGCAGCCGCCAAAGAAGAAGGCCCCCGCTAAGCCACGCGCTCCCAGGGCTAAGAAGGCCGACGAACCCGAAGACTCGGCTTACCAGTCGATCCTTGACAATATTCCCACCGTCCGCCCTCCGACGCCTCCTGCCCAGGACCCGAATGCACCCAAGTTTGACTGGAGGAAGAATGCTGGTGGTGGAGGAAACAGCGCGGCTGTACCTGCCAATGCAGGTGCTGCGGAACTGCCTGAAGGCGAGGATGAATGTCTTTCTGGACTGACATTTGTCTTCACTGGTGTTCTTCAGACAATTGGCCGCGAGGAAGGCCAGGCGTTGGTCAAAAAGTACGGAGGAAAAATCACTGGAGCACCAAGCAGCAAGACGAGCTATGTTGTTCTGGGAGACGACGCGGGACCCAGCAAGCTGAAGAAAATCAGAGACATGAACATCAAAACCATCAACGAGGAGGGTCTCTTCGAACTCATCAGGAAACTGCCTGCTTATGGCGGCTCCGGCAAGGGTGCGGAGAAGGCGCGCGAAAAGAAGAAGAAGGACGAAGAGGCTATCAAGATCCAGGCATTGGAGATGGAGAGGGAGGAGAAGGCCCGGAAGGCTACAGCAGAAAAAGCAGCCAAGCAAGCAGCAACCGCTCGCGGGACCACAGCCGCCCCTACTCCGACAGCAGCCCCCGTGCAGCTGTGGACATCAAAGTATGCCCCGACGGCACTCAATCACATCTGCGGCAACAAGGCACAGGTCGAAAAGATCCAGGCTTGGTTGAGGAACTGGCAAAAGGCACGCAAGTACGACTTTCAGAGACGTGGTGCAGACGGTATGGGTGGCACGCGAGCTATCATTATCTCTGGCCCGCCAGGCATCGGCAAGACGACTGCGGCGCACTTGGCTGCCAAACTCGAGGGCTTCGATGTCATCGAGAGCAACGCTAGTGACACACGCAGCAAGAAATTGGTCGAGAATGGTGTCGCTGATATCATGAACAACACATCGCTACTCGGCTTCTTTGCCGGAGACGGCAAGAAGGTCGACGGAGAAAAGAAGAACATTGTCTTGATTATGGACGAAGTTGACGGAATGTCCGCAGGTGACCGCGGTGGTGTCGGAGCTCTGGCCAAGTTCTGCAAGAAGACTGAGATTCCCCTCATTCTCATTTGCAACGAGCGGAAACTACCAAAGATGAAGCCGTTCGACTTCGTCGCTATGGATGTTCCCTTCAGGCGCCCGACGGTTGAGCAGGTCCGGTCACGTATTATGACAATCTGCCATCGCGAAGGGCTCAAACTTCCTGTGCCTGTCGTCGATGCCCTCATCGAAGGCAGCAACAAGGATATTCGGCAAATCATCAACATGATCTCCACCGCCAAACTCGATCAAGCATCAATGAGCTACGACAAGGGCAAGGCAATGACCAAGGCATGGGAGAAACACGTCGTTCTCAAACCTTGGGATATTTGCCAGAAGATGCTCGCTGGTGGGCTGTTCGCTCCTGCCAGTAAAACCACTTTGAACGAAAAGATCGAGCTCTACTTCAATGACCACGAATTCAGCTACCTGATGATCCAGGAGAACTACCTGCGCTCAAAGCCCATGTCACTCAACAACAGAGGTTACAACAAGAGGGAGGAGAACCTGAAGTACCTCGAATTGGTGGACCAGGCGGCGGAAAGCATCAGCGATGGTGACTTGGTTGATCGAATGATTCACGGACCTCAACAGCAATGGAGTCTTATGCCTACTCATGCAGTGTTCAGCACAGTTAGGCCATCGAGCTTTGTTGCTGGCCAGCTCATGGGCTCCAACTTCACCTCTTGGCTTGGCAATAACAGCAAGACTGGCAAACTCGGTCGTTTTGTCCGCGAGCTGCACTCGCACATGCGGCTGAGGTCCTCTGGCGACGCTAATGAGGTTCGCCAGCAATATCTGCCTGTCTTGTGGGATCAGATGATCCGTCGTTTGTCCGTCGAAGGCAAGGAATCTGTCGACGAGATTATCGAGCTGATGGACAGCTACTACTTGACACGAGACGATTTTGATGCCATTCAGGAGCTCGGTGTTGGTCCACAAGCTGAAGGCCGGGTTGATATCGAATCCAAGACAAAGGCAGCATTCACGCGAACGTAAGTACTCATTCTTCTCGATGTCCATACTTAGTGCTAATAACATTCCAGCTACAACGCAATGTCTCATCCTATCCCCTTCTTGAAGGCCAGCAACATCATGGAGCCCAAGAAGGTTGCGAAGGAGGCTCCGGACCTTGAGGAAGCTATCGAAGAGGACGATGATGCCGATGTTGCGGAACCTGCTGATGCGGGTGAGGAGGACGAGGACAAAATTGACTTGAAGAAGGACAAGTTGATCAAAGCGCCCAAACGGAAGGCTAAGACAGCGACGAAGAAGGCTAAAGCAGCCGATGAGGATGACGACGAAGAGGCAAATGCCAAGCCGAAGGGTAGGCCCAAGGCCAAGGCAACGACTGCCAAGGGGAAGAGCAAGAAGTAATGGTTAAATGGTCAATAGACTATGCTAGGAGGGACGTCTTTCTTGGGGAGGGCACGCCAATGTTCACTGGGTTTGAGTGAAGCAATCCCGACTTCGGCATAGCATGGCTAGGATTATGAGATTTGAAACAGGAATTCCTGCTTTTCTTTGAACACCTCTTCTCGATGGTTAGAAATCGTATGAAGCTGTATAACAATCAAAACATGATTTGAGAGGTGTAAAATACTGCGAGCGACAATGCATGTGAAAGTTCATGTGTGAAGAAGCAAGTTTGAGAATGATAGCCATAGCTTGACTTCTCCCAGATAGGTAACTGCCAGTACTTTGATGGACGAAGTTTTTGTGCACGCCCATCATTGCCAGTGAATCCCGAAGGAAAGCTTCCTGCCAAAATAGGTTGTTCTTGGGCTTTTGCCAGAAATCTCAAACACAAACATCACCATCTGCACAAAGGGTAGTGTCAACTACACACAAGACTTGAAAGGCACCCAAACAAGCTCGAAAATCCTTCATTATTCAACCACCCGAGTTCAAAGTAAGTTAATCTTGGTGGCCCCGAGTTCTTACTTCGCCTTCCAATTGTACAAAGTTAATCCAAGTCGTTCGTCGCGCAGTCCACCATATCCAATGATCCCGATCACTTACAACGCTTACATTCCACCGACCGCCCATGAAGCCACACACTCGGAAACCCGCTTAGTCGTCAACACGGCTTCAATCTCCGTGATGATGGACGAGAAAGACCAAGGAGAGCTTCGCTCGAAGAAGACGTTTCAAGCTGCCGCAAAGGCTTGGAAGGGTGAGTATTTCCCATAGCCCTAGACGATTCCCCTTCTCGATCTCACGATCTCTCACCTAAATCACCTTTACCTCATCCATTTTCTGATCCTTCCTCTTCATTATTCCCATCGATTCCTACCGAGTTTCATCCATCTTTCAAGCTCGAGTTTGAGACGTGTGTTTCTTCGGAAATACTCGAAAACACTTGCTTACCCTTCCTTTCTACCCTCGATTCGGATCCTTGTTGCCATCAATCATTTCATCGCTTGACAGCTGCTCATTTTTTCATCACAGGTCTGGTGTTGAAGGCATCCTCTTCACTCAAAAGATCCAAGAGTCTCAGTACTCTCAAGCGTCTGTCGAGCATGTCTTCTCGACGTGACCGTGGCAAGCACTCGCGCTCCAAGTCTGGTAAGTCATCCAACTGTTCGTGATTTTTTTTGGGATACTTTCATCGTAAGCAAGAACGGTATTTCTGACGAAAAGTAAATAGCGAACAACATCGACACAGCGGGTGATCTCAACGACCACAATCCCCATCGCCTTTCGATCATCGAAGAGGCGTCTCGCGAGTCGTCCCGCGAAGTTCACCTTGCCAACATGTACGACGAGCAGGGCTTCCTCAGCGAGGACCACGAGGACGTCTACAATCTCAACGAGTTTGGGATGATGAACTCCAACGTCGGACCCCATGGCCAGGAGAATGTAGCCTTTACCCATGACACGCTCTTATACGGCAATTGGGAGCAAGACAATAACTTGCGCGAGTTCAACCGTTCTTCGAGTAAGTTGTCGAATCGCTGCCTTCTCATTTCTGCCTCTGATCTCTTGAAACAGGCCCGGATACCGTCGTTTTTGACCATGCCCGATATGCTGGTGTCAACCTCTGGGAGGTGAGCATCAGCACCGATTCGGAGTCGTACTCGCGTTCGGTCCATGAAGGTATCAAGTGCTCCGCGTCGTTTTGCTGCTTCCACTCGGTCCTTAGACAGCACATTCTGGTTTCAATGAATACCTTTCTGTTCCACTGACTCCACCTGCTCCCTGCCGGGGCTGCGTAGAGTCGTAGCTAACCGACTTATCTTAGTGCCGGATCCCAGCATCCAGATCGAGGGATTCCCCACGACCAAGGACTGGTCCATCTTCCAGAGCAACCTGGTCGATTACGGTTTCGATGGGCCTGGCCCTCAGATCCCTGGCTGCTCCGCCGGCCACCCTTACGCGAAAGAGTGGAAGATGACAGACTCCATGATGAAGGCCTACGATGCTGTCCGCGGCTCCATGAGGGATGCGAGCGACCCGCTGCGATCTTGGATGGAGGTGAAGGCTTTCGAGTCTGCTCTTAGAGCTAAGAGAGACGGTGCCAAAGTTGCGGTTGACGGCCCGTCTTGCCAGCATGATGAGAAGCCCGACGTCAAGGGAAAAGGAAAAGCTGTTGATGGTGGTGCTTTTACTCACAGCCAGCCTTGTGAGATGCCCGAGCGTAAGGGAAAGGAAAGGGCTGTCGACGGTGGCGGCTTTGCGCGCGGCGAGTCCCAGACGTGAGTCACTATCCGAGGAAGGACCTTCTTACTTGTCACCCTCCTAAACACAGTTCTTCTAGAGCTTCCAAGACGCAGTCATCTCTTGTCAAGGGAACCGAGACTCCAGGCTTGAACACTGAGCTGGAGCGAGAGACGGATGACTATGTCAAGTGAGTTTTCATGTGGCGGGTTGTTCAATTCGTGCGCATGACTGACTGTATCTAGGATGCTCGACGACACTCATTTGCTATCTCAAGAGTACGCCCCGGATACGGCGGACAGGAAGGCAGCCTACAATGTCCCTCGCCCCAACTATCTCCACGTCGTGCCCGATTTTGAGGGCTTCAGATTCGAGGATTACCTCCCTCCGATTGCCGAGGTCTCTGGGCCCTCTTTCAAGGGGCTGCTCCCCTACAAGCTGCCCTACGATCCGGCCCGCAACTTTGGTAAGTCAGGCCCAGGTCCTTCTTTGCGCCGATACTGACCCATAGTAGTCAAGGACTACGGTATCTCGGACGACGAGGGTGATCCCGCGTCTGGAAGAATTTCTCCTTGTACTTTCCGCCTTCTTGCCGAGGGCTGTGCCGAGCAGAACACTGACGGCAAAATATTCCCGGCGGAGGATGTAAGTTGTACAACATCGCCTTTCCGAGCAACCCCATGCTGAACAAATCCTAGGCTCGGCGTATGCGTCCCGCGACTGCCATGGACGATGGCCCTCCTAAAGTGAAAGTCCCTGACCGTCTCAGAATGGAGTTCGAGACCCAGAGAGACATCAACGACAATGGCTATCTCACGCCCTGCTACTCTCTTGATTCCGAGCCTTCCATCCTCTACCTGCCTGCTGGTAAGTACCACTACAAAGATCCCCTCAAAGTCCAAAACCATTAAATCTGGCATAGGTGTGACCTTGCAGCACAAGATGCGCAACTGGTGGTTCGGCCTCTTCGACCGCATGAACCCCGAAGTCGGACGTAACTTCCGCAAGATCGAGTATCACGAACAGGGCGACCCTCCAATTGCGCCCCCCGCGCCCGTCACTGATGATTCTACGACCAATACTGAGCCCGGCACCATCTATGCCGAGCACTACACCCACTCCGAGGTCGAAGAGATCCTCAAGACTCCCGGTGCCCGCAAGGTCGCCGGCGTCGAGGCGGCGAGCGCGGCTAACCTCATCACGCAGCGCCAGAAGACCATCCTCCGCTGGAAAACCCGGGACGAGGAAGTCACTCGCGAGAACGCCGTCCTGCGCGACGACGTCGGCCGGGCCCAGAAGGAGCTTCGCGAGATGCGCCTGTCTGTCGACCACGTGTTGGCGCAGAGGGCCGCCAAGGAGCGCGCCGACCGGGAGCGTGCCGCGCGGGAGCTCAGAGAAGCTTGGGAGCGCAAGGCCGCCTGGGAGAAGGCTGAAAAAGAGAGAAAAGCCGCGCGGGAGCTCGCCGAGAAGGAGCGCAAGGCTGCCGAAGAGCGTGCGGAGCGAGAGCGCAAAGCTGCCGAGGAGCGCGCAGAGCAGGAGAGAAAGGCTGCCGAGGAGCTCGCCAAGCGCCTGAAGCACGAGAAGCGTGTGCTGCGCCGTGTGTCTGCGCACTTGCACGACTTGCGGTACGAGGTTCAGGCCAAGTTCCACTCCCTCAAGGACGCCGAGGAGGAGAATGAGAAGATGAAGAGTGAGCTGGTTCGGGTCAAGACCCGTATCAAGGACGAGTGCTCGAGAGCCAACTTGGCGAATCCCGAGGAGGTTCGCCGGGCTGTCTCGCAGAACTTCCGGGACAAGATGGCGGCTTTGGACCTTACTGGTTGATCTTGAGGTAACCGTCTAGTGAGGAATGTTCTCCAGCACAGTCAGCTGTGCTCGTGGCATTCTCGCTTTTATCCTGCTGCGTTTGGTATGGTTCTTCGGTGAACTGTTGCTGATAGGTAAGTTCTGGGATTTGAATCATGATCAGTTCGTCTGGCTTACGACAACACTAGGACAAACCCCGAGAAGGGAAGACGATCGACAGGGCAGAACATCACGCATCTCATTTAGTCGACTTCGAATTGCTACGTTGCTGTTGGGGACTATCAAGGTCCAATGTGTGGTTGGCTCCTCTCCCTATACGGCTGTTGCAACCGGTGGTGAGCAGACTATTATCGACGACTATGATTGCTTTGAAATACTGGGGTCGACTTCTCGGCTCTCTCGTAAGTTTCCTGGATGAGCAAACAATTAGGTACTGCCAAGCTACTATTATCAGTGTCGAGTGGGACTATTGACTAACACTACGGTGCAGATCGGAGAAGCCAACAATCCTTGACGAGAGCTTCTCGATTTTGTTCTTTCTTTTCAGATTGCTTTCCACGAACGATGCTTTGGGTCATGACGTGGCCAATGTTTGAGTACGAGACTCTATGATGAGATAATTGGAAGATGTTGGATTTGCCGAAGAGCCGAGGGCGGCCTCACGACATTGTCAATGTAAAAAGGATGTGTCAAAGTATTACGTTCAATCTTGACCGAGTGTAAATGCAAAGACCGGGATGGGATTATGTGTGTGTGATTAAGACACAGGGAGATTGAAATCTCCTAGACGGTATGATTAAATTGTACCAGAGCTTTGAGAAGAATCATCAGACCCCGAAACCCCTATCCGGGGTCTATTGTATACACAAACGTATCCAGATTCTATCCGTTTCTTCTTTTCATCCAGCAAAAAGGCCTTCCCTTTTGCGGTCCCCTTACATTTTTTCCGCCATGCTATTGTCACATCATGAGAGGAGCATTATACACCGACCGGAACGCCCAATTCGCTGTTCCGGGAATCGAGAGAATATCGTAGAACATAATGGTACAAGGGGGGCTTGAAAGCCGCCGACACCTCCAGCGGTCAGCCGACTAGCCCCATGCTTTTAGAACAAGATCTCCGTAGAGATCGGAAATTGTGATGAAAGATGTCGAGGCATCAATCTTTTAAGCGTTCTTGACGACGCCGACCTTGGCAGCGCGCATCACGCGACCGTTGAGCTTGAAGCCCTTCTGCTGGACGTGGAAGACGGTGTTGTCCTCCTTGTCGGGCTGGGGTGCCATGAAGGTGGCGTCGTGCTCGTTGGGGTTGAACTTCTCGCCCTCGGGGTCGAATCGCTCGATGCCGTGCTTCTTCAGCGTCGACATGAGGATGTCGTCGGTCATCTTGAGACCCTCGTACAGGTTGGCGAGGTCCTTGAGGTCGCCAGACTTCTCCTCGACCTGGAGCTTCTCCTGGGGCACCATGGAGAGGGCGCGGTCGAGGTTGTCGATGCTGTCAATGAGGTCCTTTGAGAACTTCTGCAGGGCGAAGTCGCGCGCCTGCTTGACCTCGCGTTGTGTGCGGTCCTGGAGGTTACGGAAGTCGGCGATGGTGCGAAGGCACTTGTCCTGGAAGAGCTGCATGTTAGAATTGGGTCTCGAAACTCGGCCGCCGAGATCGGGGGGAGACAGAATGCGAACGAACCTTCCAGTCGGCAGCCTCCTTCTCCTTGGTCTCCAGCTGCTTCTTCAGGGCAGACTCGGCATCATCAGCGGGCTTCTCGCCCTCCTTGGTGGCCTCGGTGTTCTCCTTGGCGTCGCTGTACCATCTCGCAACGGCGGGTTGCGCGGCTCGTATCCTGAAGGCAGGGGAGCTCTGGAACTGATTTTGGAAGACAGACTTGGGGGTCTGGGTGCGCATGCGGGTGCGCACTGCGCGAGAAGAGGTAGCAATAGCTTGTCTGAACATTGTGGCGATTGTGGTGTTTGTGAGAAAGACTCGGGAGGGCGAAAGCGTGGTTGGATTCTAGGAGGCGATGTAGGGATTGGTCGCGTGTACGGAGAAGCTTTTAGAAGAAAATGAAATTTTATCGGAATGGCCCCAAGTGACGAATTGCCGTCCCTTGAACCCCCGGCCATGCGGGAAAGTTCGCGCCCAATCATAAGATTCCAGAGAGCTCCATCCGGGGGCGGATGAATCGAGGGACCGCTCAGAGCTTTATCGATAACACTAGCGCCAAGGCAAGGCCAACGCGATTCCAGCAGGCGCCAGGCACGGTCGCTGCACCTTCCAATTGGTAACTGAGTGGCACCTGAGGCGGCGGCTTGTGTTCACTTTGCCTCTGGTCGCAAAAATATCCTTTCAGCCTCCCCTCCACCGGAACGCGATCGCCAACTTCCACCCATTCAACCCAGCTGCGACCCACGATAATTACGATTGCCAAGGCGCTCTTGCTTCTCATACACATCGAATCGAAAACTTTTGCCGCAGAACAATCCGAATTGCTTCTCAGAAACTTCGACCGGGCTACTACTGAAAGGAGAAAGGCGGCGCGATGGATTACGAGCCGATGCTGCTGGATGGCGAGTCTGGAGGACCATCGATCAAGATCTCAGGGGTACTACTTCCTCAAAAGACTTTGCTTGTGGCTTTAAAACTGATCGCCCGGCGTCTCGTTAGGCTGATAATATCCACGTCAACTTTGATCTCTCGAACTGCGACCTCTCCTTCGCCAACTCGCTGCGTCGCGTCATCCAAGCCGAAGTCCCGGTGATCGCTATCGATCTGGTCGAAATCGAGGCCAACACATCTGTCCTTGCCGACGAGTTCATTGCCCATCGCCTGGGTCTGATTCCCCTCCAGTCCAAGGACGTCAACAGCTTGCTTTACACCCGAGACTGTGACTGCGAGCAGTACTGCGACAACTGCAGCGTAAAGCTCACGCTGCACGCGCGATGCTCTTCAGACGAGACTATGAAAGTTTACGCCAGCGACCTCATCGTCGACAGCTTTAGGCAAAACGGCACCGTGGGCAACCCTGTCATCCTCGACCCTGAAGGACAAGGCTCTTTGATTTGCAAGCTGCGCAAAGGGCAGGAACTCAAGATATCATGCATCGCGAAGAAGGGCATCGCAAAGGAGCACGCAAAATGGATGCCGACGTCTGCCGTTGGGTTTGAATACGACCCTCACAACAAGCTGCACCACTTGGATATGTGGTTTGAAGAAGATGCCAAGGCTGAATGGTGAGTAATGCGACTGACATGCTCCTTGAAGGTGAGAGGTGGCTAAACTGTAGTAAAGGCCCGAGAACAAGTACGCCAAGATGGAGGACCCCCCACAAGAAGGCGAAGCCTTCGACTACGACGCGCTGCCCGGCAAGTTCTACTTCGAGGTCGAAGGTGTAGGCAGTCTGGAGCCGGATCAGATTATCCAGGAGGGAATCAAGATTTTGCAAGAGAAGCTGGCCCTCACGCTCCACATCCTCACAGGCGAGGCAGACGATGATGGCATGGGCGACTTTGATGGACCTCGCAGCCCTAACCTGGACATGGACGGTGGCAACCCCTGGCAAGACCAGGGCTACACCACTCCTTTCAATGGCGGCAACCAGACCTCATGGGGAGGCAACGCAACGACACCCTATACCACCACTACCCCTTACGGCGCCTCCGGACAATCTGGATGGAACTGAGAGAGAACGACAAGCACAAAATCATAAAAAAGGCGTTTATGTATGAAAACCACACATGGGGGCGGTAATGGAGTTTGCGAGATTTTGCAACGAACCTAGCTTGGCCATCAGCTGGCTAAATCGGCCCAACTGAAGGGAGATGGAGGTTGCCTTGCGACGCGCGAAACGATCAAGCACGCACGATAAGATGCACTCCGCAGCGGCAAGAGGGGGTAGGCTTTTCAGCGTCCTGTCGTTGATTTAGACCTGGGCCCAGACTGGCTTGGCTTATAGACACCCGTGATAGGGGATGACGACGGTAGAGCAATCGCGAAAGCAGAAAAAAGGCCTGTCAAATACAAGGGCGAAGTGAGGTAGGCGGGATTCTGATTTCGGCCGAGAAGGTGCGCCTTTTCCCGGATATCTATAATACAACTCACACAGAAACCTCACATGAAGCGTGCATTGGATAGCTGCAAAGAAAACCAATCATTTCTTTCTTTCCTGTATGTGCCCTCCGTTACTCCTGTCAAATGCAGCAGAGTTGCCTCTTTTCCAACGCCTCCAAACATGCCAAGATGGTACTAGTGATGATGATGCAGCGCCAGTCTATGTATCTAAACGCTCATTCTATAACACAACACAAGCCTTTTTTGTGTATTTATTACCCCTTGATGGACGCATCTTCACCGTAGCCGGTGTCGGCGACCTTTCTATAGACATTGCGGTGCATTTCTAGGAAGACAAATGTACAGATGGTTTGTCTGGACGGGGGTTAGTAAAGCGTACAAGATATCCATCATACGAGCAAGCGGGGGACGAGAACGTACGGTCCGAGGCGGAGGAAACTGGGCACCCAGCCCTTGAACATCCACCCAAGGCCCTCGGCCTTGTAAATCTTGGCCAGGGTATGCACCAGCCCCTCCTGGGTGCTCGCCGACATAACCCGCGTCTTGATGACATCAATGGGGCTCGTCACCGTAGCGGCCACGGCACCAGCGAGGAACGAGGCCGTAAAGTGCGTCGTCAGGTTATCTCCCATGGGCGTGTGGCGGATGAGCATACCCTTGAAGGTATCATACGATGCGAGCTGCGAGGCCGTCATGGCCGCGGCGCGCATACTATTGGGCAGGACGCCCCTGAACCAACTCATGATGCCTTCCTCGCGCGCCATGCGGAGCATGCCCTCGAGGGCGTGGCTGTAGTTGCGACGCTCGGCGGCGGGGAGGGCGGCGTCCTGCTGCATGCGGACGTTGAGGACGTCGGCGGCGTTTCCCGAGATGCCGCCGACGAAGCCCGCGGCCGAGGCCATGGCGACGAGGACGGGGAAGGAAGGGGGTTTGCCGTCGTTTGCGCGGGTGGCGCGGATCTTCATCTCCTCGTAGGCGCCGAAGCGGACGGTGGAGTAGGTCATTTGGCGGAGGAGGGAGGCCGAGAGGCCGTTGTAGAGGCCTGTCATGCCGTGGTTGCGGATGATGTGGGTAAAGGTGCCGACCATGTTCTTTGGCGCATCGGGGCGGCGAACCTGGAGGCGGACCTAGAGGGGATGGTGGCATCGTGTAAGTAAGTCTTGCTATTGGAGCTACGTAGAACTGTTGATGTGTGCTACGACTCTTGGGAGAGCTTGGGCTTGCTATCATGGATCGAGGGGTTCGTTTCCCGGTGTATTCTTGAAGTGGGAGCGCATTACCTTTACTGTGAGACATTGTCAGCTCTTGGCTCGCTCAAACATGTGCGATATCGCTGGCTCTCACGCCCATATCGCGAGATCATTGTTGGCAGAACTTACCCAAATCCAGGGGATGGGTCACGCAAGCGGCCATACTACTGGCGCTGCCTCCGAACCAGAAGGGATACCGCAGCGACGGTTCCACCGTCTTCTTTTGCTTCTGAGGCGCCGGCGTCGTCGTTGTCGCCGTCGTCGTAGCCGTCGGTTGCGCTTGCGACTGCGGCTTCTCCTGAACCCCCTCGAGCTGCCCCATCTTCAGCGGCGACGGCTGCGACGACGGCGACGACCCTGACGGCTCGTTGGCCGGTTTACTGGCGACCACGTTGGCGGCGGCGGCGGACTGCATCGTTGCAGAGTGTTGCGCACTATCCTATAATAAGCTCATCCCGCTGCGGCGCAATTGAAGACTGCGTCGCGAAAATGGCAGAGAATCCGTAGTGAAGAAGCACAAACGGACGACCTTTCTCGGATGTAACGTGAGTTATGTCCAAGATTGCCAGTTCCCCCTCTCTCGCGTGTCGGCGATTATCAGCTGGGTAGGTAGCGTGTGTTGCTGGGACGTCACTTTTCGGTCGTTGCGGTTGAGTGACGTCTTTTTTTGTTATAAAGCCGACTTCGGGGGAGAGGGTGGTGTGGTCGTGTGCAGGAGGCTTTTTTTTTTTTTTTTTTTGGTCGCTATCGAGGTATGCAGGTGGTGGAAGGAAGAAGCCGAGGAATTGGAGATCGGCTCGGTTTATCGCGACCTTTTTTTTTTTCCTTTCTCCGTTATCTTTCTTTCTGGTCTAATTAACACCGATTTGGCTGGACGAGGGACGCGCTTCGAGTCGGCTCAAGGGAAGGGAAAAAAAACCGAGATTTGCTGATTGAGCAAGTCCTCCATCCCCTTTCAGAGGGAGCCACCGGCACCAACAAAAAACAACCGAACCTGCTGCTTCGATTTTTTTGGTGCGTCATTGGGCCTGCAACGAAGCAAGGGTGCCATGCGCTAAGGTATTGGAAGGCGTCTCCGGACCCTTGCTCCGGGGGAGTCGGCAGAGCCTGGCGCCGTGTGCCCGCTCCGGTCGCAAACCCCCAATTGGCCTGGCCCGTGCGTCCCGTAGACTTCTGGTGATCGACACTTTTTTGACCGAACTCCTGGACTTCTGAGCAAGCTCCCTTTTTTCTCCATCTTTCGCAACGGCTGCTTCAAACATTGTCGGAACAACCGACTTAGAAGCTCTACGCCTGTAATGAGCACATAGTACAACAGCCTTTGTATCTGGACAAAGGCGTATACGTCTTCGAGATGCTCGTCCCAAGATTAGCCGGGAGGCAATTGCATAGTTGCTTCCGTGGCGCCACCTGCGCCGCTAGAGCTCCTCGACAATGGCAAACTCTCGCTTCGTTGTCGATGAGCGGTAGCCGGCGCAGCTACTCCTCAGGTTAGGATCACAGTCAATTGAGTTCCTTGGGCCGAATACAGCTCTAACATCAAACAACATCACAGAACCCTCGACGATTTCAAAAACTCTAGACCAGGAAAAAACCGTCGAGGTCAACGGCCAAACGATACCAACAGACACCTGGTTCAACGTCCCTTCAAACGTCCTCGACGCCGCCTCGCGCAAGCTTCACCTCCAAAAAGACCACCCCGTCTACATCACCCGTCAAATCATCGAGTCGCAGTTCCCCGCGCCCACCTACAAGTACCACAACACCTTTGACCCCGTCGTCACGACGCACCAAAACTTTGACTCGCTCGGGTTCCCTCTAGACCACCCCGGCCGCGCGAAATCAGACACCTACTACTTCAACAAGGACACCCTCCTCCGCACACACACGAGCGCCCACCAGGCGCAGACCTTTCAAAAGAACCTGAGCGAGGGCTACCTCATCAGCGCCGACGTCTACCGTCGTGACGCCATCGACAGGAGCCACTACCCCGTCTTCCACCAGATGGAGGGCGCCCGCATGTGGGACAGGACAAAGGTGCCCAACGGCGACATCGCCGCCGCCGTGTGGGAGGACCTCAACAAGCTACCGAAGCACAACGTCAAGGTCGAGGACCCCCACCCGGCCTACGACGCGGAACGGAATCCCCTACAGGAAGGCCACCACTCCCCCGCCGAGGCCGAGGCCATCGGCGCCCACCTGAAGCGCTCGCTCGAGAACATGGTGGTCGAGATCTTCACAAGGGCAAAAGCCGCCGCCGCGAAAGCGGACCCGGACTACAAGGACGAACCCCTCCGCGTCCGCTGGGTCGAGGCCTACTTCCCCTTCACGAGCCCCTCGTGGGAACTCGAGGTCTACTACGCCGGCGACTGGCTCGAGGTGCTAGGCTGCGGCGTTGTGAAGCAAGACATCGCCATCAACGCGGGCGTGCCGCAGCAGGTCGGCTGGGCTTTCGGCATCGGCCTCGAGCGCATCGCCATGCTCCTCTTCCAGATCCCCGACATCCGCCTCTTCTGGTCCAAAGACGAGCGGTTCCTGAGCCAGTTCCGCGGCGTCTCGGATCAGCTCGACGCCATGCGGCGCTTCGTGCCCTTTTCAAAGCACCCGGCCTGCCCCAAGGACGTCTCCTTTTGGCTCAAGAGCACCTCCTCGGCGGGCGGCAACACGAAAGCCAACGCGCAGGACTTCCACGAAAACGACTTCATGGAGCTGGTGCGCGACATCGCCGGCGAGCGGGCCGAGGACGTCCGGCTGGTGGACGAGTTTACACACCCCAAGACGGGGAGGCGCAGCATGTGCTACCGCATCAACTACCGAAGTCTGGAGCGGACCCTGACCAACGAGGAGACCAATGAGATGCACAGCGAGGTGACCCGGAAATTGGTCGAAAAGCTAGGCGTCGAGATCCGGTAAAAAAGGGAAAGCGGAAAAAAAGGCAATACACTGTGTACGGATAGCCGATACGTTGCCAGCGTTTGTTTAACGTTGGCATTAGTTGAGGGGTAAGAAGGGGGCTGTGCTGCCAACACCTTTTTTATTTCCCTCATCTTCAGATGATGGGATGGGCTCCCGATGGCGGTGAGTAAGTCCACTCCTGCATGGCATCATTCTAGTGTGCTAGGACCCAGGTGTAAGTTATACGTCTTGCTTGGGGCGGTCGTCGCGAGAAGAGTGCTGCTAAGTTTTGGCTTGCCGCCCCCGGCTATGTACCGGTGGAGGGGAGGAGGGAAGACGAGATTTCTTGTCGTCGTGACGCCGTCACGCCCGTTGTATTATATCAACAACTTTGTACTATGAAGCAACCCCCAATACGGATGAACCGAGTTCGGGCTTAGTCTTGCAAAGGCTGAGCTATGAAGCAGAAACTAGAAGTTCAGGATGAGAAATTTACGGGGACTCGGGATTTCCTTTGATCCCGTTGTCTTGCAGATGTGCTATGCTGTGTTTCTCGGAAACCATTGTTCTGAAGCAGCCGTGTAATGTAGGTATACAAAACATCAGACCAAAGGAAAGCCGGTGGCAGAGCCCGTTGGAAACATTCCTTTCTCGTCGCCCTGTCAGCGTCCGAGCATCTCGGAAGAGGACAGGGGAAGATCTTGCTGCTTGCTGGCTGTATCGAGTCTATCCATCCCCTCTCCCGAGATATCCTCAGACGAATGTAATCATGCTGGGCCGTGAAAGCGGGAGTGCGGTTCCGCCAGGTACAACATAATAAGAAGCAATCTGAAGCAGTGACGCCGGGGTTGCAGATCGGTTGTATCATGCGCAAAACCTACACACCATGCTCGCGCGCAGCAAGTGCGCATTAGTCTTCGGGAAGATGGAGCAGAACTTCGACCCGTCGTCCCATCAAAAAGACTTGGGACGGTACGTGCAAAGTCCAGTTTCAAGGCTTTCTTCTTTCTCTTCACATAAGATTTCAGCCAATCCTGGTGCTCGCATTGTAACAAGAAAGATGAGACTTGAGCCTCTGCACACAGTATGATGGAGGGGAGAGGGTTTGCCGGATTGTTAGTCGGTCAAACTACACAGCCCACGCACCCTTGTCGAGCTTTCGTCGTTCATTGCATCAGACCAAGCTCTGATTGTTGCAAAAAATTTCTCAATGCTGAATATCCCACCCTCGCAAGCGAGTTCCTTGTAATGTTGTCCAAACGGATGAGATGAGCTTGCCATCGCTTCAGGTCCGACTCGGCAACAAAGTTTATCAGGCGATAATCTTTCTGGGCAGGCAGTGTCTTTGGTGCAAGGAAGCCCCCGTACTTGCGGGAGATAAGGTGCAAGGCGTATCAAGCTTTTGAGTTCTCTATACATCCTGATGTCACGGAATCGCAGCAAACGGGAGATTACGGTTGGAACCATGAACTCGAGATCCTGCAGTCAGCATTCACAAAAGTACTCTTTTGGAGACGAAGAAGCATGCTTCGGTGGTCGGTCGTTAATTGTCGCGCAAGCGAGTTGAGAGACGAAGGCTCTTTGCCATAGGCACAACTTGCCCAACTAGGCAATTGGTAGCCGGTAGTATTATCTGAATGGCGCCAGTGAAAAGAAAGAGCGTCGGAGGTGCAGCGAAATGCAGGAAAAAGAGCATGCATGTCTTGGCCTAGAACGGTGTCTGGGGAAGCCGATTGCAGCACGAAACATCAATCTGGCAGGTGGAAAGTCTTGGTATTTTGCACAGCCTCGTTTCCGGATCGCCAGAGGGGTATTTGCTGACCGTACAGCAAAACCGTAATCTTCCGTGGCAATCGGAGAGAGGGGAGCGTTTCTGCGGCGTATCGGGGCGATCGGGTTGAAACATTGGCGAACAGCGTCACAGAATGGTTGCTGGTGCTGCAACGATCAGCGGCTGGGCCGTGTTGATTGTTGAAGGCAAATTTCATCTTGTTCGTCTGCTGTCCTCTTGGGCTCTGCGGATACTCGATACTCATCGTGGCTGATTGTCCTTCTGCTCGAGATCAGACGAGCGTGTGCATTGGTGAATGTCTCTGACCGGCGGCGTAGGGAAGGGGCTGAGGCTCGGTGCAATTTGGCGCAGAGCTGGCTGAGCGAAGACAAAATTCGTAGGCCGACTCGTGTGCCGGCGCGGGCTGAGCCGGCATAGCGAATTTCAAACTTCAAAGGCGAGCCGCGACTGAGGCTTTTCGGGACCCCGTCCCGCGATAAATCTCGTACGGGGTGACGGAATGCCTTGCCCCTATTCACTCGGCCGGTATGTCATAGCATGAACTCCTAGATCAAGGCAGGTTTTCTGCTGAGTTGGCGCCGCCATCGCTGCGGTTCATTGAGAGGGGCGGCGGGCTCGCATCATGGGTGAGCTCCCCTCCAAAGCCAAGCCCCAGCCCCAGATGATATGACACCGGGGGCTGGAGGCGTTGCTCAGCCAAGACCAGGAACACAAGCCTCGGTCATTGAGATTATACTGCAACCTGCCGACATCATGGTCAGAAGAAATTTCGGATAGAAGAGCGAATCTTGGTTTGATAGTATCGCAAGTGGTCCCTGAGGCGCCGCCCCCAAACCTATTATCGAACCGTAAACTCCAAGTGTTGTAGATACAGTGAGTGAGTGGTCAAGACCAAACTTGTCTTGTGAACACAACAATTACTGCACAGCCCCCGTCACTCCATGGACCCTTGGCCAGGGACTGGAAGCTGTGGGGGGTTGACTCGGTATCCCTGGATGCTTTTTTAGCTTAACCGCGATAGCGCAAGAGCGGGGAGATTTGCTGTCGAGGTGTTGGTTGTCGAATCACTATTGTGACAGTCGACAGGTCTGGTATCTGCATCTTTAGGTAACGTTGACATTCGGAGTATGCCCGAGTCAAGACTGGGCATCTCGAAGATCCGAGATGCAGGTGTCTCTGAAAACGGGTGGCTGCATAGGTACTCGGAATGGACGCACCGGAGGCATCCCAAGACTCAAGAGGCGACGGGAGACCCAAGCCCTCGGTGGCTGTCTGCTGTGCCTGTTTCTCGCGTGTCCAGGGACGTACGGGAAGGGAAAATAAGAGAGACCCGAGTGTGAGGTCACAGGACAAGGTGGACGGATACGGTGGACAGGGTGGGAAGATGGCGATGCGCCGCTACCGAACGAAGTGCTGCCGTCGGCTGCCGTAGCTGCGGTCGAGTAGCGGGTCGAGGCACTGTTTCTCAGCACTTTGGAGGCCAGGTCTCGCTCCAGAGTGCGCCGTCATTGACATTCTTGACCACCTCACCGCAGGTCGGGCGGGGAGTGCGCTGGGCGTGTGGGGGAACAGCAGTGGAAGAGGCTCGTGGATTCGTTGCACGGGGGAGGCCTGCGGGAGGCGAAGAGGTTTGCAGCCGACAACGACAACGAGACTGGGTGACTGGCCCTGTCGCTGCTGTGACCTGAGGACGGCAAGCAGCCGTGGCACCGTGCCAGCCAGTTTGGGTTCAAACTTCAATGGAAGGCAAGCACCGCCCTCATGGCGCACCGTAAAAGTCGTCACTGAGGAAATTACCGATTGAGGCGGAGATAAAAACGGGGCCGCTACCGTAACGGTACGTACTGGGGTCTAGTGCAAGATGGGCTCTTTCAAGTGTCTTAGCTCATCCGTTAAGGAAGAGACCAGGAAGAGACTTGGGAGACCAGAACACGGAAACTGCGCGTAAAGAATGGCTGGGGTGGCGAATGGCATTCTCGACAATTCGATTTCCAGCGGGGCCGACGAACCAAGACCTGTTCGATTCGTCAGTAATTTGCCGTGTAAAGCGGTCCATCTCCACGTCTGCGAGGGACGATAGAGGTCTAGGTCTTTCGCGGATCATTTCCTATGAGCCACCAGGCGCAACCGCAGCACGGCGCGAAACAAGGGCAAGGTCAGTCATGTTGAGGTATGGCATAGCAGATATTGCAAAGCAGTCTGGCAGTGTTGCGGAAAGCATCCCGTGGACACTTCAGACTTGGAGAATGCCAAGCCTTCTGTAGTGGGAGAAGAAAACTTTTGCCGTATCATTTCTCTCTATCCGTATTGCCTCTTGCTCTTGCACAGCCCCAATTCATGTCAGCCGTGTTAGTCCTGACCCTGGGCTGCTGGATGCTCAATGCTCGCCTCTTACGCCTCTATTAGTCAATCTTTCTATAGAGTACCAAAGGTAGGTATAGAGAAAGTGTACGGTAAGATGGTGAGATGATGAACCGAATGAGCGACTTACCTTATAGTCTGTTTTTCTCTCTCATCCTGCGCATAATAGTATAAGCTGGTGCCTTGCCGCTGTTTTCCATGCGTCGTCTGATCCCGACGTGCTCCTTCTCGCGCCAATGCACCTTGGCAAACGCCCTGCCTTGCTGTGAACCTTTTCCCACCATGAAGCCTGGAGTAAGCTTGCCCTGTAGTGGTCTGCGCTCGCAGCAACTGGGCTGTAAGTGTCCGTGGGAACGGATAAGGAAGGGGACCGTAGGGAGAGTCCCCGTCTGCCCGTCTGCCGTCTCCACCACTGTGACGGCTCTCCAAAATGGAGGCGAAACTTCAAACGGGCCCGTGAGTCCGTGTGGCCTTCCCGTTTCATCCACACAGACACACCCAGTGCCCCACTCAACGTCCAGAGCCTACGGTCCACCGAGTACGTAGACTCAGAGGCACGCCGCACGCCGCACGGCACCCCTCCCCTCCCAACTCAGCCATCCACCAGGGCATCCACCTGGCACCGTCCACCACCCAACCATCCCACACTCCGCCCGACCCCAGTAAGGTAGTCTCCTCAGTAGCGCCAGGCCAAGCCACTCTCTCAATGGCACGCTCAAACATATAACCAAGACCGCCTTCCGCCAACCACCACCATCATTTCTCGTTCCAACTCCAGCAACAAAACAAAACACTACACAAACAACTACACTGCAAACCTCTCTTCCGCAGATGAATAAGATCACTACACAATCGTCGTAGAACAAACAGCACAAGAGCTAGAAACGACTTCCTCGCCACACACCGCAAAAACCATCGCATCCGCCTCCTCACACCTCAACCACATACACACACATACACAACCAGCCAAAATGGAATCACCTCAGTTGGATACCCGCCCCATCTTCTCAAGACGCTCAACCGGCTCCAACAAGTCGCTTTCCCTCGACCTCTCCTCCCTGCCGCCTCTGGTCCAGCCGACGCCGCCCACAAACACCCTCCTCTTCACAAACCTCAACGACACCTCCATCTTCCGTCCCGACAACCTCCAGACCATCCGCGACCTCATTCTCAAGACGGCATCAGTCCACTCATGGGCACCCCTCAAGTCCTTCCGCCGCATCGTCGTCTCCTTCTTCTCAGAGGACGACGCCATCGCCGTCCGCCGTGTTTGGGACGGTGAAGCCGTCATGGGAGAGCGCGTCCGCGTCTACTTTGGCCAGCCTACTCCTGTCGAGGTCACCGATCGCCACCTTGCCCTCCCCGATGCCGGAAAGCTCTTCTTCATCTCTCCCCCTCCCTCGCCACCCCACGGCTGGGAGATGAAGCTGGAGGACGCCCCCAACAAGATGGTGCACGCAGAGGACCTTGCCGATGCGCTGGCCAAGCTGCACCACCGCCCGACGGGCATCGAGACCCCCATCAGCCCTGTCGACGGCTCAAGACAAACGCGCAGCAGGAGCTCTACCCTACTTTACCAGCCTGACGTCAACGGCACCAGCCCCGATCTACCCGCCATCTGCCTGGAAGACATGACCGACGAGCCTATGGAGTTCAGTCCTATCGAGGCGAAGCCCATCATGGCGCATACCTCCCGCCCGCCCGTGGAGCTGATGAACCACGCATAATTCTTGATATCAACTATTTGTTTTTGAAAGAGCGATCTTGATCAGGCGTTGGATGGTACGATATTTGGGACTTTGGCGGTTCGGAAACCCTTGGGCACGCATCTAGCATCATCGACACGGGCTTGCGGCGGCGTTTTATGGAAAGACCACGGCTCGCACATTGCGGCGGTACATTATTGGGGAGGAATACTATTCGAAGGGATCGGCACTTATCACACTGTCGTTCCCGATGGCCAACGAGCCAGTTTTTTAGTTTTTTTTTTTTTGCAAAAAAAAGTTTCTACCGTGTTGCTCAGAAGCACACAAGGTCTTTTCCTGTACACTAGATTCCCCTTTCGCGCACTCAGTATTGAAAGGCAGCGAAACAAGCAAACTTGATTACCAACAAGAACAAAAGTGGTGTGGACCCCTATATTTGTCTCAGTACTGTGATAGTAGCTCTATCTTACCACTTGTGCTGTCCGAAACCTGTGGCAGAGACGTTTATGCCATGGCGCAGATTCGTGGACAGGTGTACGTAAACCCACAAAAAGACGCGCCAGACCAAACGGTTTGATCTTCAGATACAGTGATCTACACTACGACTTTGAACCCCAATCAAGGGCCAGAACCAACCACGGGCAGAAGAAATCCGGCTCTCACAGCCGATCGGGATCAGCTCGTCGGGTTTCGAGTCTCATCTACGATTGTTTCTGACTTATGACGCACACTTTTTGTTCCTTGCGGAACCACCTAAGAACGTTGACCGGCAACCATATACTCAAAGAACCCTCCCAACCAGCGCCGACGCCCCGCGTATCCCAAGCCAGGCGAGCAGACCGCCCACGGTGACGGCCACGCTTAGAGTCATGAGGCTCCGGCGTTCGTTGCTGCGCACGCGGCGGGCGCTTGCTCCTGCTCGTGCTCGTGGCCCCGCGCCTCCCGTCTTTGCATCTGCGGGGGTGGAGCCGTGTTCGTGGGCCAGTGAGCCCGGGTGTTGTTGCTGCTGGGTCCGGGCCACTGCCTCGGTGGACATGACGTCCAGGGTTGGAATGTACTTGAATTCAAAGGTTGTTTCTTTGCCTAGGGCGCCGAGCTCGGGTTTGTGGACCGTCAGGTTGAAGAGGGCTTTTTGGAGGTTCTGAAAGGACGTTAGAGGTTACTGTAGTTTCAGTTGCAACATAGGAGTCATATTCTCTCTTATGAACATGCTGCGGTCTGGGAACAAACGACAAAAAGGGGTCCCCCAAGAACTAGTTGATGAACTGACCTTATTCCTAGATTCTTCCCAGCCGGGAAATAAACGCCGAGAATAACACATAAACATGAAGAAGAGACACTGTCCCAGTATAAGCAACGAGTAATAAAATGGTGGCCTCTCGACCGCCAACGCGCGCGCGAGCTTGGCGCCGTTGAGCCAGTACGTCTCCGCGGCGAGGAATTCCCTTGACACGTGCGAGGGCGGCTGGTCCGCGAGGCCTGTGAGGACGTTGTTGGCGAGGGCGCGCGATGTATCGGAGGGCTGTATTTCGGAGGCGAGGAGGGATTCCATTGTCGCCTTGGCCTTTGTGAGGGTGGAGAAGGACGAGCTGGGTGTGCCCATGATGTAGGCTACGTAGCGCCATAAGGCGAGGTAATCCCTCTTTTCGCTATCCTTGAGATAGATCCCTTGCCGCGGGAGGCCGATCCAGAGGAGGGTGGAGGAGAAGGTTGAGATTGTGCCGATGGAGTCTAGGTCGTTTACAGGGACGCCGTATGCTGCTACGTCGTAGTAGGAGGGCTTCTGGCTTGCGAGGAGGAGGATGCGGCGGCGTACGGCGGCGTGGAGGAGGCGGACTTTGACGGAGGAAGCGTGGCCTTCGCCTCCCGGTTGGATGGAGGGGAGGTCGCGGGTGACTTGGAGGATGTGCTGGAAGGTCTCGAGGAGGCGGCGGCGGGTGACGTTGACGCCGAAGCCGCCTGTTCGGGAGAGGGTTTCTACAACGCGGCGGCCGCCCATTCCGCCTACGAGGGATTGGAATGTGAGCTGGGTATTGGTGTTAGTGAGGTTGAGATGAGGGTGTATTGAGAGGTGAGTGGACGTTATATCGTCGATCTTACAGCAAATATGGCTGGGCCGGCGTATCGAAGGAAGACTTGCTGTCCGCGTTCGATCTGGGCCCAGTCGACCCATGGCGGAACGGTATTGATTTCAGTCCATAACTTCCCCAAGACCTCGTCTGCGTCTGCGTTGTCTCTCAAGAGAGCATACAAGTCTCGATGTGGTTTCGCGTCCCGAGGAGTGTCAACCTTCTCACTGGGAGTGGTTGGAGGTTTCACCGGAGGTGATATCTCATCCAGTCTGTCCAGTGCTTTGGCGCCGAGCTCATCGTAGGTATATATCATCGGGCGAAGGTCGTCGGATGTGAGGTGTTCGTCGGTCCACTTGAACCAGTAGTCCCAGACTTCTCGCCACTCTTCACCTCGGTACCAGAGGAGACCTGCCATTGCTGGTGCTTGAGATGTGAATCTCTTGACACAAAATAATCTAGAACAAGGAAAGATGAGAGAAATGTATGAGGCCTCAGCTGTCTATATAAAGTTGAGGAGAGAAGAGTTGAAAAAGACCCGGAAGTCTTAATGTTTAGTTCGCCTCGGCGAAACAGGGGGGCAAAGCTCAAGCTCAAGCTGAGGGCGTAATGACTTCATAGAACTCAAAAGAACTATCTTATAAGAAAGTAGATGTTTATGAACATCAATTGGGCTACTTTTTCAATTTGAGCTCGATGAATCGTATGAAGATGAAACAAACAAGAGATTCAATACCAGGAAGTGAACGCAGAGCCAGAGAAAGGCATCTTCAACCTGGAAGCTGGAGACAACCGAATTGGTGGCCCTTTTCGGATGAGGGGGGTTTGACACCTGACTTGGCGAATCACCGGACCACACTGGTCGACCGGAAAGCCCAACTGGGAGAATGAGGGCAATGGGTAGATTGGACGGAGATGCAGGTATGTGCACTGAGAAGGTTGGCCCCGCGGCCTCAAAGACTGCCGAGAACATGGATGATGCCATGATGTTTGCACGTGCTTGGTCTTCTTCCTAGTTGACAGGGAGGGCGGTATCTGGAGTGGATCAAGAGTGGAGGCAGACTCGATTGGATGGAGGAGCAATGTTCAGAAACTCGACTCGACTGATCCCCAAAATGTTCAGCAAATAAGTTCGTGATCTGTAGTTGATTGATACGATGTGTAAGTGGAAGTCGCACTTCGCTTTGATCACTTCTACAAAGCAATCTTGGTGTGGATGCAAATGGCATTAGTGACACAGGCAAGCAACCCTTGAGGATCAACAAGTATGTATACCACTATGTAAGCATTATCAGATCCGAATAACGAAAAAAAAAAAATCACCTCGGTAGGCTACATCTCTTGGTGCTCACCTTGGATTCGAACTCAGGTACTCGCTAAGCCTGTCGTCGAGTAGGCTGGTTGGCGTATATATGATTGTTGACCTTTGACCACTCCACCACCCAGCCATTTTGACCCGACCCGTCGACCTAGACGGGCGCCTTCTGGCTGGTGACAGGACTGGGATTGAAGGGGGGTATATAGGCTTCCTGTGTATATTCGAGTTAAGGTATTCCGGTGATGGAAATGGATAGGTGGGATGAAGCTGAGGTTTGTTCAGGTAGGCACAGTCAGTGGGGAACCGCTCTCAACCGCTGACCTCCCACGGCCACTGCAAGCACTTCAGCACCCCCTGCAGTTAGCCAACGGTGGCACCCGGCGCAGCGGCGCTTTTCCGCCGGGCGCCCCTGCGGAGGGTTCTCCTGTCTGCGCGTCCCGTCCCGTCCAGTCGCGCAACCAAATTAATTAGACTTGAGATCGACTTTTTTTTTTTCCACACCCCAGCCAGCAAACGCCTCCTGTCTAACCTCACCACAACCTGTAATGCCATAATCCAGAGCTCAACGTCCTCCCACGTACACCGAATCAAAAACCTTACGATCACACGATGCTCTGCTCTTGTCGCCTGAGCCCCCTGCGGCTCTTCGTCCAAGGCATGTCGCAATTGCACATCTCTGAACCCGTCGCCGCAACGAGACTCCCGCAACACCTCAAGAACACCCATACCCTACAGATCAGTCAAACCTCGACGTTCGCAACTTCGGCCGTCCACAACAAAAAGCATGACTTTGTGCCATTCCAAAAAGGAGGGAAACAGGCCACATCAAAACGACTACTGGAAGAACAAGACCCAGACGCAGAGGAGGCGAAACCGAAGCGAGAAAACTGGCAGCTCCAAAAAGAGGCCCTCAAAAAGAAGTTCCCCGACGGCTGGAACCCGCGCAAGCGCTTGTCTCCGGACGCCATCGCCGGCATCAAGGCGCTGCACGCCCAATTCCCCGAGGAGTACGACCTTAAGACGCTCGCCGACAAGTTTCAAATGTCGCCCGAGGCGATCCGCCGCATCCTGAGGAGCAAGTGGCAGGCGACGCCCGAGGAGGAGGAGGACAGGCAGGAGAGATGGTTTCGGCGCGGCGTCAACGTGTGGTCGCGGTACGCGGAGCTGGGCCTGAAACCGCCTAGCAAATGGCGCCGTGAGGGCGTCACGCGAGACCCGTCGTACCATCACAACCGCAAGGAGGCGATACAGAGGAGGAAAGAGGAGGAGGCCAAGGAAAACGTCGGGGAAAGGCTGCAGCGGAAGCTGTCTGATACCATTATGTGAGTGCTGGAAAACGGCGCCTGCATTTCTTTTCGACGAGCAGCTCGAATACCATCTCAGCTCTTACATTATAACGGCCGGCACACGGTCTAACAGTATAATAATGAACATCATATCAAAACACATCTCAGGCGCAGCGATTACCAGGTGCAAGTGGTCGATTATGCCCATTGTAACGGAGCCAATCGCTCACCCCCAGCGGCTGCATGAACCCCATACTTCTCATTGGATGCGGTTGCCTGTTAGCCTTCTTTACAGCTGCAAAGCCTCAGTACGCGCGCAAGTCGGAGATCTTATCACCGGGAAACATATCAACTGGTTGTTGCAGAGGAATCCACGAGTCGCTAGGGACTAATCATGAGACTTCTATCGACGAAGACGACGAAACTCGAGGTTTTTGATCTCGAAAATGCCCCACCTTACGCCGCTTTATCCCACCTCTGGGAGCATGATGAGGTTCGATTCCAAGATATGGGAGACTTGGCCGCGGCGGCTCAGAGAAGTGGCTTTCGCAAGATAGAGTCCGCTTGTGTTGTTGCCGCAGAAGAAGGACTCGGGTATATCTGGATTGATACTTGTTGCGTGGACAAGGAAAATGAAGCCAAACGAAGCGAAGCTGTCGAGTCTAGCTTCCGCACTTTCATATCAGCAACAATATGTATAGCATACCTGTCTGACGTTTCCTTGGATAGAGTCTCCCACTACTCTAAATTCCCTTAGGACGACGAGCTAAAGCCCAAGTTCCGAAATTCTCTCAGGCGCAGTACATGGTTTACACGGTCATGGACACTGCCGGAACTTATTGCTCCACCCGAGCTTGTATTCTATTCCTGTGGATGGAAAGTCATGGGCACACGGTCGGAGCTCCAGAACGATCTGTTCAATATTACCGCGGTTGGCCCTTTCATTCTCCAGGGCGGTGATCTCGCAAAGGTATCTGTGGCCCGGAAGATGTTCTGGGCCACGAACCGCAACACGCATCGACATGAGGAAGTTGCATATACCCTGTCTGGCTTATTCGGGATCGAGATGATGCCAATATATGGAAAGGGCAACGCGAACGCATTCTTACGTCTGCAAGAACACATTGCGAAGACCGTCCCAGATCCAACCCTTTTCGCCTGGAGAGACGATTGGTCCCAGAAGTACACGACGTGGGATGACTGCCAAGATCTTATCGACTCAAGTCACCTCCGAGACTTTTTGGCAAACAGTCCAAGTGCTTTTAGTCACCGTGGAAGAATGTTTCCCGCCATGGGAACCGCTGATGACAGCGAGTCAAACTACAGAGACTTGGATAATGATAACGACTTGGCGTGGGAAACTAGCTCTGTTACGTCCTTTCAATCGTCAGCGACCACGTTGATTGAAGGGTCGGCTTCGACCCCCATTACATCAGGCTTGGGCAATGCTGTATCGTTTCTGTCTGAAAATAGCACGTTATGTCCACTCCTTGAGTCGGCTGTGCGAATATGAGTTTGACTTTGAGTCTATCCGGGCCTGCGTTCTCTCCAGCGGGGCATTCGAAAACATGACGAGAAGGCTGTCCGATTTCGCCAACCCTTCTTTCCTTACCCAGGCCCAGAAGCTCGTTGCAAAAGTCCTTGAAGGCAAGAACACTTTCGATGACCAGTATTGGATCGACATGAAGGAAAGGATGCAAGTCATCCTGACGGAGCTGGAAGAGTCATGTCCTGAAGGCGTTATGCTGGATATCAAACCATGCCCAAGAGACTCGATAACTTCCAAACTTGGGTGGAGACTTTGACAAAGGAGGATTGGGATTGGTGGCCCTTTCCGTCTCCCAAGCATGTTCTGAGCTCCACTGAGGCGCGACTTGGATGGCGCTGTGTGAGTTCGATGTGTCGGTCACTTACAGAGACTCATCTTGCTAACGTCACATATTCAGAGGTGCGACATATTAAGATGGCAAGCCGTACCAGCTTCATTTGCAGGTAAAATTGCAATGTTGCTGCGAAAATATCCTCTCGGAAGCCGGAATCATACAGCCTCAGCAAACAACCCGACATCAGACGCTCTACCAACCTCGGCGAAGGCAGATGAGACGTCGTCGTTGGGAACGAGATCAATCAAGACTCTCAGCGCCAACGAATCATCAAAGTTGCCCGACTCAACTTCATCGCCTGGCCAGGAGACTCAAACCGGCCAGAAGCGCGACTATCCCCGGCCGAGATACATCTTCTTGCTCTCAACGACGGGCCGGCATCGGCTCAGGCAACTACCTTCGCTTTATCTAGACACCACAGATTTTGGCCAAGAGTTGCGAAAGGCATATCGCGAGCTCAAAGGCTTCTGGAGGTGGTGGCTCTCGCCTTATAACTTCTCTCATTGCGATTTTGTGCGTGTAAGTGACCCCCCCCCCCCCCCCCCCCCTTTTTCAGTCCTCAAACGAGGCAAATGCCACGCACAATTCCTCCCATCCTCTTCCTTCAAGACGGGAAGCACATCATCCTGCGAGTCTGAAGAGCGATACTGAGCTCTCACCAGTTTGAAAAGTTCTGCCGCAACGGCTTCGCCCACCGCGGCCTTGAAGTCCCGAACACATCCCAAAAGGACTACTACTACAACCCGCGACCCGCCCTCCGCGAACCCCCCGTCTCCCCCGAAGAATTCAGCCACGTCTTCCACTACACGGCAAAGACCGAGGCCGTCATCTGGTCATCGCTTGGTCTGCCGTCCTACGATATCGTCGAGGCGCTGAGCGACGACACGGTTGGGTGTATACCGCAGCGGTACCACTACCTCGACGAGCGGAGTAATCGCAAAGAGGACCTTTGGGGCCTGTATGTCCGGGAGCGGAGGTCTGCGCTGATGACGTCGGTGTATATCCTGCTGTGTCTCTCGCCGTTTTTTGCGTTTTGCTTTTTGTATTTGGGGTTATTTCGGGGGATATTCAGAATGCGACTACGCCACTTGCGTTGGCGTTGACTGCTCTGGGCTTGTTTTTGGGGTCTATGATTAAGTCTTAGGAGGGAGGTGAGCAATGGTTTATGTTTGTTGACCTTGCCAGTGGTCTTTTACCGGAGTTCATGTAATTCTGAGTGAGTTCATATTTGACGTTGGAGTCTCATACCAAAAACTCGCATTGGTCATGTCATAGCCGTTGTGAGATTGGAGGGCAAACAGAACAGTCCTCTTTCACCATATGCATCCATTTTTACAGCGTTGCTTCAAGGTTCACTGTGAATGTGTAGCTAATGGATAAGACAATGAACCTCGAAACAAGCTCAAATTTTACAGTTCTGCGAGAGCATAATCATGTCAGAACCAGCTATAGATGAGTATAGAGTTGAGCAAAGGACCATTCTTTGAAATGTTCCTATGCTACTTACCACACTACACACATGCACTCACACTTGGCCAATATCGTCCAAACTGTTGGAATACTAATCAAACTATTACTAAAAAGTAAAAGGAATCGTTCCTGGATGAGGAATGATAATGGTTCAAGGACCGACCGCGATTCGAACGCGGGGCCTAGAGATAGGTTGCTGCGGGAAGCTGCAATCTCTCGCTCTACCACTGAGCTATCGATCCAAGATTAAGCGGATGATCGCTTAGTCATCTCGTTGCTGGGAGAATGGCGTTTCCATCATCTCATGGAGACTTGCAAATGCAGCAAGGGGACACATAAGCGAAAGGCAGAGAAGCGAAGTTGGGAAGTGGGAACGTTTGATGTGGATGATGTGGTTACATGACACGCTTCGCCTGCAGACGTGGGAGTGGGGGCTTTTTTTTTTCCTGCTTAGCAAATTGTGCATATGTAACCGTCTGGACATGCTCATTCCATGCAGGAGAGTGGGATAGATAGAACATGTGGGAAAACAGGTGAGGCTTGGGATATTTCACAATCACAACAGTGCGGCCATTGTGGTGACGGCGCTTGTGGGAAACTTGCAAGTGACATTTGAACACAAGTTTGATATTTCGGCTCCCAGTGCTAGCTCCTTCAACCTAGGGCTATGTTAATTAATGTACAGGGCGAGGCCAGTCTAAAACACAACGCTAGAGCTTTAGATACCCAAGGAGAACTCGACGCCGACATCAATGTCACGGGCTGTAAGTATTATAGTTAGCATAAGCTCAAAAGAATGAGAGTGTAGGATTTCATGACTTACCCATCTTGACAACCTTGGACAGTTGCACAGCCTTCTCGGCAGCGGTCTGGAGGTCGTCGATGGAGAAGATCTTCATGCCAGAGTTGTTGATGATGTCGTGGGCAGCCTCAACGTTGGTACCCTGGAGACGGGCAATGATGGGAATCTTGAGGTTAAGCTCCTTGGAGGCGTTGATGAGACCCTTGGCGATGAGATCGCAGCGGACGATACCACCAAAGATGTTGACAAAGATGGCAGAGACCTTGGGGTCGCTCGTGATGAGCTCAAAGGCCTCCTTGATGGCGGCGGGGGTGGCACCACCACCGACGTCGAGGAAGTTGGCGGGGGTACCCTTGTTGAGCTTGATGATGTCCATGGTGGCCATGGCCAGACCGGCACCGTTGACGAGGCAGCCAATGTCACCGTCAAGCTTGATGAAGTTGAGGCCGGACTCGGCGGCGCGGACCTCGTCGGCATCCTCCTGAGTGGTGTCGCGCAGGGCGAAGACCTCCTTCTGGCGGTAGTCGGCGTTGTCGTCGAAGCCGAACTTGGCGTCCATGCAGAGAACCTTGTGGTCAGAGGTCTCGGAGAGGGGGTTGATCTCGATCTGGGTGGCGTCCTTCTCAAGGAAGATCTTGTAGAGCTTCTGGATGGTATCCTTGGCGTCCTCGATGCACTGCTCGCTGAAGCCGAGCTTGACGGCGATGTCGCGGGCAATCTCGTCGGTAACACCCTTGTTGATGTCGATGTTGGTGGTGATGATGGCCTCGGGGTTCTCCTTGGCAACGGTCTCAATGTCCATGCCGCCCTGGGAGGAGGAGACGATGACGGGGGCCTGGGAGGCGCGGTCCATCAGGATGGCGAGGTAGAACTCGCGGCGGGCGAACTTGCGCTCGCAAATGTAGACGGAGCTGCAGAGCTTGCCGCCAGCGCCGGTCTGCTTGGTGATGAGCTTGTGGCCAATCATCTGCTCGGCGAACATCTCGGCCTCGGTGGGGGAGTAGATGACGCGAACACCGCCCTTGAGGCCGTTGTCGAAGGTGCCCTTTCCACGTCCACCGGCGAGGACCTGGGCCTTGATGACCATGTCCTCACCACCAATCTCCTTTGCGATGGCCTTGGCCTCGGCGGCGGTCTTCGCGTTGGATCCCTTGGGGACACCGACTCCATACTAAAACAAACAAGCGACCCGTACGTTAGCTATTGTCTGGTTCATTTATCGCGCTGAGCTGGCTGAGAAGTTCCTGAAAAACTGGCCCCCTCGAAAAGGAGTGGGGCTCCCATGTATCGTGGATTCTCTGGTGGGTGTTTACCTGGCGCAGAAGGTCGGCGGAGAGGTACTCGTGAATGCTGAGGTTTCTCCTTTGTTGCTGGGCAAGACCCGGGTATCTGGGAGCGGCGACCTTCGAGGAAGTTTGGATGGCAGAAGCCAACCGGCTGCGTCCGAGCTTGAACATGATTGTGAAGGGGGTTTATGTGTTCGTGTCGCGAAGGACGGGGGTGGATTTTCGAAGATCGGAGGAAGAGGGAAAAAACGTAAAGCGCGCCTGTCAATTAAATGACTGACTAGAAGATCCCGACGGGTGGGATGAAGAGGCGCGTAGTCGTGAGAAGGAAAAAGGAGGAGGACTGACGAGGAGTCCTTCGAGTGTGCTGTGATGCAATTGGTTTTGCAGGAAAGCGCTATCTCCAAGCAATCTCAAACGGGAAAACCAGAGGTTTCTGGGCCGCGGGAATTCCCGGTCCTCTGGTTGGTTTTCGCTCGGAACAAAGCTTCAGCCGAGCTACAGGGTTCCACCGCCGCTTTTAGCCTCTAACGGAGCTTGCTTCCTCCGCCAAAACCGCCCTTATGTCTTTTATTGTCCTACATATCTGACTCTTGACAAATTGCTCATCATGACCTGCTGTATATTGATGTGTCAGCTCATATTCTTATGTTCATCTGAATTATTCACAATACTCACTACCATTATTCCATCGTTAGCCGAAGCACGGGATAGCTCCGTCTCGAGGTCAAGGTCGGACTCGGGGACCATCCGGTAAAGCGGCTGAAAGTGGCCCGAGCTCCGAACCCGTGCACCTGTCAAGACACAACGCCAACCACGTGTTTGCACTGCTGCAGGAAGCTGCATCTGCAGGCTCATCATGTGGCGTCATTTCTTCACCTCAACTTCAGACATTGCTGGGATCCAGCTTTGTGCACGCTGCTATGCGACTCCAGAGACAGCATGTCCATTTGTACTAGTATTTCGTGAAAAACTCACAGATACACCAAACCAGATCTTGTCTCACTCAGCTCAACTCCAACCTGCCCTTTCTTGAGCTCCATTGCCCATAATCATTTTTACGGCATAGTAGCGACCGAGATGAACCGTACCTATTCAATCGCCGCGTCTCATTCGGTAACGACACTTTCTTGACGATATCATATGCATTTTCGAAATCAAGAGGTCGAATTGAGGATGTTGAGGCTCGCTCGATCGCAGTGTTCTCACCTGCCACGAAGTCAGCGATCATTGTTGAAGTTGTCACAGGCTGCAGCTTGCAAAGCTAGCCTCCGTATAGCTTTGCCAGGGCTCCAGAGCTCTTTTCGACGGCATTTCACCGCTTGTATTCCATTCACTCCACCATTTGCGTGACCGCTCATTCGGTGGACGTAGGACTATTATGCCATGCTGAAGGTCAAGCGGAGAGCCTTAGATATGGCCACTTTCGATGCGAGCTAACGGCTCTGATACAGAACTGGCCACGACTGACCAGGATTGGCATACGTGGACCAGCACGTAAACGGGCCGGTTTCGCCCCAAAACGTGAAAAGCCAGGAGTTTGCTCGTCGAGATAGTGACCAAGGCAATCATCAGTCGTCCCAACCACAGCCGAACTCTTCGGCTAGCCAACCACCATGTGCTGATATCTACACGAGCCTCGTCCAGGATCCTCGCGGTAGTCGTTGCCACAGTTCGAAGAGTCCCCTTAGCACTGGAAAGGAGGCTGCTGGCGGGCTGCAATGTTCTGCGCAGCCAAAGGTGTGAGGGCGATTTACCTTCCTGATGGGAAGCCGCGGTTGACGCACTCTTGTCGTCGTTATCCGGGGGTGTCATTGCCGAGGCCTGGACGTAGCAGGAGAGCTGATATGACTGGTATTCTCCGACACACTGCACGTCGGCCGCGTCGTTCTCGAAATTAATTAGCCGGCAGAAGGGATTCTGTGGTAGCGTTTCTGAAGAACCGTCGGTAGAGATTCGCGTACCGGCGTGGCTCCGATTCCTCCATACCGGGCAATGCGAAGGCCGCCGGTACACATCCATCTGAGTCGAGCTTCGTCCTTTCCAGCATGGGTTTTCGGTTGAATTGGCCATCGGGATTCAGGTTGTTCAGCCGGCTTAATGATCGGCTGTGATGTGGAGGTCAATCCATCTTAAGCTGAGACGGCTCAATAGCGTAGGACAAGGCAGAACTTTTAGGAACCCAGCTTCTGAGACGAAGAATTTCTGGGCAGCCAGGTATGACAGCAACTGTGACTGGTAGAAGCTTCAACAACTCTAGGCTGCTCTTGGTTCAGCATAGGTCCTCAGGCAGGTGCTAGCAAAGGCTCACTCTTCAAGGTGTAATCTTGTTGCTCCAACTAGAAGAGGCGAGAGCCTCAAGGAGCCAGAATCATACCCAACGACTTTGCTGCATGTTAGGGAATAGGATGAAAGAAGCGATGTAGGAGCTGTTCAAGCAAGCCTAGTTGCGGATTCGGGAAGACCCCTGTCTTTGATCTGATATGACCGTCATTTCGTCTCAGCAACACTTATTGCTTTGAAGCCACTGAGTAACTCCTTCACCTTTCATCTCTTCAAAGGAATGAGCAGAAAAGAAGAACAGAAGATGAAAGACATCATCAATCAAAAGGACCGGCGCGGAATAACCTATATCATCAAATTGGCTCCAATGCGACGCCGGACGTAGTGATCAGGCCATTTCACTCCGCAATCCCAGGACCCATCTCCGAGATCCCTCCAGCCACAGCATCTGTCGGCACAGAATGGATCCCCTTCGGCTATTGCGATTCTCGGATGAAGGGGCGTCCACACCAACCGTCAAACGGAAGGGAAGGATCCACCGTGAGGCTCAACAGGCATGTCGTTTCCCGGCCCGCGGTTAACTCTCTTAAATTCCTCTTTGAGATCCCAGTCGCCGTGACCGTTGTTGACCTTACATGACCCTTGCTACGGGAATAAGCGTTCCCATGGCATCTCTCCCGTTTCTTGAATTTTCTTAGCTTGCATGCTAGCGAAAAAGCTCCTCCCGGCGGACACTTCCCGAACCTTGCCCATATCTATTACCACTGACCAGGGTCGATGACGCGAAATTTTGCTTTTCTTCGGGATGATGTTTGGGTCTCTTTGACGGGGTCTGGACTTTGGTGTTGCGGTTAATGGAGATAACCGTCAATTCTTCTCGCCACTTATTCCCGGGTTTTCTCCTTCACGAAGACACCTTCAAAACCTTCCACGGGAGACTACAGATTCTTCTCTTACTTTCGGTTTCCGAGCAGAGACACCAGGCTGAATGTGTCCGCTAGCTTCCGTTTGTCGATCGCCCGGACGATCGGCGCCTTACACAAGTCGCAGTCGCAGTCGCGAAAAACGTCGACAACGTCGCAGCCGCTACCACAACCTCGCAACGACGAAGCCCGCGAAACAGTTTCATCTAGGACATCATTCAGGTCTTATCGCATGCCCGGTGATAGAAAGACAGAAAAAAAACTGTTGGTTCCATGATGGAAAAGGCTCCACATCGTATGTTGGCCGTAGGAACAACAAGGAAAAGCGGGCTCTAACATTGCGAAGACTCTCCGAACCAGTCCCGAGCCAACTTCAAGGTGAGGTGAGGAGGACGTGGGAGGCGATTGGCGAAGCCGCGAATGTGACTAACCCAACCAGTACGTACCCTCCTTCAAACCTCCAAATCTCGCGACTAACTTGTACCTAGACCATTTTTTCCTTCCTTTCCTCAAAGCTTTTCCTAACGCCATTTGCTTCGAGGTTTTGCTAGTCTTTCCTGGACTCGAGTGAGCCTTGGAGGCTACACCTGCAGTCTTTCTGAAGGTGTCACCAAGGAGGTGAGACGCACATGGCATCGCACTTTGGAGGTGCGCCGGCGGCGGCAGCCAGCCCGGGGCTAGCTACCTAGGCAAGCGCCCAGTCGAGATTGTTCTTCGTACACCTCAGCCGGGGCGTCGAGCTTTTGCAAGTGCGCAAGCCGTCCACTCAGCTTCACATGCAGGCAGGTCATGGGTAATACATCCAGGGGTCCCACAAGACCGTCTTTGACCTGGGCTCGGCCGGCCGTGGTCTCGGAGGTCATTCATCGTGGGTATATAATCTCACTGGGGCCACCCTTTCCCGAGAAGTCTCCCTTCCCCGTCCCGGTTTTCTTGTCTCCATCTCCAGTTCTCCTTTCCTCGCCTTCGTGTCCAGAGCCTTTCCGCTTTCTTATCAAGGGGTCACCGTTTGACCTTTTACCAAGTCCAGTCGATCTCTACCTATACCCCAATACACACAAGCATACACATAGACCCTCTGGACTTGGTTCCCTGGTCCTTTGATCCCTTCCTTCTACTTCATCTCACAAGAGCTGCAACAAACACAAACATCACAATGTCTACCGAACAAAAGCCTCTCAGCTGGTGGAAGCGCCACTGTACCCCGCCGCCAGCCATCAACCGAACTCCCCAGTGCCCATGCTCCGCCTGCTGGAACGGCAACGGCGAGCACTGGAAGACGACCGTCCCGCAGACCACGGCGCCGAGCTACACGTCCATCCCGAGCCAAGTAATGACAAAAGAGACACGAACGGCGGCCCTGCGACGAGAGACAGAATCAGACCTGACGCCGCTCCGCCGTGAAGAGACTTCCTCGACAACAAACCTCAGCGTCTATTCCCAAGATAGCAACGCCAGCTCAGACCGCGCCTCTGTCACCGACATTCACCGCCTCGCTCTGGGAAAAGAAATCGTCTAAGAGTCAGAGCAAGGAGGATGGAGAGGGAGGGGAGGGGGATAGGTGGGAAATGCGAATGACAACGACGTGGGCAAAGCTGACTACATCTGGGCCACATTTACCCCGGGAAGTGGCATCTTGGCGTTGGGGAAGTCTGGACCATTCTTTCCGACAGTCTCTCTCTACGAAGTACTTGTCGTTCAAGCAAAGGCCGGGGCCTCCCTTCATCCAGACAGGTTGGATTGGAAACCCCTCAATCCTGCCCCGGACGCCAAGAGGCTTACTATCGTCAAGAAAGGTCGTTTGTTCCCTGGGCGCATGCCTGCGCTGCTGCACAAAGCGTCAAGCGACGGTCCAGAGCACCAGATTTAGGGTTTGAGATGCCAGATAAGGGGTCCTTGGGTCGCAGTCGTTGGACGAACTGGGAGCATCGCCGGCGGGCGTCCACCCCCTAGCTTGTGTTAGCGGGGGTAGTGGACTGGTCCCGTTGGGCTGGTGAGATCTCAATCCTGGGGAAGTGATAGGATGGGGTAAAAAGAAACATGCTCTTGTGTGTCTTGGCCCTTTGGTGTGGTGCCGTGCCGCTGGTGGCTGGCGTGGTTGGCGTGCTAGTTATCTCGGTTTCTAGCTTGGGGGAGTTGGGGTAATGACAGGCCTGGCCAGGTATGGTATGCCGGGGGTTTTTTGGCTCCCGCTTGTCAGCCAGTCAGGCGGGACGGAAAATCGGCCAAACGAGGTTACCTTAGTTGGTCCGGTGGTCTCTCGGGAAGCGGTGACTTGGATGTTGTGTCAAGACGATAGAGACCACGAGATAGAGGAGGGTGCTTTGGTGTTGGTACATTGCGGAGGGCGTTACTTTTTGACACGAAGGCACTGGAGAAAACTGTTAATTTCATTTTGCAGGCTAATAAACAACATATCAGACACTGACTGACCCTGGATGCTCCAGCATAAAACATTATTCCTGTATTAAATCACCTAAACGTTTGGCAGTCTTCGTTTTACTTTACCACTCACCTCAAAGAATCACCTCAAACCTACCTTATGAACGGAGCATCAACGGCCCCATCACGGCCCCGTTATTCTTGTCGGTCGGGACCATGACCCCACCATTGCACCCGGGGCCGAATCAGGCAATTTTGGAGCACCAAACTTTGAAAAGAGCACGCAATAGCTCTAAACAGTGACAACAGCAGCCAAAGGGCCATTTCCAACAAAGGTAATCAACACAGCAAAAGTATACACTCTTTATGGGTGACGAGCACGACACCGATAGCGAAGTCGACAAAAGAACAAGGACCGACCGCGATTCGAACGCGGGGCCTAGAGATAAACTGCGTTTAACTGCAATCTCTCGCTCTACCACTGAGCTATCGATCCAAGTGGTTGTTGGTTGTGGCAAAGGGGTGAACAACAGCATACAAGTTGGGCAAGAAAACACGGTGGCTGTAAATGACAGACAGAGTGGGACGTTGTGGGGCTAAAACGCATGGTGAGATGCTGAGGCGGGTCAAGCAAGTCACAGAGTGGAGGCCGTTGCTTCTACGTCACTCAGAGCTCACCTGACGGTCTGAGCTGGTGGCATGTAATTGAGCTTGAGAGCTTACTTACGAATCGCACAAACCATCCTCCTGCCTACCTAGACTTTACCAGACCAATGTTCTATATCTAATATGACACCAAATGTAGATCCAGCCATCCTCGATGCCCTCCAACTTGATCCTGAACAAACCAAAATCGCGTCCCATGGCGGCTCCGGCTTTGCATCATCTTTCAAACTCGCGACCGTCATCGATGGTCAGCCCACCAACTTCTTCGTCAAGACAGGCTCTGGGAAAGATGCCGAAGTCATGTTCAGAGGTCAGTGAAGCCTGACTGGAATGAGAGAAGGTCTGATGAAGAAACACATCTGGACTTCGACTTAGCATCCAAGCTACCTTGAAGCATAAGCATTGACACTTCCACAGGCGAACATGAATCGCTAAACGCAATCCACAACGCCGTGCCGAATTTCTGCCCAAAGTCGCACGCCCACGGGCGGTACCAGTCGTCACCGGGCAAATACTTTCTAGTCACAGATTTCTTGGACCTGGGATCCTCGGCCTCTGGCGGCTCCGGCCTGTCACTAGCCGCGAAGCTCGCCAAGATGCACACAACCCCGGCGCCTGTCCCAGAGGGGTTTGATAGGCCCATGTACGGCTTTCCCGTGAGCACTTGCTGCGGCTCTACGCCGCAGGAGAACGCGTGGAAGGAGACGTGGGCCGAGTTTTATGCCGAGAATAGGCTGCGCGGCGTCTTGCGCGCGGGGATCAGGAATAACGGTGCGGATGGGGAGTTGTCTGAGGCTGTGGAGGCCGTTGCGAGCCGGGTCGTTCCGCGGTTGATTGGCGATGACCGCGTTAAGGGGATCAAGCCGGTGGTGATCCACGGGGATCTATGGAGCGGGAACCACGGCCGGGGCCAGATTGCCGGTCAGGGCGGCGCGGAGGAGGTTGTCTACGATTCATCGGCCGTGTATGGGCATGCTGAGTATGAGCTGGGCATCATGAAGATGTTTGGTGGCTTCGGAAGCGGTTTTTGGAACGAGTATAACAAGCTTGTGCCAAAGGCGGAACCGTTAGAGGAATGGGATGACCGAGTTGCACTCTACGAGTTGTAAGTCCATTTGCTCGCTTTCGCCCACTTGCTTGGGGGTTGCCATGGTGATTTGCCCCGCTGACATGGAGGTGCCGCAGATATCACCACCTCAACCACTATGCAATATTTGGTGGAGGGTACCGCGGAGGCGCAATGGGCATCATGAAGAAGTTGATTTCAAAGTATGGCTGAATCAATTGAACTTTACCGAGTAGTACCATGGCGTTGGGAAGATTGGTTTGAGCTGGGAGGAATTCCACATTTAAAGCCGGCCCGCGCCGGTGGGAACCATGAACTTTGTATTAGCGGCCAACCGAAATGACTGACAGCTCTTAGTTTCAGGGACGGGAGCGCTGGATGGATACGGCCGCCTCATTGTAATTCTAAAACCTCGTGACAGAGTTCCCAATTTGATTTCTAGTTATCATTCATCATAACTAGTCCGCTATTCAACGGAGATACCTCACATGGTCGTGGTCACGCCGTCTGATGTTTTTTTTTTCTTTTTTGACGGGATTCTGGAGAGGTGCCAGTGGAGGATTCACATGCCAGGGGTTGCCCTGAGACCGAGCCTGTTCTGGCCACACGTTGGGAAGTTGGGGGGGGAAGCAGCAGCACGGACCAACCATTCATCCGGCGCAATTGCACTCTGGGCACACAGCAAAGCCACGGGGGGCAGGTGGGAAAGGCAAGATTAACGGCCCATGACAGGGGAATTTGATCACAAGGGTCGATGTGGTCACTTCCTTTCCCAGCTGCCAACTCCCATTACCTTAGCACTCACTGCACTTTCGCCCCTGTTGCTACATTGCACTCCGAACTACCTACGTTTGGCTTGCTTTCCCATTCCTTTTCTTCCTCTCCTTCTTACCTTTCTCTGGAAAAACGACAATGACCAAATAAACATACGAGACTTGCCCCTCCACATTATTTGCTTCACCCGTCGCTGCAACCATGAACGGCCACTTTGCTGCTGTCGGCGAAGAGCCGGATGCCCAGAACTATGAGCATGGCATCCAGGTCATTGACGATCAGAAGGACTTCAAGTACGATATACCTTCCCCCGCCAACAGGAACCGACAATGGCCAAAGGCTAACTGACTAACCCCTCTCTCCTTTACAGCTCCCATGTCGCAACATACTTGCAAAAAGTGCGCGTCGCCGAGGCGGGGTTCAACTACCACCTCATCTCCGTCTTCGGCTCCCAATCCACCGGCAAGTCGACGCTGTTAAACAACCTCTTTGGTACCGACTTCTCCGTCATGTCCGAGACGATGCGCCAGCAGACCACCAAGGGAATATGGATGTCAAAGAACAAGAAGGAAGCCGGCATGGCCGAGAACATCATCGTTATGGATGTTGAGGGAACTGATGGTCGTGAGCGTGGCGAGGACCAGGATTTCGAGAGGAAGAGCGCCCTTTTCGCCCTGGCAACCAGTGAGGTCCTGATCGTCAACCTCTGGGAGACACAGGTCGGTCTGTACAATGGTGCCAACATGGGTCTGCTCAAGACCGTTTTCGAGGTCAACCTGCAGCTCTTCCTCAAGGACAAGCAGTAAGTCGCCTTCGCATTGGCAGACCCCCCGCCGCTGTTTAACACCCCCCACAGATCGAGCTTGAGATCGCTACTCTTCTTCGTTATCCGAGACCACCTTGGCACGACGCCCCTTGCGAACCTGCGCAACACCCTAGTCCAGGACCTGACCAAGATCTGGTCCTCCATCTCCAAGCCGCAGGGCCTCGAAAACTCGCGCATTGAGGACTACTTCGACTTCGCCTTTGCTGCCCTCCCCCACAAGATCCTGCAGGCCGATAAGTTCACTACCGAGATCCAGAACCTGGGGAGGAGGTTCACTGCGGGGCACCGCACGAGTGGGGCCAGTACTCAGGAGTTCGATGGCGGTGTGTTCCTCCCCGAGTACCACCGACGCATTCCCGCCGACGGTTTTTCGCTCTATGCCGAGGGCATTTGGGATCAGATTGTCAACAACAAGGATCTGGATTTGCCGACACAGCAGGAGCTGCTTGCGCAATTCCGTTGCGACGAGATTTCGAGGGAGGTCCTGATCGGATTCGATAATGCCGTCGTACCGCTCGAGGAGAAGCAGTCCGAGTCTGCCAGAGCCGGCAAGCCCGCGGTACTGGCCGATCTGGGTGTGACGGGACGTGAGTCTCGTGAGAAGTGTCTCAAGGCATTCGAGATTCAAGCCAGCAGATATCACAAGGGTGTCTACACGCGCAAGCGCCAAGACTTGGAAGCTAAAATCGACGGTCGCCTTAAGACGCTCTATAACGCGCAACTGTCTGCTGCTCACAAGGCTGCCATTGCCTCGTTTAGTGAGCACGTTTCGGGTGCTGTCAAGGCTGGCCAGAAGTCCGGCGCGGCTTACGAGTTTGCTGAGATTGTTACCGAAGAAAAGAAGAAGACGCTCGAGTTCTTCAAGACTGAGGCTGAGAGCCTCGCCATCCCTGGCATTGCTTGGTCAAACTTCAAGTCACAGTATGTGCTGTTTGAGAAAGAGCTGGACGATGTGAGCGGTAAGCTGCGCAAGGAAGAGATGCGCCGGTTGGCCACGAGGGTGGAGCGATGGGTCAAGTCCCGTTTGGGCGATGCGATTGGCCTCGAATTCAACAAGCTCGGCTCAGGTAGAGCTGGGTCCGGTGCCCCCGAGACTGGCGAGAAGCCTGCGGAGAAGGATCTCTGGGACCGCATCTGGACCGTATTTGTCGATATCGTCAAAGACGCACAGGGCAGGTTCACCGACCGTGCCAAGAGCTTTGAAGCCACCCAGGATGAGGTTGAGGTTGGCCTCTGGCGCCTCAGGCGCAAGAGTTGGGTTGCTCTGCGCGAGAAGATCGAGGAAGAGGTCATGGAGGGCAACATTTTGTTGAAGCTGAGAGAAAACTTTGAGGATAAGTTCAGATATGACGAGGCCGGCGTGCCGAGAATCTGGAGACCTACCGACGACATTGAGGGCATCTACACCAAGGCCAGAGAGTCGACGCTGACGCTCATCCCCTTGTTGTCGAAATTCAAGCTTTCGGAGAGCTACGGGCCTCCCGAGTTGCCTGCCTGGATCGGAAACCAACCCCGTGGAGTTGAGCCTAGCGATGAGGAGGACTTGACGCCGATTGGTGGTGTCGATGAGGAGGATGGCAAGAGCCTCGAGGAGGAGATGACTGTTCTCAGCGAGAGCAAACGTCAAGACCTCGTTATCCGGTTCAAGAAGACTGCGGATGGTGTCTACGTCGAGGCTAAGCGCAGTGCCATTGGCGGTGTCGCACAGGTACCCCTGTACTTCTACGCCCTCCTGGTGGCTCTGGGATGGAATGAGATTGTTGCTGGTGGGTCTTGCTGCTTTCTGACGTGTGAATCATATGCTAACTTACAACAGTCCTGCGCAACCCGTTCCTCTTTGTCTTCCTCATCTTACTCGCCGGAGGTACCTACGTCGCCTACACGCTCAACATGCTCGGTCCCATGTACCAGATGGCCAACGCGGCCGCCAACCAGGGCGTCGAGATTGGCAAGGCGAAGCTGCGCGAGTTCATTGAGAACTCGGACACGGCGCGAAACGCGCTGGCCATGCCCGCTCGTGATAGCGACTCCATCAGCATGGACACGCTCGATAGCCGGGGCAAGAAGAAGAGCGCCGAGGATGATATTGATGACATTTAGACTTTGTCTTTCTCGCGCGCGAGCGCGGTTTTGTGTGTTTAGGTTAAGGTAGTCCGTGACAGCTAAAAAATGATGCTGCGTTCCAGACGCCCGATAGAGCGAGGGAAGATGGGGTTTTATGAATAGGGAGGCAAAGGATATAATGTCTATAAGATACGTTTTTGAGTTATGATGTATTGAGTGACCCGTGAGACTATGTCACCATGGACTTGCTCGTAAGACGTAGTCAATCTTCAGTAAGACTTTCACATGAGAGGATTTGAGGCAATGTGATGGCACGAAGTAAGTTGCGCGTCCACAGCTTTTGCTTTCACCATGTACGTTCCCAAAATGCACTTTTTGCAATGGCAAGTTATCACGAAGATGGACTGCAATATCAAGAACGCGATTTCGTGGATATTGATGCAATTATAACCCCCAAACATAAAAAACAGCCGCTACTCCTCATGATAGTCCTCAACTCGCTCATCTCACAACACAACGCAGCCCGACACATCGAGAGACTCAACTCTCATCGCCAGCTCTTCCATCTAGCGGGATCTCATTCCCGGACTCAGAAGAAACTCCTCCCTCCAACAAACTCAAGACCGAATCCGATAGAGCTACAAAGCTCCCTTTCTGGGGGGGTTACGGGGAGCAGGAAATGGGATATCTCGCAAAACACACCGCCGACAACCAAACAATCAACAAGAAAATCCAACAGACGAGGGCGCTGAAAGCCGCCGTCTCTAACCATCCATATATCGACTTCAGCCTATGGTCGTATCCTGAGAGAACTCATTCCCTGCGCTCATCTCGCACCCCTGCGCAAAGAAGATACGAGCTGGACTTTCATAGTCATTATGAATACTGTAGTAGTTTCCTGTGCCATGGTCAGTAAGTCATTCATCCTCAAGTCATCCATAAATGAAGGCGACTCACCTCTCGGCACGAACCACATTCCACCGGCGCTGATCCTGAACTGCGACTCATGCACCGTAACCAGGACCTTGCCCTGGAACACAAAAAACACCATTTGCATCTTGCGCGAGTTCTTGGGCCGCTTCTCCGCGCCCGGCGGGAGATCGACGACGCCCGAGCCAAAGAACGGCAAGCTCAGCGTCTTTGCGAAACGGAACGTTGCGTCGCGAATGTCCCTCGTCTGGATGGCGCTCGCAGCGACAGCGATGCGCTCCTCGTCGATCTCGACCTGCTCGTTGATAGCGGGCGGGTTGAACTCGTGCTCCGGCTGCCAAACCACAATCTCGCCGTCGACGCTGCCGGGGTCCTGCTCCCACGGTTCCGCCGGCTCCTCATCTTCGGATTCGACCTGCTGACGCCGCCTGCCTGCCTTGGCGGTAGGTCTGCGGCCTCTCGACTTGCCCTTCCGCGCCGCCTCCCGCTCCTCTTCCTCGACGCGGACGACCTCCTTGACGCTCGGCAGGAGGAACCTGTTGCCCTTCTTGCCGTCTTCAAAAGCCTCGTCTTCGTCGTAGGTGACGTGCTCGTTCTTCCAGAACGCCAGCGGCCTGTAGGACTGGCGTCCTGATCTCGTGTGGGTGATGGAATGAGGGTCCTGCTTCTGCTTCTGCGAGACTAGTCCGCGCGCCTTGGGCATGGGCGGTCCCTTTTGCACCACGCCCAGGATCGAGTCCTCGCCCGTCGCGGCCTGCGGCTTGCGTCCTGGCTTGCCCTTGGGCCCGGCTTTGGCTTTTGAGGCGGCCTTGGCCGTCTGCTTCGATGATTCGCCCTCCTCCTCCTCCTGGGGCACAGCTTTCGGGCGTCCCCGTGCTCCGCCCGTCGCCTTCTTTGGTTCTTTCCGCTGTCGTTTGGATGCGCGATCGTCTTCCTCCTCTTGCTCGGCTTTGTCTGCGTCGGAGTTACGCGAACGTCTTCGTTTGGGTGCGCTGACCTCTTCCGCTTCAGGCTCCGGTTCGTCTGATTGGGTCTTGCCCTTGCCCTTTGCCGGCCTGCCTCTCCTCTTGACTGGTGCTGGTTCTGGTTCGGGATCATTGCTTGACTGTTCCTCTGCCTCTTCCTGGACAGCTGGCTTCGCCTTGGCCGGACGGCCTTTGCGCTTCACTGGCTGCTTCGGGGCCTCGACCTCTGAGATTTCCTCTGGTTCCGGTAATTCTGGCTCAGATTCGGGCTCTGGCACTTCTCCGTCATCCATGCTGACCATTTGCATCGACTCCTCGTCCCCGTTCTCGACAGTGCCGTTTTGCGCCTGTAACACGGCCTCCTCGTCTTCCTCGTCCTCGGAAGAGACTGCGCGTCCACTCTTGAATCCGTTGGGACGTTTACCGTTCAACCCGGGTCCGTTCTTCTCCAGCGCGCCGTAGTCGAGTTTGCGTGATACAGGAGCTCCACGAGCTGGCTGGGTTTCTATCGGCGAAGATGATCTCCGCTGGGGTGACAGTCGTGTCGGTGATGAGGAAGGGCCGAAGCTTGGGTGACGCATCGCAGGTGATCCGAGGTTCGTCTTTCGCGGGGAGGTTCCTCGGGGAACGAGCCGAGGGTGGTTCTTCATAATGGTGGAAGGCCCGGGACCCGATTCTAATACGGAAGCTTTGTCAGAAATCGAGCGACGTTGCACGATGTTAGTAGATCTTACCCGAATCCAGCTCCATGTCCTGTTCTCCACCGTCGCTGGCGGATCCGTTTTCCTTCTCTGGCGAGGAGAAGAGGCCATCGATGGGCTGCATGCCATGTTCGTCGCGTACGCCCGTGTCGGGCAATTCAATGCCAGTCTTTCTGTTGGGATGTCAGTCCAACAAGTCCATATGCAAGCTCGAGCTTGCGATCCGCGCCAGCTCGAGACGGGAAGTGCGCGACGCACCGTCCTTTCACACCAAGCTCGTGAAAGTCGCCTGTTGACGTCTCGCGACGGCGGACATTGCTCTGTCGCGGTGGTGCCATTGGGAATGCGCAGTTGTCAAATGGTCCGGTTCGAGAAATTTGATTAAAATTCGAGATGGAGCATCCCGATCTGGGGTCTTCAGCACGAGTGACTTGGGTGAGAATGAAGGGACGTCGTGGACCGAATCGTGGCCGTGTTGATCTTGGGGTGATGTGGTGTTGGGAGGTAGACCGCGCGCAACTTTTTGGTCGACAAGTAAATTGGCGACGCGCGCTGAGCACAACTATGTCGACGGACTTTCAGTGGCCGGGGACCTGCTGCAAATGGGGGTTAACAGGGGCCTGTACGTGTGGACTTGGCGCCACTACTGAACGCGTCCCCATTAATCTAGACGCGTCGAGGGGCTAGCCAACAAGAATTCCCAGTCCCCCCAAGTCCCCCCAAGTCCAAGTCAACTTGTAAACTATCAATTTTGATTTTGACAGTCTCAACTATTTTGGTTTTCCAGCTCGGAGTTTGGAAATAGACGGATTGCAATTGATTCTCACAAGATACCCAAACGACGACATACCCCTATACGCCGTTGCTCCTCTACCTTATAACTCGATACTGAGAACCAAGACAAATCCAGTTTACTCTCAACCCATCTCCAGCTCACCAGTCATAATGGAAGACTCTCCAATGGTCGAGGACGTTGCCCTCGAGACTCCAGTCCCGGGTGCCTTTGTTCCCCCTTCTATCAACGAAGAGGCCATTCTCTCAGGCGACTCATACACATACTTCTCCCCAGTTCCCTCAACACTTCTCCCGCCAACCTCAGCAACAAAACCTAGCACATCTGACGATTCAGTTTCACTAGCAGCGCCCGGCACTCCAGTCTGCCTGGGTGTCGATGAGGCCGGCCGCGGGCCGGTCTTGGGACCTATGGTGTATGGTGTCTTCTACCTACCTATTCCTCTCTCGGACCCCTTACTCCGTGAGACCCACCACTTTGACGACTCCAAAGTGCTCACACCAGCCGTCCGCTCACAACTCATGACGGCTCTATGTACGCCAGGCTCCGACCTGGCCGAGACTTGCGGCTTCGCCATCTCAGCTCTTAGCGCCCGCGATATCTCATCAGGCATGATGCGCCCAGTGGCCAACTACAACCTCAACGCTCAGGCTATGGACGCCACCGTCGACTTGATCAAGGGTGTCTTTGCCCAGGGCGTCAACATTCAGGAGATTTACGTAGATACTGTCGGTCAGCCCGCCGCCTACCAAGCCAAGCTCCAGCGGTTCTTTCCCGCAACAAAGATTACAGTCGCGAAGAAGGCAGATAGTCTCTACCCTTGTGTATCGGCCGCATCTGTAGGCGCAAAGGTCACTCGTGACGTTGCACTCGAGGTTCTTTACAAGGGGCGAGCCCCTGACGCTGCGGCAGAGGGAGAGGAGGGCATGGCTTGGGGTTCGGGATACCCATCAGATGGACGATGTGTGTCATGGATGAGGTCTAATATGCACCCAGTGTTTGGATGGGGGCCTGAATGCCGGTTCAGCTGGGGCACGGCCAAGGACATGCTCGATGCCAAGGGAAACCCCAAGGTGGACTGGCCAGTCGAAGAAGATGGCGATACCGCGCGGATGACAGACTACTTCGCGTCGGGGAACAGGGATGAAGACGGTGATGAGTTGGGAACTTGGTTTGGGAAGCCGGCTGGCTTGGAGGCGTTTTAGTTCGGTGGTTTAGACTGGGATTGTACAATATGTGTTCCACTATTGAAAACCGCTCTGGAGGTGTAAAGACGTACCGTTGCCTACCTTGGGCTGTCCATGGGTATGAGCGGCGATGTCTGAATAGGCATCAGGGACCAACGATGGTTTGCTCGCGTGTAAACCTCATCAATATTGTCAATAGGCAATACTTTACCCTTGTGATACTTCCTTATGTCTTTGAAGTAGAAGTCGGCAACTGTTCTGTCACATTACTTCAAGGAGGTGATCGGGAGATGTCGTACAGTCCCCGGCCGTGTCTGGTGAGCATCATGAACAACCCCATTGTCCACCTGGTATGGCATCTCCATGATTCCGGAGTCGGTAAACGGCTACGAGCCAGTACTTTGCATTCACCCACCTTTTCTGAAGTGTCTTTGCCGGTCATGTTACACGGTTCCTCCCATTCAGTGACATATCGGTGTAACACCTTGCCATATTGTCAACTTCACTTGCAGTCGATACAATGTTCTTGTACTCTGCTCATCTACTCGTTTTGACGATGGACATACGTAATCTTTGAACAATACCTATGATCAGTGTCGTTCTGAAGGATAACAAGATCCGTGACACGGGTTTCTTCGTGCCACATGGTCGCAGCTTCCTTCGGCTACTTTCAATTATGCAGTAAACAGATTTGTCTGGGATTTCCATCACCAGTATTGCTCATCCATGAAAGCACACAGTGCCTACTGTATTCATCATCAATCACATTTGAGTTCGTCAGAAATATGGCAAAGCTTCTGGTCAGCTGGGAAAAAAACCTATCATTTGACCAGAAGCTTTTTGTTGATACGGCCGTTGTTAGGTACATGTACCTTCAGTTGAATGTTAGCATTTTCTGTGCTTGTTTGATGAACTCCATACGTTTGACACATGTGACAAGTGATGTTCGCCCCAGCTCCTGAAATGTCTATTTACGGCCTTCACCGTAGAAGCATACAGTCCACTAGGTGAGATTAAACCCTTCTCTCTAAATCGGTCATTTAACTACGACAGGTTTACAGGAGGTCTTTAACTCAGTCATTAGAAAATGAGGCCACACAAGCCATGGAGTCAGGATTGCGATGGCTTTCGAGTGTTCCCCTGCCCACAAAAGGGACATTTGAAGGTGGCGGTAAACTAGCATAACGTGACGTCCGTTACTTCAAGTGTTGTGGCCCACGTTAAATATTTATGTGACACACATTCATTTGATAAAGATGGGAAGTACGGAGTCTGAATAGACCTACGTGAGACGAAGTCATCGAGCTGGAAAGGCACTGTTCATGCACAAAGAGCTTCACAGGCAGGGGGGGGGGGGGTGAAGAAACGCAGGTTCGAACCCACACGAGACTTTGACGGAGTCAAGCTGAAGTGAATACTCAAGCTATTTAATTACATGTAATCTGTCCAGATTTAATTCTAGCAGACGTGTTCACCCTCCACTTACTAACGTTTTTGATATTGCCAATACGCTCCTCTCAAAAATATACCTAAACAAGGTTATACGTTGCCTCACTTCCGCGCTTAACTCAGAAATACTGCCTTACCGCAAGCTTCATGATGTCTTTTCCTGATACCACTGTCAGAGCCAGAATCAGCAAAGACTGGATCCCATTCGAAGATCCGCAAACTAGGGGCATCGAAGATTATCCCTGGGACAAGCTGGCGCAGGGCACTGACGGAATCATTCGGGATCCTGCCGAAAAGATATACGACCGCTATCTGTGGTTCGAGGTTTACGGCCGCGAGGACTTTGCCTGGGGTCTTCATTGCAACCCCCAAAAGTTCAAGGATCGTCTCATCGTTCCCGAAAGGTACCTTGAGATAGGCCCTCGCTTGGCGTCATGTTCCTGCAAGGAACTTGATAAGTCGGCCCCTGTTTTAAATGCCGACAAAACCATCGAGAAACCGTTTGAACGCCTTCTCGTCACGTTCTTCAAGTCGTGCGAATCTCAGAACCATGCGTTAGGTCTTGCCGGGGTTAGTCTTCGACAGCTTGACATGTTGAAGAAACCGGGGGAAATTGCGAGCATTGCGAAGAAAATGGTTCAAGGTTAGTGAACAAAGTCCTTTATTACGAGAACATGAAATGTCGAGAGTAACCCTAGGCTTCGAGAATATGGGAACTCTTGATTTGTTTCGCGACAGCATGCCCAGCCTCAAGGACATCAAATCGAAGGTTACCGAGTACAATAAACTCTCTGCTGAAGAGAGAGATGACCTAGACACCAAATGTATGCTTTATATCACTGTCTATCACGGAGAGGACGAAGTTTTTCCGTACAATTTCACAGCCCATTGCTATTGGAAGATGAGCAAGGAGGGATCGAAATACGTGGAAAGTCAACGACAGAAAATCGAATCCACGTTGCCATCTAGATATTCAGTCAACCACTACGAGTATATGAAGAACTTCCTCAAGGAACCCAACAGAAAGTGGGCGATTTACCCCATCGCCAAGATGGAGAAGCCTAATCTCTCTGAGGGCCCGGCATGGCATACCTGGGCGGAACAGGCAATCATTGCCCTATACGATGCCTATCATCCAGGTATGCGAGACATGTCTTGGGAAGGCTTGAATAACCCCGCCACTTGTTTGCCCGGTCACGTCGCTAGTATCCTTACAAGAATCGCCGGCTCAATAACGGCATCTAGGGCATTTGCTTCATTCGCGAGACCCAATTTCGCTATTCTCTTCGACTCGGAGAGTGGTCTCAATTGGAACAGTCCAGTCTTGGAGTTGTATCGTACCAGAAACGGTCTCTGGACTGGACCCGAAAAAATTCGTCATGTTTTGACTGGGCCCCAAAGAGACCGTCTTGGGCCTCAAGTTGATTGCTGGCTCTACAAGGGACCGCCGTGCAGAGTGGAAGACAACGGCGACCCCAGAGATCCCAACAGGCTTGCCGTCACTTTTTTCACACGTAAAACGCCACAAGGCGTTTACACGGAAGACGCCACTCAGGCGCTCCGCCTTCCTCTGAGTGGAAATGCTGGGGGATCTGACTGGGGGGTCAGAGAGGGCGACTACGTAATTCCCGCAGTCGAGATCGCTATGTCGAGTACGCGCCATCCTTATTCATACGAGGACTTTCTCCGCGTCGGTCCATACGACACCTTCTTGGAAATGCTCAAAGTCGCCTATCGCATCGAGTATACGAATTCAGACGGGAATCTCGAGACCAGGTACTTGACACAGGAAACAACAGCGCACTTACCAAATGGAAATTGGGCCCAGGCGATGTCCGTCCTCGCGACATTTGTCAATGACTGGCGGGGTGTCCCCAAAGGTGTCCCGAGTCCCCTCATAGACAAATGGCAGATCAGGCTCCGCAAAGTTGAACCAGTCTTCTTTACAGAGAGCCATAATGCTGAGATCCCCAAGAAGATAGACCAGGACCGGCCCGAATTGCTCCCCGATGCGGAAATGAAGAAATATCGTGACGGGACTTATAATTTCAATGAAGCTGATTGGTATTCCACGGACAAGGCAAACTGGCAGAAGCCGGTCGTCATCAAGAGCAACAACATTGACGATGTTGCTTCTCAAGCTGCAGAGGCTGCTGGTCACAAGGAGAAAGTTGGCAACGGAAATGTCAAGTGCAAGGAGATGGGCCGTTTCCTTTACGATTCAACAACGGCCCTTGATCCCGAGGAGGGGCTCTAGGGCGGACTAGGGGACCTGGGAGATGGACAACGTCTTTCTCCCGATACCTAGCCACCTTGGAATTTTCTATGGATGATTTCCGTACTTCGCTCGCAGGGGGTTTCGCGATGTCCTAGTTCTCAGTCACTTTCAATTTACCATGCTGAGATATACGCTTAACACGAATGTTTCGTCAAGTCTTGTGGCATAGGAGATCCAGTATTTTTGAGCGCCTTGATTTTCAAGTGAAATGGATTCAAAAGACCATATTTAATCAACCGATATCGCTGCCGCCGCTGCCTTCCTCAATGTCGTCGACACCGATCCTGACACCATTTTGTCTTGGAGTTCCGATCCGGATCCGAGGCCCACTTATTGCGGGCTTCTTGTATAGCTAAGGCCGACCGGCCGGGGCCGAGCATGTGGAGTCACTTCCGATTGTCGCAGAATTTAAGTAAGGTACCTACCTACCTGCCTATCTTGCAATTCCCGCCAGTATCGGAGGGATTTCTATCTTTGTCTCCATCCTTGGTTGCTTAGTCGTTGTTGGGAACTACTGTCCGTGGAAGCATCGGGTACGAATACGCACCGAGAGATTGCGAGGCAGAATGACAGAGGGGACAATAGTAAGAAGAGGGATAGGAGGAATGGGAGGAACAGAAGTAGAAAAACCCGCAATGGTGGGTTTCATTGGGCTGCCATGGCAACAAAGGCTGCCCTTTGCGCACCTGCATGCAATGCTCACCACCTCACACCCACCAATCCTAAGAATAGTTGCCTAGTTGCGATAGCAGCCTGATTTCCAACGTCAATTCGCTTTGCCTAGCTGTGGCAGTTTGCCTGAACGTTCATCTCAATGCTGTACCTAGTCCCTTGTGTCCCCTCCTCACCTTTGCCGCCGCATTTCTTGGTGCTCCCAACCCAACTGACATTGATTCCGGTTGCTTAAGGTGTCTGACTAAGGTCCAGACTGGAGAATCGAGATGGTTGTGGTGGATAATAGATGCTTCATGAAGGGTCTCTGGAGCCTGGGTCCTGTCGCTGGGCCACATAGCTGGGCCACGCAGTGGCCCAGTCTGGATGATATCACCTCACCAGCGATGGAAATTCTTTTTTCTGGAGCGGTGTGGATTCTTGGACGAGAGGGGAAAAGTAGAGGGTACCTACACAGACCAGTTTTAAGGCGTGCATGGGAGCCAAGCTAGGGTACTGCAACAAGGGGCGCAAACGGACTGCCCCTCCATAGACTTCATGGAAGGTTATGATGTCAGCGAATCGCCTTTCGCAGAATCTTTCGAAAGTCGTTGAAATCGCCTTGGGGAATTGCCTCGAATCCAGGAAAATTGGAAACCTTGCCTCCTGGAGAGGCTGAAAAGGCCCTAGTCTCGAATTAATCCTTGTATGGGTTGGTAGAAAATTTCAGGCGTGTTCGAGAGGTTCCTGGAAGCGTCTCCAGCTGGGCCGCAGCGATGGTGGTACCCCACCAATTGAGGGCGGGTGGAAGAGGAAAGAACCATTTCGAATTTTTGCGGGGCACTGAGTCGCTCCTGTCTCCTACCTGCCTCGTACCTTTTAAGAATCCAAACACCAACCTTTCGCATCTCCTGTCTTTTCGTTCTTCACGAAAACCAATTTCCTTCTTAATACCCATCAACAATCAGAAGTGTCCAGCGCATTTCTTTTTTCACCGAATTCTTGATCGCTGATATCAACTCTACCGGAATACACCTTCTCCCGGTTACGCGCAGAAGATACCCCTCCTTCAACACGCAAACTCACAAAACACCACAACTCTTCCACACATCACAACCGTCACAATGGCTTCCGGAGGCAAGGCTGTCGGTATCGACTTGGGTACTACCTACTCGTACGTTGCTCCTTCTTTCCTGTCCTCTTCCCCCTCCCTGGTGCGCCTTCTCGCCGCCCAATTCTCACCAACACACAACACGATCACAACATATACTAACAACATCTAGATGTGTCGCATACTACTCCAACGACAAGATTGAAATCATTGCAAACGACCAGGGAAACCGCACCACACCTAGTTTTGTTGGGTACGTGAAAACTTCCACGTCGATTTCGACTTTTCACGTCGTTTTCGGCGTTTCCAGTGTTTGAAAACCATTTTTGCTAACTTGTGAATAGTTTCACCGACACTGAGCGTCTGATCGGAGATGCGGCCAAGAACCAGGTCGCAATGAACCCCCACAACACGGTCTTCGATGCCAAGCGTCTCATTGGCCGCAAGTTCCAGGACTCCGAGGTCCAGGCTGATATGAAGCACTTCCCCTTCAAGGTCATTGAGAAGGGTGGCAAGCCCAACATCGAGGTGGAGTTCAAGGGCGAGACCAAGACCTTCACTCCCGAGGAGATCTCCGCCATGGTCCTGACCAAGATGCGCGAGACTGCCGAGTCTTTCCTCGGTGGCCAGGTCAACAACGCTGGTAAGTACTCATACATCCCGAATCTCTCAAGACATACTAACAAACACAGTCGTCACTGTCCCTGCCTACTTCAACGACTCCCAGCGTCAAGCTACCAAGGACGCAGGTCTCATTGCCGGCCTCAACGTCCTTCGTATCATCAACGAGCCTACCGCCGCTGCCATTGCCTACGGTCTTGACAAGAAGGCCGAGGGCGAGCGCAACGTTCTCATCTTCGATCTTGGTGGTGGTACTTTCGATGTGTCTCTTCTGACCATTGAGGAGGGCATTTTCGAGGTCAAGTCCACCGCTGGTGACACTCACTTGGGTGGTGAGGACTTTGACAACCGTCTCGTCAACCACTTCGTCAACGAGTTCAAGCGCAAGCACAAGAAGGACCTGTCCTCCAACGCCCGCGCCCTGCGCCGTCTTCGCACCGCTTGCGAGCGTGCCAAGCGCACTCTGTCCTCGTCTGCCCAGACCTCCATCGAAATCGACTCCCTGTTCGAGGGTATCGACTTCTACACCTCCATCACCCGTGCTCGCTTCGAGGAGCTTTGCCAGGACCTGTTCCGCTCTACCATCCAGCCCGTCGACCGTGTCCTTACCGACGCCAAGGTCGACAAGTCCCAGGTCCACGAGATCGTCCTGGTCGGAGGTTCCACCCGTATCCCCCGTGTCCAGAAGCTCATCTCCGACTACTTCAACGGCAAGGAGCCCAACAAGTCCATCAACCCCGATGAGGCTGTTGCCTACGGTGCCGCTGTCCAGGCCGCCATTCTGTCCGGTGATACCTCCTCCAAGAGCACCAATGAGATCCTTCTTCTCGACGTCGCTCCTCTGTCCCTCGGTATTGAGACTGCTGGTGGCATGATGACCAAGCTCATTCCCCGCAACACCACCATCCCTACCAAGAAGTCCGAGGTCTTCTCCACCTTCTCTGACAACCAGCCCGGTGTCCTCATCCAGGTCTACGAGGGTGAGCGCCAGCGCACCAAGGACAACAACCTTCTCGGCAAGTTCGAGCTTACCGGCATTCCCCCCGCCCCCCGCGGTGTTCCCCAGATTGAGGTCACCTTCGACCTTGACGCCAACGGAATCATGAACGTCTCCGCCGTCGAGAAGGGTACCGGCAAGTCCAACAAGATTGTCATCACCAACGACAAGGGCCGCCTTTCTAAGGAGGACATTGAGCGCATGCTTGCTGAGGCCGAGAAGTTCAAGGATGAGGATGAGGCCGAGGCCCAGCGTGTCTCTGCCAAGAACGGCCTCGAGTCTTACGCCTACTCCCTCCGCAACACCCTCAGCGACTCCAAGGTCGATGAGAAGCTTGAGGCTGACGACAAGGAGAAGCTCAAGACTGAGATCGACACCATTGTCACCTGGCTCGACGAGAACCAGCAGGCCACTCGCGAAGAGTACGAGGAGCGCCAGAAGGAGCTTGAGGGCATTGCCAACCCCATCATGATGAAGTTCTACGGCTCTGCTGGCGGTCCCCCCGGTGCTGGTGGCGCCCCTGGCGGCTTCCCCGGTGCTCCCGGCGGCGGTGCTCCCCCCGGCAACCACGACGACGGCCCTACCGTCGAGGAGGTTGACTAAATTGATACCCTTGATGAATTCTTTCCTTAGAGTCCGAGTCATGGGTGTGGCGCCGCATCGGCTGCTACTGGGTTTCACGACTAGACTTTTGCTTTCTTTGCATTTATGAAATCACGACGGGAAAAGCACGGTTATGGGTCAGAGATGTATTCTAGCTAGACTCCGCGGTTTAGGAAGTCTAATACAAAACAGTCAAAAATAACTTGTTCGCACAATCATTGTGATGTGATATGATGTACTCTCATAATTGTGCTCATGGAAAAGTTTGCAGTAGGGTCAAGAACCTCACTTTGCCTGACGTCCAAAAGGAGAGACGAGTTCTATTTGTACAATAATCATGCCACTGCTTCGATGCCAAGTCCCTGCCTAATCTGTTTGCGCCTCTCAATCTCCATCCTCTGCCAGTCCTCGTCATTAATTGTGGGTTCTTCCAGACTCTCCGTAAATGCCGTGCCTGGTGGGACCTTCGTGGTCCTTGCTTGCCAGACGTCCTCGCTGCTCGGCTTGCCATCTCCATACTTCTCAAACTCTTTCTGGCGATAGTGATCTCTTATGGCATCCTCCTTCATCTTCCCCGTGTAACTCTTGATTCTCATACAGAACCAAAAGTCCTCCCAGTGTTCGCTGCAAGAGCGCATCGTTCCGTATCGGTAAATGCTATTCCACTGGCCGCCAACGGACTGGCAGTGAAAGGCCATGTCAAAAGCCTGGCGGCAAGACATATTTGTCGGTAGGGTAGACTCGGCCACAGGGTTATCAGAAGGTGGCGTGATCGCTCGGTTGCTCGTTTGAGAGGGTGAATCGGGTGATGATTTGAGGGAGAACCATGACGAAGAAGACGATGATGGTTTGGATGGTGTAGAGGATGCTTGTGCTGGCGCAGGCGCCTTCTCTTCTGGCTGACTACCCGATTCGTTCTGGAAGAGGGCGAGGAACTTTGCAATCTCGGGATCGATCTCGGAATCGGTCGATTTATTCGAGGGTGGCGGGGTAGACGCGGGAGCCTGTGAAGCTTGTCCCGGAGCGGGAGTCTTGGGGGGAGATGGTGAAGCCCAGAGCCAGCCCATTTTGAAGAGTTTCCGATACTAAACAACAGACAGAGTAATGATTCGAGTAACGTCCCAAGGTGATATCGTCTTGGGTATGTCGGGCGCAGTCGAAAATGAGGGGAAGTCGGCAACCATTACCATCAATGACCTCCAAGACACCGCGTCTTAGCCAATGAGTGGTTGCATGATTTTTGCCGTAGCTGCGCGTGCTCTGGTGGGGCGTCGTCGGTTCGGATAAGATATCGTCCGTTTCGAAACTTAAGGTTACGGGGCGCTCTGGACCGAGCGGGCCTTCCAAGTGGGGCCGCAGAGCGTGACATCATCCCACGCGAACATCGGGGTTTTCTCGTGAAGAAGGAGCTAAGCAGCTCTGGTAAGGTGAGGTGAGGCAGGAAGGGCTAAGGTAGCTTGCCTTGATTCTCTTCCATTGCCTTCCATCCAGCTGTTCCCAACGTCCCGTCTACAAACTCAATCCCACCGTCGCTTGCCAAAGCAACATGTGAGTCTGCAACCACATCCATCCAATGTTACCTACCAGAGCGCTGCTTCGCTCCGGCACGAGGCCTGCGCCTCGGCTGCAGATGAGATGGGGCCCGCCCCGGCCATTTACTCAACCCCAGCGACATGGAGCTATCGTGCGCGCCGCGTCCAAAGTATGGGAGAGCACCGTCACCGGCGAAGAGAAATCTGGGCACATCGCTACTTCGGAGAGCGAATCAATTCTCTTCTTTGACAGTAAGATACCTGATCACCCCTTCCCTCGGCAGGGTTGTTCCTGCGTCTTACCCAGGACCTCACGTCCTGGGTTTGGTCCATATCCTCTCCTCATTTATCCTCCAGGCATCGAGTATCATATCGATGCCCTTTACTGTCTCCATTTTCCTCGTCAACCACTTCCCCTGCCCTATTCGCACTCACGATCTTGTCCACAACATCCCACCACCCTTGTGCTCCTTATCCAATGTCCATCTCAGCCAACGCTCGCTCGAGAAAGTAACACTGACAACAGCTGGTAGACCTCTTTCCTCTCAAGCTCACCTACCTACTCCGGCGATCATGGCAGTCAGACCGTGACCTGACCGACCTTCTTAAGCGCTTCGATAGCTCTGGCGGAGGCCTTGGCACCGACCCAATCAACCTGGTCAAACGAGCGATCCCCAGCGACCTCCCAATCAAAGTCACAGAGATCCTACCACGACTCAAGGACGGAGGAGCTTTTGTAAAATTCAGCCATGGCTCCGACGTTGTACCGAGAGATATCGAGAGTGAGTCTGCACCTCGTTCTAGTCTGCAGTGACTTTTTCGTCGCTGTCTAAACTGGGTCTCCTCATCTCTTGTAAATGCGCGGCTAACAACTCCTAAGCATCCCTCGCACGCTCGCTCGAAAAGCATCCCCTTAGACCATGGTTTAACCCTTTTCGTGGGGTTCAGGCAGGACTCGTCAAGGGAGTTCCATGGCTAGAAGACCTCTATCGGTTTCCTAAAAGCCGCGTCAAGGTCGAATTCACAGGAAAAGATGCTGGCGGCGAGGCCGTCGAACTCTCACAGGAGACTCTCTACAGTCTGTTCCGCAGATACGGAAAAATTGCCGAGATAACATCACAACCCTCCGACTCGAAGATCCTCCCAAAGTACGCATACATCGACTTTGCGCGCGTTCGCGATGCCATCATGGCGAGAAATTGTCTCCATGGATTCCTTGTCGACGAGGGTCTCGGTGGCGGAAAGATCGGTACAAGGCTTCGCCTTTCTTATGAGCAAAAGGTCAAACCGCACAACATCTGGAACTGGCTCACTAGCCATCCCAGGGTGGTAATTCCTGTCGTTGCCGCCCTTCTCGCTGCCATCACAGTGGCTATCTTCGACCCCATACGTGAATTCTTCGTCAAGGCACACATCCAACACTCTTTCCGGTTGACCAACAACAAATTCTACCGATGGATCAAGAGCCAGACTTCCGACATTTTCTCCTCATTTGGACACAAGAAGGCCGACAAGGCCGGGTTCAGTGCAGTTTGGCAGCATCGCCGAGACCTCATTGAACAGATTCAGACCTGGCTCCTCGAGAGCTCCGACACCTTTATCGTTGTTCAAGGTCCCCGAGGTTCCGGCAAAAAGGAGCTCGTTCTGGACCAGTCACTCAAGGGTAGGAAAAATGTTTTGGTCATCGATTGCAAGCCAGTTATCGAGGCAAGGGGCGAAAGTGGGACTATCAAACACCTGGCCGCCGCTGTGGGCTACAAACCGATCTTCGCTTTCTTGAACAGCATGAGCAGCATGATCGACTTGGCAGTTCAGAGCACAACTGGAGTCAAGGCTGGCTTTTCCGAGACACTGGAGTCGCAGGTAGTCAAAATCCTTCACACAACGGCCGAGGCCCTGAAGGAGGTCTCACTCGCCGGACGCGACAAGGATGGTAAGGACGGGGACCTTTCAGATGACGCCTACCTGGAGGCTCGTCCGGATAAGCGGGCCGTTGTGGTCATTGACAATTTCTTGCACAAGAACGAAGGCTCGGCCCTAGTCTACGACAAGGTTGCGGAATGGGCTGCGGCCATGGTTCAGAACAACGTCGCCCACGTTATCTTCTTGACGGACGACACCTCTTACTCAAAGTCACTGTCAAAGGCAATGCCGGACCGCGTTTTCCGACAAGCTGCTTTGGGTGATCTCTCCCTCGATGTTGCCAAGAAATTCATCATCAGCCGTCTGGAAGAGGACGAAATCGAAAAGGTCCGAGAGCAGTCCAAGGATGCAGAGGAGAAGAAGGACAAAACTGAGCAACACCAAAAACCCGATCTATCAGAGCTGGACTCGGCAATTGGAATCCTTGGCGGCCGTCTCACAGATCTCGAATACCTTGCAAGACGCTTGAAGGGCGGCCAGAGCCCACAGCGGGCCATTGAGGATATCATCAACCAGAGCGCCACTGAAATCGTCAAGATGTATCTTTTGGGCGGTAGGGATACTGTGGAGGGAAAGAAATGGTCCACCGAGCAGGCATGGTACTTAATCAAGGCTCTTGCCTCTCACGATGCTCTTCGATATAACGAGGTTCTTCTGTCCGATACATTCGCCTCTTCCACCACCCCCGGCGCTGCGAACGGCGAGTCGGCCTTGGAAGGGCTCACCAACGCGGAGCTCGTTACGGTGGAGACCTACAACGGCCGGCCGCAAACGATTCGCCCCGGAAAGCCGATGTATCAAGCAGCATTCAGTCTTTTGCTCGACGACCGTGTTCTTAGGGCCAAGATGGACCTGGCTCTTCTGAAAGAGCTGACCAAAGTTGAGGCCAAGGTCATCGAGAAGGCCGAAGGGGAGCTGGCTCTGCTGGGTAGCCTGCCAAAGCAGCCTGCTCAGACAGGGTCTCGAGTGTCGTACCTGCTCGAAAAGCTCGAGGGAAGCCAAGTCAAGATCACAAAGTATGAGAAGGAAATCGCAGCGCTCAAGACAGTTCTCAAGCACAACTACTGAGGCCTTTCTTGTTTGGGAGCTCATGCTCTGTATCAAAACTTGGCAGAGAATGACCGAAGGCGATATACGGTGGTCGATACCCTTCTCAATATTATAATTATAACAAGTCACCCAACATCAATCAAGCCCAAGCCTGTCAAAACCTCACCCGTCCTTATTGATAACGCCGTTCTGGCATCGTCGTCAGCATACCTACCATACCACCCGAGTCTAGCTACCCAAGGTAGGCGGGAGACGTTGTGGGCGAATGTGTCATAAGTATGAAAACACAAGTCAGGGGCCTTCAAAGCTCGCCGCAAAACGAGGCGCACCAAGTTCCTTTTCGAGTTATGACTTGAAAAATGTTGAGGATGCTTATGTGCATGCGCTAGCGCATCGCCTGTACCCTATGACAGGTACTCCGATGCTGCATCTTTCCATATTCTGTTAACTGCCTCTTCCAATGACAACCTAAATGTTTAGTGAAGAAACCCATGCCGACCACTTTGACTTGCAATGCCGAGGTGGTAATCAATGACACTTGTCGTCGTGGTTTTAGTGGGCCTCGGAGTCCTGGAACTTGCGGCCAATGAGACGCTTGGCATCGAAGACCATGGTGTTGTGGGGGTTCATCGCGACCCGGTCTTTGGTGGCATCTCCAATTAGACAGGTGCTCGTGATGCTCAGTGTCGGTGAAACCAGCTGCAAAAAAGTTAGTAAAATTGTTCTAGAGAATGACGGGGAAATCGTGCAAGATACCAAAGCTCGGAGTTGGCAAAAAGCCCCAAAAAAATCGCCTGGCCGGAGGCCATGGCTACTCGAGCAACTTCGAAGAGAGTGAGAAGCATTTGATTGGCGTGAGCTACTGATCAAGGTAGAACCCGACTTGCGACAAAATCGAGAACCCTCTGGCGGAACCATTTACCAGTGGTTCGAATATACAGCACTGCAGGGCCAGTCAAGACTCCTCAAAGTAGACCATGCGATACCTTACCACTACAACATCTGACTGTCTAAGGATTGAAGACAGGATATTAGACTCCGCATCGTCTCCGCCTGCTGAAGGTTCCACCGCGAAGGTGGAGGTGGACAAACGCCTCCACGGTCTTTTGGAGAAGCGCATAGAAAAACGCCTGCCCCGCTGGGTTCGTTGGGGGTCCCTTGGAAAATGAGCATCTTACTGGTTGACAGTCCTCCGTACAGTAGGTAACCGTATCATCTCTTCCTCACTTTATCCAGGACGACACGACTCAGACCTTACCTATTGACCGGGAAGTTGGCCGAAGGACACAAAGGTGCAAACCCTGATGACAAGGTCATGTGCTTGCGGTGCCATCAGTCAGTCATCAAGCAATCAAGTATACTCCTCTGGAAAGCTGCATTCCCTCCTCCAACCAGGATGCAGCAGCGATCATCGGCCGATACCCCAATGCGACAACCCAAGCTTTTGCGGGCGACGATACAAGCATTTTTAGAGGGCTGGGCATTTTCTCGGCAATTCTGGGCATTGCGGGCGGCTCTTCAGCACGATTTCTTGGCTACGACTCTGCCCGACGACACCTCATCAATTTTCGATTCATAATTCAACAACACCTCAGTAATTTTCGCATGTCCAAAATGCACTGCTGCTTCGCATAGCAGATGTGCGGCCTTTTTTCCAACTTGTCGGTATTATGAAGCTCCGGAGACGGATGTCCTATCCATGCATCGCCCACACCATTTTATACGAGCCGTAGCCGACTTGGCCCGACCTTTTCCTCTGTGCCTTCGTACCATGGCACCATGTCTGAGTACCTAAAAAGCCGTTCAGTTGGTTTCCAAGTGGAGATGCCGTTGACTGGTCTGCCATAAAGACCAATGGCAAGCATACCGCCTCCGGACAATGACGTCTTCATGCGGGCGTCGAAATGAGGAGTTGATTTATCCTGGTCAAGCTTGCTCGCTCTTGTGCACTCTTCTTTTCCAACCAGCTCTGGGTACGGGGAACGCATTTTCGGCGCTCCAAACCCCGCAAACCTGGAGTCAAGGTAGCGTACCCGGTATTTTTCCTGTCACTTCTAGGTTCTCGGAGCGCAAGCAGAAAAATGCAATGGCGGCTTCACATCACGGTTGCAGAAGTTACGAGCACTGTGAAATCGATTGCGACGTCAATCCCGCCGTTCTTGGCGCACTCAAGGCGATGTCTTGTTCTGTCTTGGCCTTTCCCAAATTCCCCGAGATAAGTGGCGGCGTCTCCAAGCCTCCAACGTCAAAAACCACAAACGATCCCGCCCTCGAAGCGTTTCCCCCCGGTCGATAGCCTACCACAGAAACGGCGCTACTCTCCAAACATAGTGGGATCGGCAGCTGGGTGGCATCTCATCTGACGACGCCATTCCCGTCTTGCGCCGCAAAGTAGCTCGCCCGCTCGTTTGCCTTGCATGTATACGCCAGGGGCAAATCAGACGGTCGAGCTTCCTCGGGTAGGCTTTGAGTCTTGCACTCAAATGTACTTCTGACGGTATCTGTCTGACGGGGTCCCCCGTTTTGATTACGTCCTGTCTCGAGTGGCCAGGGTTCCTGTCCTTATCTCTTGCAACACGGACGTTCCCACACAACGTGTGTTGCGTGTGCCAGCGCTCAACGGCTGGGACGTGCTTTTCCTGGGGGAGAACGTGAAGAGAAAGGTCAATCTGGGGAAAACCCATAGGTTTGGACTGAAGATACGACTAAATAGCAACGGACCGTCAGAACCATGAATCCGTTCCGTCAAAAAAACGGGACCGTTAACAGCCAAGGCTGATCCGAAGGGACTTAATTAGCTTTTGCTTTCAACTTTGCTGCCTGCGGCGTTCAGCAGCCGGTATCATTCTGTGCCGATCTCTGCCCAATTCCTACAAAACAGAGGAGCGCTACCAAGGCGCCGGGCTTTGGTCCGCAGAACTCAACCTGAATGACAGCCACTGCCAGTGGAGATCTCAAAATGTCGCGCAACCCAGATGCGCCCCTGCGGAGCATCGTTACATCTCCTTTGACCGGCAGTCCAATGAGACTCGGGGATCTAGATGATGGGCCATGCAAGGCCGAACTCGCGAACCATGTAGTCTGGTCTGCTCTCCGCTGCCATGGCCAGATGAAGAGAGAGCCGCCACTGTTACGGTACCCAGCCGTGCCATTACTCTACCACACTACCTACCCGTGCCATACCATACACCACGCGCGCGTGAGGGGGAGTTATCTGCTCCATGGTCCATCTGAACAATGGCGACCATCTCCCTGCCCCCCAAACCCCAGCGAATCCACTTTGAAAGGCTTGGGCTTTCCCCATGGGTCGCCCCATTGTGGATCTATCTCTGTATGCTCGCACGCCGTGGTCCAGTCCATTGACATGAGAGGAGAGAGGGAGAGGGGAACAAAGGTGGTCTACCTAGTCGCGTTGACAGACCGTTCTTACCTTGCGGGGGAAGGTGGTTGCGCCGGTCTGGTCTCCTTGAACCTTACGTAGAGGTTGGGATGAGGTTTCGTCTGTGGGTGAGATACAAATACCAGGCAATGCCCATCCCATGCTTTCTCGGTTTCCCCTCCTCTCGTCCGAGCCTTGTCTTTGGTGTTGGACGATCACTCTCAGATCCAAAGCGCATTCCTTCGTAGAGACTTGACTGTCATCTCGCGATAGATCAAGAGGATAAAGCTAGAAGCATTGGACACTCTCACATCAGCTAAGAGACTATTCAAGCATTGAGTCGCCGATAGCACTCAGCGCGCCGCAACAATGGCGGACGACAAACACAATGACGGAGCCGCGGTGTAAGCATCACGCTTCAACATCAATCTTCAATCTCGGACTAACACTCTCAGCTCGGGCGACTTTTCGAACATGGAAAAAGCCCGTCGCGGATCCCAAGCAACAGTAGACCTCAACGACAACGTCGACGCAAAGTCCGTTCTTCTCCTCCTCCAATCCCTCACTAGGACGCCAACTAACACCGCCAAACAGAATCAGGAACCCCCTCCTCGGCATAACCCGCGCCGAGCTCCTCCGCGACGTCGAAGCCTTCGCCCAAGACAAGGGTCTGCAAGAGTACATTCCCGTACTGAAAAAGGGCGCCCTCGTCGCCCAGGACCCGACGGGCTACGAGGAAATTGACGGCCCCGAGGCCCTCGACGCTACCGAGATTCAAGTCCTCCGCGACGAGGTCGAGCACAAGTGGCGCATCCCCAAGATTCTCTACCTCACCATCATCACCTGCTCTATTGGTGCTGCCGTCCAGGGATGGGATCAGACGGGTAGCAACGGCGCGAATCTGTCCTTTCCTACGGTGTTTGGGATTGGGGGTACTTCGCATCATGATACTCTTCTCGTACGTTCTCACTTATACACTCACTCTCACTCACGGTTCATCCCCGACATGTGACGAGCTTCATTTTCTCCGAATACTGACACTTATCAGGTCGGCCTCGTCAACGCGGCACCTTACATCGGCAGCGCCCTCATCGGCTGCTGGCTCTCGGACCCGCTCAACAACTTCTTTGGCCGCCGCGGCGCAATCTTCTTCGCCGCCAACTTTTGCCTCTGGCCCGTCATCGGGAGCGCCTTCTCCCAGACCTGGCCGCAGCTGCTCGGCTGCCGTGTCCTCCTCGGCATCGGCATGGGAGCGAAAGCCAGCACGGTGCCCATCTTTGCCGCTGAGAACTCGCCCGCGCCGATCCGCGGTGCTCTTGTCATGACATGGCGTGAGTAGAACCCCCCCCATTGAAGTTGATTTTCACTCAGATCTCACATGTACTGACCGTTCCGTCAACAGAACTCTGGACAGCCTTCGGAATCGCAGCCGGAACGGCAGCTAACCTCGCCGTCGCCAAGACCGGCGCCATCGCATGGCGACTCCAGCTCGGGTCCGCCTTCATCCCCGCGCTTCCCCTTGTGCTGCTCATCTACATCTGCCCGGAATCCCCGCGCTGGTACATCAAGAAGAACCGGTTCCCCGAGGCCATGAAGTCGCTCCTGCGGCTGCGCAACCACCCGATCCAGGCGGCGCGCGACATCTACTACATCCACACGCAGCTCCAGGTCGAGGCCGAGATTGTCGGGCGGTCCAACTATGCGAAGCGCTTTGTGGAGTTGTTTACTATCCCCCGTATTCGACGGTGAGTGACTTCCCTCATTTGAGACGAAGAGGTGGTGAGATGAGTATCACGACTGACTTTTGTAATGTAGTGCCACATTGGCTTCCTTCACAGTCATGATTGCCCAGCAGATGTGTGGTACGTCAACCCCTTCTTCCTCTCCCTCATATATCTAGCCAATGCTCACAAAAACGACAGGAATCAACATCATTGCATTCTACTCGAGCACAATCTTCAAGGAGGCCGGCACATCAGAGTACAACGCCCTCCTAGCCTCCTTCGGCTTCGGCATGGTCAACTTCATCTTCGCCTGGCCCGCCATCTGGACAATCGATACCTTTGGCCGCCGCTCCCTCCTGCTCTTCACCTTCCCCCAGATGGCGTGGACGCTCCTCGCCGCCGGCCTCTGCACGCTCATCCCAGGTACCGGAGGCGCTCACCTGGGACTTGTAGCTTTGTTTGTCTACCTCTTTGCCGGTATGTCATTCTCACTCTGCATGTGAAGTTATCAAGACGAGAGAAATACTAACGCCCCACAGCTTTCTACTCCCCCGGCGAAGGTCCCGTCCCCTTCACCTACTCCGCCGAAGTCTTCCCCCTCTCCCACCGCGAAGTAGGCATGTCCTGGGCCGTAGCAACCTGCCTCTTCTGGGCCGCCGTCCTCTCCATCAGCTTCCCCATCATGTTGGCAGACCTCGGCGTCGTCGGTTCCTTCAGCTTCTACGCGGGTCTCAACGTCGTCGCCCTCGTCATGATCTTCTTCTGGCTTCCGGAAACCAAACAGCGCACCCTCGAGGAGCTCGACTACGTCTTCGCCGTGCCCACGCGCGTCTTCATGCGCTACCAGTTTACGCAGGCGCTTCCGTACTGGTTCAAGCGATGGGTTCTTTTCCAGAAGAATGCCACGCTGGAGCCGTTGTACAAGTTTGACCTCACGCACGAGGATCACCACGGGAGCAGCGAGACGTACGAGAAGACGCAGGTTGAGCAGCGGGATCAGAAGAGGAGTGGCTCTGCTACTGGCGTAGACGTCACTGCCTCGTAAAGATGCCGAGGTAGATCTGTAGACGAAGGCTTAGACTAACGCGGGGGGGGGCTGCACTGACTGGGCCTGGGAGCCGTTGGACCGTGGACGTTGAGAATGGGGACTTTGATACCAAATGAGGCTGAGCTAAAAGGGAGGAAGAGCATGGGAAGTTGACGGCGTGTAATACACACGCGCGCCTACGTAATCACCGTCGTCGAGTTTGCTCCGTTGACTCGGAGAATTTTGTTCTGTAGACAAGGGGAGGGGGGCGGCTGAATGGGCTGCCCGCCCACAACCCGTAATCGAAACACATCACGAAAGCACCGGAACACATCCCGATGATGCCACTTTGAGTGCTCCCCTCCCTCTGTAGCGTAGTCTGTAGAGAATGACTGCCGATTGTGTAAAGAGCCCCTCCAATTTTCACGATTCATGACAAACAACATTCTTTACCACAAAAGATTTTCCAACCACCTGTCCACGTATCCCGCCACCAGCCCGGCCCGCTTGACGCAGGAAGGTCGGAGGGGGTGGTTGAGAAAAAAATGTCTCTTGACGAATCTGGCTCAGGGGCGGCAAGGCGGTAAGAGTTCTTCGGAGGTCTCAGTGATCTTCTCAGACGGCGCGAGAGACGGCGGCTTTTCTAAATGGGTCCTCGGATCCCCCTGGTAGCGGGGGGCGCGTTCAATTGACGTATGCACCCCGACTCTCCGAGTCCTTCTCCCGGGACGACGACACCAAGTGCGGAAGAACGCGTGGGAAGGGATTATTTTCTTGGGAATTGTCGTACACGGAAAAGCGCTCTCAGCCCTTGGCACGAGGGCAACGGCAGCTAGGCGTGCTAAGCCATCCAAGGGCTCGTGAAGACTTTCCCGAACTGTCCGCCGCGAGCAGTGATCCGAATCGAGATTCTTCTCCCGCCGCTCTCGTGTTGAGTCTAGCGTCAAACCTAACAATGCAGACTGAGGCGATCGATTATGAAAGATTTTCGCAACACACGGGCTGTAGATCCGATCCAACCTCCGACACGCAGATTCAAGTCGTCGAGAATGTGAGACGCGGCACCGCTTGTGCTACAGGAATTCAGAAAGGGGATAGAACCGTAAGAGGCATATTGCAGTGTTGAAAGTCACATGAAACACATACTTGAAGAGCAAAAAGAAAGAATGCGCAAACAGGCCACCTCGTAATCTCGTGTGGAATAGAGTTCCTCGTCCGCGGACCGTGCCTCTTGCCTGAGAACGTGACGAGAGATCGTGTTACACCGCCGCAACCTCAGAACCTTTAGCACTTGCTTTTTCAGGTACCCGCGTTTTCGAGGGCCTGAGGTGTGCGAGGTGTGTCTCTGACGATCACCTCGGGCTGAAAACCGTTCTTGGGAAAACAAGAGGAACCGTGAGGGAGTCGGTTGTGTCATTGGTCGCCACTGGCGCGAATCGCAATGAAGCCAACGTCGGACTAGGCTGGCGCCGTTGAGGACGCCGGCTGCTGGGCTGCCGCGAGCCGCGGACGGGGCGGCTGGTTGGTCGGGCTTCGAAAAGGGCTAGTGAAGAAGAGCTGGCAACAGGGAGGGCGACTGACAGGCCACCGAGTGGGCACATCCCGTACATGGTAGATGAGTGGCCGACCATGTGGCCTTTGACATTGCGAGAAAAAACCTTGAAGCTCGCCTACGAGTCGAGGCCTGTGGTGATTGTTAAAACCAGAGCGGAAATTGAATTGACTTCCTGATCAATGGGTGCAAGATTGAGTGGCCTGTCGAAGCAGGGACCCATGGGCAGGCCCAGACCGAAGAGACTTGAACGCGCGGTGCAAGCCAGCTTCTGTCACAGTTTGTCTCTCTCTTGTCCTTGTAGGGCTCCGCTAGAACGCAGGGGGCGGGGATGGGGGGGAGGAGAGCTGGGAGACTGGAGACTGGGACTCGAAAAGGAGGAGACTGGAGACAAGATGCGGCGGACGACGAATGAATGGGTGGGCGGGTGGCCTTTGGTGCTAGCGAGAATTGTGTAAAGGTAGAAACGAAACAGAGACGACGTCGGCTTGTGGGAAGGCTGAAAAAAGGACGAAAGTGGTCTGGTGTTTTGGTGTGATTCTGTAACTATGAACGGCATTGATGGCCTGGTGTGACGGGCTGGTCCGGCGGGGGTTCGTCGTTGTCTTTTTGGGCCCTTGGGGAATCTTGGAGGGTTGCAACATGGGAAGGGGGACCATGCCAAGAGGGGTGAGTCTCCAGATGGGTCGGAAGGGACGTGAGGGAGACGACACCCACAGTCTAGAGAGGAGAAATCGGTTCCAAGAGGTTGGATGATGGGCGAAGAGCTAAAGATGGATCAATTAATGGGTGAGTGGGTTTGACAATCGTCAAGCGGCGGATGGATGATGCTTCCAGCGACTGTCAAACGCAAACATGTGCCGGCGCGGACGGTGGGGGATAGTTGGATGAATGAATGGGTGAATGGAAGGGTGATGCCTCTCTCGATCCCGAAAGAGGAAAAAAAAAAAAAAAAACTCCTTGCTCGTATTACACCAAAGACCGTGATGGGGTGGAGACGAATAATTGGGGTGATTTTTGAATGTTATTCCTGGATCGCGATACGGCAGTGGCAGTGACAGTACCTAAGGTACGGATGCAGAGTACATGGAGAGAGTGCCACTGGCGCAATGGAAGACGGCAACCTGGCGCGGCGGCTGGCGGCTGACCGGCGAGATCTGCGGAATTTACTGAGTGCTGACAGAACGTGGAAGGCACGCCGCACAAGGAAAGCACCGCAGCGAAGTGTTCTCAAAAGGGTCAGCACCTCTGTGATCCACGCAAGGAGATGTAAAAGGTTAAGCTTCTAACACTCCACTGATGTGGGAACACAATGGAGTGATAGTCGGCCATCTCTCGCAAATCGAGCAACTAACAACAGGCGACTCGTCAGCTGGGTGGACCTGGGTCAATTGATACCACAGATCTTGCCATTGGACGCGTGAACCGGGCAGCTTCCCTGATTACTCCGTGGGAACTGCAACGCCAACCAGGGCAGGGACCAACAATGCTCCAGTATGAGGTGGAAGGCGCAGACCTTGACCCCAGAGAGCAGCGCTGGGAACTGCTTGGAGGATGGAACCCGAGGACCCCAGAATGGCATACACTACTTGTACTCCGTAGCGACTCTGAGGTGGGAGGGACCCTTTCCACCTGGCAGTGGGCACCAAGGTCGACCCTTTCCCACGCACACTGGCTCAGCCCACCCCAAGGTCTCAAATGACTCCAAAACAGTCACCGGGGCCTTCAGACTGCCGGTACTGACGCTGCCCTAGAAGGATATGTGACGATATTAAGGAACAAGAAACCGAATGAAGGGTGCTCGCATGGCAACATGGGGTTACAACTTACACATTGTAATCTCACCAAAATGTGCAATCTCACTCTCGTGCAGCAACACATGCAAATACACCGAGGCAGTAGCCAATCGAGTGGCGACGAAGGAACATCGAGCTTCACTCACTCGTAAGCGGTTCTGCGGCACGTCTGATGTGCGGCACTCGGACAATCAACTCGAGGAACCTTGAATTGCACTAGGGAACTCTCAGTGCAACCTTTTGATAGCACTTGATTATCCGTACACAGCACACACTTGTGTTCTATGTAAGCAAGACAACCTCTGTGCGAGTGTCAAAACTTCGGACATGTCATGATATGCAACCCAGACGGAAAGGAGCAATACCGACGCGTCCCTCGACCTTGCCGGGCAGCTTCTTCCTGCAGGCTGCAAGGCACGTTCACTATTCACGGTTCGTTACTAACGTCAACGACAACAACAACAACAACAACAACAACACTCATATGTCGTAATGTCCCTGTAACTTGCAAGTGCCGCGTCCAGTAACCCAATCCGCACGGCATTCCATAGCGGAAGTAAAATAGATATGCAGAAAAACCAAGAAGTCCACCGGCGAGCACGGCATCACCAAGGCCCACCTGAGAAGAGGCACCTCCACCCAGCTGAGGTACGTATCTCTGCGGACCCTGTGAGGTACCTTACCTTACGAAGTGACAAAGTACCTGGGAGGTGGACACCACAGACCATCCACCAACCAAGAATCGGGAACCGCCAGTCCTGGGTACCGGCCAGTCCCAGCAATCGACCCGAGAACTTCTGAAACTCGTCTATCAGTGGCTTGTCCCCTGCATCAAAGCTGCCAGCCCGTCCTGCAGCAAAAAAAGCCTGCCACTTTGAGATTTCTGGCCCGTTTTCTGCTTGATCTGGCCGTCTGGCTGTTGTCTGGCTGTCCAGGCTCTCGTTCACTGTCCAGGTGCCGGGACCCTAGAATACGTACCTTACTCGAAGTCCTATGCGGCCTGCCAGAGACACATTGACCCAGGACCAGGAAAAAAAAACCAGATGCACCAGAAGGGGGGGGGGGGGGGGGGGGGTGTCCCGGCTTAGCACAGAAGGAAGGGAAAAAAACCGTTCAGGGGTCCCGCCAAGATGCACGCTCCAAGACAGCCGTCCCTCCCACTAACGCGCCTAGCGGCGGCGGCACCCCTTTCGTCCTGTCTTCAGGTTTACGGCTTTCCGCTTGCCTTGCTTGCCTTGCACTTTGATGATCGTCAACCTGCTAACCGCACCTTACCATCCCACGTCTCCATCCTGTTTCCCTAACTAGAACAGAACCTTGCCGTCATTCTCTCTGCCTATGCCTTTTTTCTGGCTCGTCTTTCGCTTAAACCCTGAGCTTCTTCCCCTCCTCGCCTTCTTTTTCATCTAGACTCCCGCTCGTTTCGACCTCTGGCTTTTCTCCCGACCTCTCTCTCTCTCTCTCTCTCTTCCTCTCCTCCTCCCCGCCCTCTTCCCCTACCTGTCCTATCCCGTCCTACCCTCCTCCTCTAAAGATACCCTTTTCCTTGTAATTACCTTCGCTTTTGGGAATTGGGTTGTCGTCACACGAGGATAACACAGAACATACACGCGCGCTCACCTTTTGTAGAACCAAACCCAGTCGTTACTTTGGTTCTCGACCTTTTTTCCCTTTTTCCTCTCGAGTATCACACGACACCTCGATTGGTTTCCTACAAGAGCAGGATTCGACATCCGCTCCGTCTGCGCATTAATAGACTGCAACTATACAGCAAGTGGTCTGTACAACAATCACCAATTACCGTTTTACACCAACATTCCTCCTCCCCCTCCCTCGACTAGATACAACACACTTGAGAGCTCCCTCGCAATTTCGGCATGCCGGGACCTCTCTCGCCGCGGCACTCGGGATTTCTGCCTATAAACAACACACAGTCAAACGACATGCCTGACGGCGATATTCCTCTGACCCAGGTCAGGAGCGCTGCCTCCACTGGCGCAAGAAAGCCCACGATGAACGCTTCCAATAACGAGGACTCTGGCTCCTCCGGCACAAACGAGAAGCATGGTCTCTTCCACCGCCCCAATGGCAAGGGTGGACGTCGCAAGAAGAAGGCAGAGCTTGGCCGTCACGGAACTGCTGGCTCGGATGATGTCAAGGTGAACGCCATGGGTCGCTTCTACACCAAGATCACCAGCGCGTCCGTTGTCACCCGCTACCTGGTTTACATCATTCCCATCGGCATTCTTCTCGCGATACCACTCATCGTTCTCCCCATCACTGGCCACAAAAACGATGTCATGATTGGCAACAAAAGCGAGAAATCGCTATTCTTTTTATTCTTGTGGATTGAGATTGCCTGGCTGACCCTCTGGGCTGGCAAGGTTGTCGCCTGGCTCATGCCTCACGCCTTCATGTTCTTCTGCGGAGTTGTCAGTTCCGGTACGCGCAAGTACGCCACTGTCCTCCAGAACTTGCAGATTGCCCTCTCACTTTTCTTTTGGGCTCTTGCATCATGGCAGTCATTCCAGGCCCTCTTCAAGTCCGACAAGTCCGACAACCAATCTACCTGGATCACGACCATGATTCGTCTGCTTGGTGCCACCTTTGTGTCTTCAGCCGTCTACCTAGGCGAGAAGGCCATTGTTCAGCTCATCGGTATCTCATACCACCAGAGATCCTTCGCCCTCCGCATCAAGGAGTCCAAGCGCGAGGTTCGCTTGCTCGGTCTCCTTTACGACGCTTCCCGCACTCTTTTCCCTATGTACTGTCCCGAGTTTGAGGACGAGGACTATGTCATCAACGATAGTCTCGATTTGATCTTAGCCAAGGCTGCAAAGGGTGGCAAGGGTGGCAATGGTAGCGCTACGCCCCTCCGCCTTGTTGGCGACATCGGCCGTGTAGGAGACAAGATCACCGGTGTTTTCGGTAACATTGCCTCGGAAATCACTGGAAAGCAGGTCTTCAACCCCAACTCGGCTCACTCCATTGTCATCGAAGCTCTTGAGAAGCATAAGCCTTCTGAGGCGCTCGCCCGCCGTATCTGGATGTCTTTCGTGGTCGAAGGAAAGGACTCGCTGTACCCCGAAGACTTCCTGGAAGTGCTTGGACCTGCCTACTCTGAAGAGGCTGATGAGGCTTTCGGTATGATCGATAACGACATGAACGGCGATATCAGCTTGGAAGAGATGACTCGCAAGGTTGTCGAGATTGGCAAGGAACGCAAGGCTATTACCGAGGGAATGAAGGACATTGGTCAGGCGCTTCGCGTGTTTGATAAGGTTCTCATGTTCGTTGTCGTCTTGATCGTCGTCTTCATCTTCCTCGCGTGGTTCCAGTCCAGCTTCTTGACCGTAAGCTTCGACCCACCCTTTATACTCTGGTTTCAACGCCGCTAACCAATCTAGACCGTTGCCACTGCTGGTACTGCGCTTCTTTCCCTGTCATTCGTTTTCGCCGTTACTACTCAGGAATTCCTTGGCTCCTGCATCTTCCTTTTCGTCAAGCACCCCTACGACGTCGGTGACAGAGTCGACATTGTCGGTTCCGAGAAGCAGCAACTCATCGTGGACAAGATTTCGCTTCTGTACACCGTCTTCACTCGTATCGACAAGATGCAGGTTGTCCAGGTTCCCAACATTGCGCTCAACAACCTTTGGATCGAGAACGTTTCTCGTAGCAAGGCCATGAAGGAAGTCATCGACTTGAACGTCTCCTATGACACCAGCTTTGAGGACCTGGAGCTGCTCCGCGTTGAAATGGAGAACTTTGTGCGCAACTCCGACAACTCCCGCGACTTCATGCCTGATATCACCATTGGCGTTGCCGGCGTCGGTGACTTGGACAAGCTTCAGCTTAAGGTCGCGATCAAGCACAAGTCCAACTGGCACAACGACGGCGTTCGCGCCACTCGCCGCTCCAAGTTCATGTGCGCCCTGGCCATGGCTCTGAAGAAGATCCCCATTTACGCCCCTGGCGGTGGCAGCGAGGCTCTAGGTGCTCCTGGCAACCCATCCTATTCCGTTGCCGTCACCGACTCTTTTGCTTCGACGGCTCGCGACAAGGCTGCCAAGGACAAGGAGGCCGCGCGTTTGGTGCCCTCCCCCGCCGCCGAGGGAACTGACGGCAACCCTGACTCTAACACCGAGAAGGCTGCCGCAGCTGAGCTCAATCTGCGTGACCCGATGGCCGAGGAGGAATGGGGCTACCGGGTAGGTGACGAGGATACCCTGTCGTCTAGGGAAGATCGCCGCCGCTCCAACGACATCGACCGCGTCCGCAGTCAGCTGATGAAGCGCGCCAGCACCAAGGGCGGCGGTGGCCGTCGCAAGCCCGGTGAAGGCATTCCCATGTCCCCCGTCGGTGACGGACCTGGTCTCGGTTTGACCCAGACAACGTCTCGCAACCGCATTTACGACGAGGAGGCTGAGACGGGCGTCCAGGGATCATACAACTCCCCTTACTACGGAGCCCAGTCAACGGGGTACTCCGGTTACGGACAGTCTCTGTCTCCCACCATTTCCCCTCCCCACGCTACCAACCTCACCCCCCATCCACTCCAGAGCGCCCCGTCGGGCCAGCGTCCACGCGGACGCAGTGTATCCAACACCCAACAGGAGGCTCAGCAGAGCACTTCAAAGAAGCAGTAAAGGGGAAAGTCATGGATCACACATGAAAAGTAACAAGTAAAAAAGGAGAAGAAGCACAAAAAATTGGAGAAAGATTAATACCAGCCGGTCAATTGTCTGAAACAAAACCCGGGCGTTTTCTTTTACGTGGGCATTTGAGACTGGCTCCCCATGCCTAATGAATTTCCTTACACAAACTTCACATGGGGGGAACAGATAGATTACGAATAGAGTATGATGACATGTCGTCCGCAGATAAATACTATTCCTCTTAACAATGCTTGGTCTTTTCTTCTATCTACGTGATGCGCGTGATAAGCTTACCCTGGGCTGGAGAGACGTGTGTGTTCTGATACTTAGCACACGTGCTCGACCTCGCCAACGCCCTCCAACGGACCCAAATCCAACTTCAACGTCCTCCCAAACAACTCCAATAAAATCTCAAAGCACACCTTTGTAATAGCCGGATCATACCGCCCTTTACTCAACTCATCGCGGATAAACGCGTGCTGGGCCCACGCGAACTCATAAAAGCTCGTCGTGACTCCCGCGTCACGGAGTTTGGAGCGGATGAGGTCGCGGCCCTCGGGGGGGACGTGGGTGTCCTTTACGCCAAAGATCATGGCTACCTCTGCGTGGGTGAGGTTGGTGGCGAAGAGGTCTAGGGTATGGGTGCTGTTTTCGGGGGCCGTGGGGGAGGAGTTTGCGGATGTGTAGGGGCCTAGGGTACGGGTGTGGATGTCTGTTGCGAAGTAGGCTACGCAGGAGGTTATGCGGGGGTCGAGCTGGTGGTTTGGTTAGTAGGGGAGGGTTGTGAGGAGGTGGGGAGTTGGAAGAAGGTTGAGCTGGTGCCGAGGGATGAGAAGGGAAAAGGGATTGTGAAAATGTACAGAGGCTCGGACGGCGAGGTGGCCGCCTAGACACATTCCCGTGCTACCGATTTTGCCGGTGCAGGTTTGGAGGGTGAGGAGATGGTCTACGGTGCGGCGGGAGTCTTCGTCGTAGGACTCGAGAGTCTGATATCAGTATTGAAAAGGGTTAGCGTTTGTACTTCTTGGTGAGGTCTGCTGGTTTCGAGACCGGGAGGGAGGGGTAGGGGGATAGCGAGGATGAGAATTCAGACCTTTTCAACCTTCCAGGCGTTGCCCTTGTCGGTGCCGGGGACATCGTAGGCCAAGGCCTCTGGGCCGGTGAAGTCGTGGTAGGACGAGGGCGCGGCGACGATGTAGCCTTGTCCGGCGATCTGGCGGGCGAAGCGGGCGACGGGGCCGGTTACTTTAGTCTCATTAGTGTGTGGTCACTGGATAACGAAGTTTATGTATCGTCTGGAGTGAAGAGATTGTGAATAGGGTTCTTGAAGTATGGCCTAATACGCCAATAACACTTGAAGACATAGAGTGACATGAAGTCGAAATCCTCGGTCAAGGAACCGGTGAGCTCGGTATCGGCCTCGGTGAGGGTGGGGTGTTTGCATGGAGGGGTCGAGAAGCCGCCCCAGTGCGGGGGAAAGGGCAGCTTTTTGGACCCCGCCATGGTGAAGAGCATGATCTGACTGACCTTGGTAAATCTCGGAAAAGAGGCAGACGCCGGGGAATTTGCTGCAGTTTATGTCAATTGAAATATTCAATAGACTTGCAAGTCTGGAAAAAGAGATCTTACGCTTGGGGATAGCCTGGAATCGAAGGGTGGAAGAGGAAGATTCCTGTCACCATCGTTAGCTTTCGGGTACGATAATTGCAGTTCGATTAGCACGAACTCATTGAACCATCCTTGCCGTCTGCCTTGGTTGGCACGTCGACGTGAGACTCCTTGATAAGCATTTTGAAGGATTTAGATCAGTACGGATTGATGGAGAAGATGGTAGAGAGAGACGATACTCAGAGTGAGGTTTGTTGTAGTTGAGTGATTTGCATCTCATTGGCTAGTAGGACTGGACCTCTAATCTGGAGGACCTTAGTAAGCCCCCATGTTATTCCTCCACTCTTCCTTCCCAGACCACTTTGGTTTGATTGTGAACAGCAGCTAATATCGTCAATAACCTTAGGTAGTAATAGACTTGAGTTTATAGTAACTGCTTGACGAACATCCTTTAAGATGACTGTAGCATTGCTTTTGACCTGGTATTTCTGCCCTCCACCAAAACACCCTGTCCAATCCCTGATATGCGCTCTCTCATGACCCTGCGCCGGCACTATGCTTTCGATTATTACGCCATTCGCATGGTTCCATCCCCTTGCCTGTCCTTCAGGCGAGAGCCCCCTAAAACCCTGGATATTCCAAGGCCCCGTCTTGGCGACCTATGTACGCCGTTTGCTTCCCCCAGCCTCTTATGATTACAAGCCAAGTACCCCCCTCACTTGTTATCAAGATCCTTGGCATCCTGAAACGTCTCGTTCAGCTTCGCCGTAAGCCCGGCCCGCATAGCCTGAATCTCCTTATCCCTCTTCTCCGACAAGGCCAGCAGGTCCCGGTACTTCCTCTCCCACTCCGACTCGGCGCCGCCTGTGCCCTTCATATTGGGCTTCTCCAGCTTCTCCTCGGGCCGCCGCCACCGGTTATACATGACTGTCTGCACCATGTTATAGTTGCCCCGTATCGTCCCCAGCCGGAACTCCCAGCTGCAGCTGTACGTCGCGCGATCCTCGTACTCCTCCTCCCGCTTCACCCGCAGCTTGCTCGTCGTCATGAGCGCTCGCCCGCCGGCCAGCGCGGCAAGATTAATAAGGAAGGCGTCCTGGTTCGGCGCCGTTTGCCACATCCTCTCTACCGTCGTATGTACGAGCGCGTACGCCTCGGCGATGCTGCAATTCTCGATGGTGTTGTTATTTGCGTCGACCCAGTCGCCGTTGGCTGTCTCGTGCGCAAAGTAACCCAGAACGGCGTCAATGTTGGTCCGGTCCTTCATATTTTCGAACATGCCGATGGGTATGTCGTTTGGTTGCGGCGGAATGCCGCTGCCTTTGGCGGCGGGGGGCGGGTCAACCGGCAGGACAGTCTGCGCTTTTAGGTCTACTGGTGGTATAGCACCAGGGGGAAGGCCCGCGCTGTGACTGGGCGGGAATTCTAATGGTGGTGCCGTGGCTGTCATGTTTGGTACGTCGGGTGCTTCTCCCGGGGGGTCCCCGTTGACCATTACGATTGGTGGGGGCGGCGTCGCGAGACGAACAGATCCTCCTTGACGCTCCGGAACTTGTAGTGAGATACTCGGCTTAGCCGGCCGCGGCATGTGCGGCGGTTGGGGTAAATCTGGGACCGCAACTGGCGGTGTTGCGATCTGAGGTATTGGCGCTGGGGGTGTAATCGGGCCCGGCTCAATCTTGCTCTCAGGACTTGGTCGCTTGTACGCCGGCCCTTCGGCGGGGAACGCCACAAATGGCCCATCGACGTTCGTTTTGTTCATAGGCGGTCTCCCTCGAGTCTTGCCGCTGCCTCCCGGCCCGCCACTCCTCCACGCCGAAGACACAACTTTGGCACCGTGCCGCCGGTGAGATGCTTTCGGTCGTGAGGGAGTTATAGCTGACCTCGGTTCTGCGTCACCCCAGAACCCATCATTGCGAGTTGATGGCGTGAGTGCAGACATCGGCCCCTGTGGGTATGCCGTGAGCGGTGTCTGCGCCGTATCAGGGGCCGGAGGCCACCCCGTCACCGATCCCGTGTTGGCGCTCAACTTCAAAGGATCAGAGCAGCCGAATGTAGCCCGCCCATCGGGATGAGCGGACCATGGACCTAAAGCTTCTGCTCGGGCTGATGTGTAAGCCGTTCCCGTCGGCGGCGAGTCCAACCTCGCTCGTTGTGAAGGAGACTTGGCCAAGTCGTCGTCTTCCGGCCTTTTCCTCCCCCTCCTAGGCCGAATCTGTGGTAAAAGAGCTCGAAGAGCCATGTCGTCCTCTGCCAGCACACCATCCCTTCCAGCTTCACACACTGGCGTTGGGTCGTTTGGGATCTCTATCCAGTACGGGTGAGGGTGATCCATCAGATACTCGAAGAAAGCATCCACATGCATAGAATGCATCCAACGCTGTGAAAGTCAGTCGATTGTGCAACCCATTGAACTATGCGTAGGAATATACCTTGAGCCGGACGGCATACTGCTGAATCTTTTGAGAACTCTGGCCCTTATCCTGATCAGGGGGTTCAACGCCCAACTTGAGCGCCAACTCGGCCCACGTCTTGATCTCCTTGGTCTCCAACTGCTTAATGAGCTCGAATAGAGTAAACGTGCTGAAGCTCTTCCCACCGCTCTTGGGCGGGACCCGGAATGCCTCCCGCAGCGCCGCCGTGTCCGTGTCGGGCGGGACCGCCGGGTTGCAGGACATGACGAAGTGGGTGTAGGCATCCTCAATGGTGTCCGCCGTCACGTTCCTGTCCGGGAGGGTGAACCTGCTGCTCGAGATTGATGAAGTCGACGACCGTGGGGCGGCCATGTGCTGCTGTCTCATTGAGGGCGACGGGGATTGCCCATGCATGCCGTTGGGCACCGCCGGCGGCGGTGGGAGCGGCGGTGGGAGCGACTGTGGGTGTTGGTGCTGCTGCTGGTGCTGCTGCATCGTCGGCGGCTGCGGGGATATCATCGCGCATGAGTCGGTGTTGAGTGATCTGGGATACTGGACATCATCACCGACGAGGCGTGAGTTGAACCGCGCATTGATAGCATGCGCGATACGAGTGGACTGCGTTAAAGCTAACGACGACGCGACGAAGGGTATGGGTATCGTGTACGCAGCATCACTCACCCAACCAGCTCAAACACGGGTTGGGCAGAGAATCCTAAGTGCGTCTTTCTGTCTGTTCTTGAGACAAGGGCGGGCAGGTAATAGAGGCTGAATGACCCGGAGGATAACGGGGGGTAAAACCGATGCAATCCGTCCTGTAACTCACGGTCTCATCTACTTAGGTGACGGACAGCAGATCCAAACGGTTCTTTTCGAGATGAGAGGAAAGCTTGGGTCAATCTAAACATTGAATCAAACCGAGCTGGTAAAGTCGGGGTTAACTTAGGGCCCTAGCGAGAGAGCGATGGACGGGCAAAGGAGAGAGCGAGGGACGTGCTAAAATTAGCCTTTGTCACCACCACCACCATAGCAGTTTCTATGCCAGTCAAAGGGGGCACCACTAGCTATGGCACTGGGGGCCAGAGACTAAGAGTCCAGGTAGGATTAGGAAGGGAGGCCCTGGGTGGTAAAGATGAGGTCTTGCTGCAGCCAGGGTCGCTGCAAGCAGATGCGCCATTGCGCTTAGGCCTTAGGGCCATCCGGATGCTGGGAAGGAATCCCCCGAGAGGGATAGAGCTGGAGATGGAGCTTGGCCACTGGTGGTGGTAACTGTGGCAAGTGTGTGTGTGTGGTTAGGGGGAACGGCAATTGCGGCCGTGTCGAATACTCCCAAAACACGGCGTTTCGGGCACTGTGAAATGTCATCATCGACCGGCTTCCCCAGATCGCCTCTCGCTTACTAACTGGCCCCCAAACTTCCAAACTGCAGGAAATGCCTTTACACTTTCCCCCGGCTGCTCTCGGCATTCCGATCTGATCTTGCCGTTTGAAAGCGAAGGCTGTCAAAGACCGAACTCTAATACCTCTTTACGAACCACTCCTGTCGGATTCTGTACGGGTAGCACTAATGTATATTCCAGCTCGGGTATTCTCCACGTTGTGATGTACCTATGGATATGCTCTCGTGATCAATGGCCAGAGACAAGAAAAACTTGTGGCTGCTCAGGCAGACTATCACCTTCGCAAAAGAAATATATCCTTCACACCCTTCAATGCCTTTGTCCACGGTATCCCACATTGGCCCGTCGATCACATTCAATCAAGTGCGGCGTAATTACAAGCCCTTTTCTGACCTACGCCCTTGACTAATGCCCCCATGCTCCTTGTCCTCCTCTACAAACCCCGGAAACCGGAAACCAAGACTTAAAAACCCAAAAACCTCCAAAATGTCACGCATGGTCTCCAACCTGACTAATCCTGCACCTACTCCGTAGACCAATCACCTCCGCACCGAGGCTCTTCAGACCAATCGACTCCAAATGACGTGATTGCTCTCTCACAAGCATAGGCCCATTTTCAACGGTTTGGATGGCTTCATTTATCATCATGCTTTGAAATACAGGATCCAAGTGTAAGAGTATATAACAAGAGAAGAAGCTCTCTCTCTTAGAAGAAGGAAGATTCTGAAGTTATCCCTGATCTCACAAAGACCATCTCATCATCATCCTCGAAGTGAAATCAACTGGGACCAAACTCATTTACAACTCCAGCATAAATCTCTAAATATCATTGTATAGCACACTACAACTACAGCCAAAACTTCACAAATGGCCATCGACAGAGTCCCCCGCGGCCAAGTCCGCGCAACCCTGAACTTCTTCGCCGCGCCCCCCGACTCCTCCTCCCCCTACAACCTCATCAACCCAGACGGCCCTCCCACCAGGAACTACGGCGATGCCCCAACAGAGACCCTCCTAAACGACATCCGCGGCCGTGAATCAGACTTCACCCTAGACCGCGACGCCTTCGCCGTAATCCGCAACCTCCCGCCCTCCGCAGAAGAGAACTTTACCGACGACGAATCCGTCAAGGAGAAATACTACCCGGAACTCGAGAAGCTGCTCCTGGAGCACGTTCCGGGAAGCAACCGCGTTTTATTCTTCGACCACACCATCCGCCGCGCAGACCCCAAAGCTCTCCGGAACCCAGTCACCCGCGTCCACATAGACCAAACCCCGGCCTCGGTCATCCAGCGCGTAAAAAAGCACCTGCCCCAGGAAGAAGCGGATAAGCTCCTTGCGGGCCGATACCGCATCATCAACGTCTGGCGACCGCTCAATAAGACGCCCGTCGAGTCGTTCCCGCTAGGCTTCGCTTCGTCGTCGACGCTGGCAGACGAGGATATCGTGCCCATCGAGCACCGGTATACCACGGGCTACACTGGTGAGACGGCAGGTATCAAGTTCAACCCGGAGCAGAAGTGGTATTACCTGAGCGGCATGACGGGAGACGAGCGGCTGCTGCTCGAGTGCTTTGACAGCGAAGGCCTGCGGGACGGCACTGGTGTTGAGGGAGGTCGCGTGGCTCACACTGCATTCGAAGATCCGAGAACTAGGGCTGATGCCGTGGGCCGTGAGAGCATCGAAGTACGGGCATTGGTGTTTGGTCCTTAGATACACGCATCTGGAGCTGATATGAGTTATACTTATGAGTCAATGATAATATGAATATTTTGAACTATGAGCATCGGGGCACCAATGCCGTGTTACCCCTCAAATCCGGACAAGACTATTGTCTATCCGTTGTAGCACCACCTCTCTGTCATATCAGACATGCCAACCTTTGCTGTGGATTCGTTGTATTGTCCACTAGATGCACCCCTCAATCATGAAAAGGAAAAAAGAAAAGAGATATAAGCTTGCTCGATGCTGTGGAGTTTGACCGCAGTCAACGGGGTTGGTTTGTGCCCCCAAAAGTCGTTCGAATACACTCCTGCCAATGATCCTTGCCTGGATCACGACCATTTTGATTCCCAAACGCCGAAACACCATTCAACTGCTCGTACGTCATCACTGGTTCTGGTTCTTACGACCCTTGCCGCGGGCACTTCCTTGTCGACTCATCGCTGCGCCGCCAGTTGCGCTGCTGGTACGGCTCATAGGGACGGCGGCAATGGCCGCGAGGGACGGTGGAGGAGCCTCATCTCTAATGCTGCTCTCAATCGGCATCAAATCCTCACGAAGTTTTGTCGGATCCGGTCGGGGGCCTGGCTTGAAACCCGTGTATGGCGTCATGGTGTAAGGCGTGATGGAAGCCTCCAAGATCCTCCTGCTGCCATTGGGATGGTCGATCGAGTCGCCAGGCTTGTGGTTGTAGTCGTACTTCTTGAACATGTCCATGACCATTATATCGGAGTTGATCTCCTCGTGCGACAGCGGTTGCGGCAGGTTGCCGTCAGTATTGCCTCTGACCGGCTTGAAGTAGTTGGTCACAGAAACCGACGGCAGTTTGGCAGGCTCATGTGGCTGCATGATTTCGAGGTACTTGGGCAATTCCAAGCCATTGGCTCCCTCGACGGCGTCGATCAGGTTCTGGTTGATGCCGGCCCTTGTGCTTCTAGTGGCGTGGGAGCTGGTGCGCTCCATTGTTGGTGCAGACAGAGCCTCGCTATCATGTTCACCGTTTTCGTCGCCGTTGCCGGAGTCGCTGCCCGGAGAGGAGCCCCCGTTCGCGTAGGGCTTGTGTCTGAGGATGTGCTTGTGGGAAGCAACAGCTGCAGCGTTGTATGCCATGCTGAGCTCCTTCTCGGTGAAGAGCTTATCGATGCTGTAGGCTGGGCCATTTTGTTTCGCAGCGACTCGAAGCTTCTCGTTCTGCCATAGAGGCGTTGTGTTGTTGGGGTCGAGCGCTCGTCGGGACGGAACGGGGGAGCCGTCATCTTCGCCAGGGTGCCTCTTGCGCTTCTTGCTGTCCGCATAGCTGGCAAGCTCTTCAGCGTCCTTGCGTAATCTCGTCGCGCGCTTCCCGTGTGTGCCACCGGGGCTCGCCGGATTGGTGATGCTGAACTGGTTGGGGTGGAGCAGCAACGCCGAAGAATCTGAAATCTCTAAGGCTTCCTTCTCTTTATTCAGGCGGTACTTTCTCGACAGCAGGGTATTAACGAGCCTATCGCGAAGTGTTGACGAAAGGGCCTGGTGCTCGCGCTTGGCAGTCTCGACCTTGTAGAGATATTCGTTCTTGTACTGGTGGAGGCGACGCTCATGCTCGTGCTGTTGTTGGGTTTGTTAGCTTTGCAGACATGACGACAAGGAAAACTCGACCACGACTTACCATGTGTTGAAGCAAGTGAAAGTCCCTGTACTCGACAAGATCCTCGATTCCCTGGACAAAATCCTCGAAATTGGGGCCGGCCATCTGCAGCAGGGTGCGGTTGCTGTCGGACAGCGCCTCCTGTCCCTGCGTCTCCTCATGTTCCTGTCGCAGGCTGGCAATGACATTCAGGACATCGTCGGCGTAGGGGTCGATGCGCTGGACGAGGTTGGTGTCAACCTGGACCTTTTGGAGCTGATCGCGGTAACCAAGGTCACGATCCCGACTGAATTTCTCTTGCAGGTTGGCGATCTTGTCGACAAGTGCCTGGCGCTTGCGGTCGCGCTTCGATTGGGGCGCCGGAGAGGCTCGGCCGGCCTTTGGTTGAGCGGGAGCACTCCCCAAATTGGGGATGGCTGCTTCGTTGGCTGCCATTGTAAGATGGACGGATAGCTTCGTGTATAGGTCGTTTGACGGTGTAATCAGTTCGCTTGGTCGAGGTGAGGAGCGCTGTTGAAGTTGAGGAGAATGATCCGGTCTGGGTGTGTAGAGGGTAACCGTCGCAAGCCGGAGCTCAAGCAAAACCAAGTTCGCTAGAAGGGGAGTTTGAAGAGAAAAGCTTCGGGAGTTGATTCGATAGAGAATATACCTCTCATTCAGGACTCTCGAATAGGGAGGATACCGTTCAACCGCCCATTCGTAGCGGTAGCTCTGGCTTGGGTGTTTGTGTGGGAGATCGTAGAATCGGAGAAAGGTGAGAGGACGCTGCGGAACGAGATGGTCCTGTGCAGTGTGTGCTTGCCTTGTCAGCCTTTCCGCTAAGTGACCGCATGCGCCTCCAAGTTCTGTACCTGACCGCTGGAGGGGTGAATTTTTCTTATTGGACGGGGGGTCACCCGATGACTTCCGCAGGGGCCAGGGCAGTTAGTGTGCGCTATGCGGAAGGGATGAAAAAAAAAACAGCAGAGGTGGCCTGCAACTCAGCGCATGCCGATTTTAGACCGAACCCCCCTAGGCTTTCAGATTGCGGTCTCCAGCAAGGTACAACCTCAACTGGAAGGCTCATGAGACGAACACTCTATGAGCGATGGTGACGGTAATACCAAGGAGTGCACTTGCAGTCAACAATTGTGAGATAATGTGAGATATTACATAACAACAGACCTCTACCTCTCACTAGTAACCTTGTCTTCCTCTATCTTCATGCTATTGAGTTTATGTGTATTCGTACGGATACTTGCCGCTCTATCTTACGAGGACTCACACTCACTGCCACCCAGAAGCCCAGACTCCAGTGAATCACCGCTTGCATGTAAAGCTCCTTGATTTGCTTGGTCTGATCGATCATAATGTTTATAAACCATTCCTGAGCTTCTGAAGCTGGCTCATCAAGCCGTATCCTCCAAGATACGTCTTGGTCTCCGCGGCATCAGCATGAACGCTTCCCTTCCTCGCCCGCCCCTCGTTCCCATCTCTCCTGCTCGCCTGATCAACCTCCCTCATGAGATCCCGATGCCGGTCCTCCACCATTTTAGCCAGGCTCTCAATGAACTTTGTCCTGCCCTTCTCCTCCGCCGTGCCCTTCCACACCTTGTTGAGCTCCTTTAGCTCCTCGATCCGCTGCGCCGCCTTCTCGATGCCCTTGACGGGATCCTCTGACTTGGTCAGCAGCTGCGAGATCTCGTCTCGCAGACCCTGCAGCACCTGCTGGCCCTTCTCCTCCGTGCTGTGTTGCTCCGCGCCGGGATCAGGCGCCGAGACGGAGAGGAAGGACGAGCTGACTGAGAGCTCCGAAGGTGGGAAGACGAATTCCATGGCGTCGCCAAAGGTCTTGATGACGGTGTCGAGGCGGGAGCGGACCACCGTCAGCGTCCGCAATTGATTGATGTACGGCGGTTCTGAGGTTTCCGCTTTGCCATCCGTGCCTATGGCCTCATCGTCGCCAGTCTTGCTGGCGCCCACGGATTCTCTCCTTTCTTGATCATCCGTGGCCTTGGGTGACGCTTCCTTCGCCTCCTGATCCACACCACTCGGTGCGAACTTCTTGATATCCTCCTGCAGCGTCTCATTCATCGTCTCAGCAAGACTCAGAGTCTCACCTCGGAGAAGCTCGACTTCATAGGCGAGTCGGCTACCGCTCCGGAGGATGTCGTCCGTCAACTGGGTCAACGTGCCGGAAAGCCTCGTCGTGTGGATGTTGAGCTGGGACAGCAGCGCTTGCGCCTCATTGGACAACTCGGCCAGCAGGACGGCCTGGCCGTTGCCGTTGCTTCTTGATGAATGGTGGCTACCATGTTGAAGCGGTGGTAAGGTAGCATTCAGGTACGCTGCTGGGTCAAACGAAGGGTCCAAGAAGCTCTGTAGAAAGTCGTCTGCCACATGGCTTGATTTGGGCTGGATTGTTGCTTCCGACTGTTCGCGAGTGTGGATAGGGAGCGTTTTGGGGGCGCCGGCATTGCTGCTCTGTCGGCGATGTAACGCCGATTTAGAATCCCATGACATATTTTCAGTGGAAGCCTGATGTTGAGAGTCAAAGAGGTGAGATATTGGGGGTATTACTTCGCGATTTCGACTCGCTAAGGACAGGTCTCATCTGAATGGATGAATCCATGGACTGAGTTTAGTGGTGAGAGGTTGGGGGCGGCCAGCCCCACTTTCACCCGCTGCCGCTCTCCCTTGGCCGAGAATAGGCGGTATCCTCCAACTTCAGCCCACGGTGTTGTCTGGCTCCGATTTACAACAGAATTTCACGTGTTAGGATGCCTCAGCAATTGAAACGGATGGTATCACGAGAAATCATGGTTTATCAAGGTTTCTTGTACTTTTTGAGCTCCGTTGCAGAAGTAAACCTCTAAAATTGTCCACTATTGGGTATCTTTGGGCCATAAGAGCTCCCGCTTGTACAAACATCGAATCATCGTTACAAATACAATAAACCAGATGACTATTAGACACGCGGCGAAGACGCATCCGAATATTTGCAATCCGTTATTCTGCAAGGCTTTGCCAAGCGCGGTCGTGGCTGTGACAAGTGCAGTATTCGGGAAGACAAATGACCACCATGTCATTTGGAAAGGCATCTTACTCTCTGGCCGCACATACTTCCAAAGCGATCCTACAGAAACGATGAAGAACCACATGCTCAACCCCCAAAGCCATAGCCCAATCAAGACAGACATGACTTTGATGATGGGAACGGCCAGATCGGTGCCCAGGAAATTGCCGGGCAGTATTTTGTCTGCGGAATTACCGAGTTGAACTGTAACGATTAGTCGGGCCTTCAACTGTATCAGAGGGGAGACGCTACCTAATCCTCCAACCGTGAAAGCAAATGGTCCGATAGAGATGAACTGATTTGGTCAGCATCACTCTTCCAAAGTTGTATCATTAAGGACAACGCACCACACCAGGGCGTTGGAAATCCCGCGGTAATTTCTGCGTCATCAACCGATAGATAAACGCAGCAGAGATCATGAAGGCAATCAAGCAGCCCGCACCTTGCGTAGCGACTGCACAGAGTGCAATGGCAGTCCTGTTGAGAGTAACGACCTGCTGATTTGTTTGCACAGCGGCTTGGATAAGGTTGCTTGCGAAAGGTGCCGTGAGAAGCAGAGGATAGGCCGGAAAGACCCAGGTGGGAGTCATGGTATGAATGGGAAAGATCCTAATAAGAGTTAATCAGACCGAAACTACTCTCCTAGGCTGAGAAGAAGCTCACAATGTCGACCAAAGAATCAGGTAAATAGTGGCACTCGCAACCACACTCAAGGCTATGTAGAACCAGAACAGAATCTGCATGATTCTAAGGAGCCAAGGCCCTACATGCGGCACACCGAACTGGCATATGTTGATCGATATGATAGCGAAGCTATAGCTGTTCAGTTGATGCCCAAGTAGGACCGGTCAGGGAGCTTACGAGACAACAGCTGAAGGAATGAAGAGCGATTCCGTCTGGTCTGTAAATGAATGGGTGAGAGCCCCTGGTCTAGATTTGAATCGAATACTGGCAAGGGCACAGTTCATAATGAAGAGGATGACGTTGAGCAGGAAGAAGGCTACGGCTATGCCGTTGAGCCATGTAGCTTGGTAGGGAACTGTCCCAAGTTAGCATATGCGCCGAAAGGTAGTATTGATGTTACTGACGAGAGTGTATCACATTCGCCATTCCTCCGGTAGCCTACTACGATCAGTATCTTTTAACTATGGTTTGTTACATATTACCTACCATTGTCTATCAATCGTTAGCACCAATATTGTTTGGATGAGCGGGTGTATTACCATGGTGAACCAAGTCCAGGTATGACAGGCGATCCGATCTCGAATTCCTACTTTGTCCAAGCCAGAATGCTTCTCTAACGTAGCTTTTGCGTTGTTTGGACTAGACTCATTCGACTCTGGCTGTCGCTCGGCCCGTGGCATCGCCATGCCATCCTCCGTTTCTAAGGCCGGTCCATAGGAGGAATGAGGAACAAAGGGGGGGCGTCTCAAAGGAGACCTAGGTAAGGGCAATGATGCCAAAGGAGATTCGTTCGGAGTAGCAAAGTACGAGGGGCGGTTGCTGTGCTCATCCGGGGTCTGGTAGCCGCAGTTGGCTACCATTTCATGGGTGGGGGCCATTTTGCGGTGGGAGAATCCCAATCTTCAGGTCCTCGAGCCAGTAGCTTCGACACAACGTAAAGAGGGAAGAGTAGGCTGGGCTCAGCATTAGAGAGGGCGATGTTCATGTAGACGAGGTTCGTGATGAAAACAACGTGGTCGAGGAACAGAGAGCCGAGATCGAAAAGAGGCATGCTCAAAAGCGGGCGGGCGTCCAAGAACGCAGTTCCGCGCAGTGCGGGTTGAGTAAAGGTGTGTCGTTGGAGAGGCGTGAGGGGAGAATTAGCCCCGGGCGTGGACGAGACGTGTGGGTGGATATAGTCAGATGCCGTCCTGGTTGTGTCGTGGTGCAGGGCCACAAACGCAGATCCTAGCTCCTTCCTTGCGCCAGGGTGAGCAACGAGTCGTCCTGTGGGCTGCGGCCAAGGCAATCTGAGGTGGTGTCGTTAGTTTTTTTCCTGGGCTTGTCCGTCGTGAATGGACGGAGTTGTTATGGTGTTTGTGGCGGCAGTCGCGTGGGAGATGTACACCGACAATGACGCGCTCAACAGTTGGAATCACGATAGGATGGAAGCTGGCTGGGAATTCGGTATTCGCAATGAGGTTTCACAGTCAATGTTGTCAGTGACTTTTCTTGGTGTTACGGAAGGTGGCCCGGCTTGGTTGAGTAAGGCAAATCCTAGTGAGAGGTTGTGAAGTGTAAAGTGGTGCCTGCGTCATACAGAGAGTTGGCGGTAGCAACGGCGTGCTAGAACTTGCCCAGAGAACCGGATATGACCCTGCCGCGGATGACACAGCACGACTGGGGTCTCAGCACATCATGTGGGGTCAACCAACACCTGAAGGCTGTCACTGCCTTACACAAGTGTAGCGGAGGTGCAGAGTTGTAAACTAGTTGCTAAATTTTTTCATTTTTTTGTCTTGTTCAGCTCGCTCACAAGTAGTACAGTGTACAACAAATCAACCGCCGGCCTAGAGAGTAGCCACCGCCAGTGATTGGCCATCTTGATAAGACCTGGACAGCGAGTGTCGAGTTCCATGCTGATAGCTATGTAATAATCCGCATCTGTGTCCAGCGCAGCGCTTTTCAACTACACGCGAGGGTCGGTAGCTTATCGTCGACATCGCTGATAGGCTGCATGATACCATCCGGACAACGCTAGGCATGGGGGACCAGCATAGGGTAGCGGCAACCCAACGGTTCGCACCTCGAGCTCTCCTAAAGTTGTGTCCTTCAACAACCGTTCGGGCCGGTACTTCCGGCCAAGCATCTAGCCCAAGATTTCGGCCTCAACCATGTGAGATATCTAGACTTCAACTTACGTTTCGAGAACGGTGACATCTCCGGTTGGCTTCACTGCCATGAATTCATACATGTACACCGTACCCGCAGTGCAGCAATGATGACGCCAGGATTGTGGATTTGACTGCCCCCACTCAAGTCGTGTCGTTGTTGCCATGTGAAATGTGAGGCACCTGCCGGTCTTCCTCAGAGGTATCATCCCTAAGAGATTCGCCGGCGTGTACCTCGTGCCTTCCCAGGCGGGATGAACAACCTTTCTTTCTTCAGAAAATGCTCCAAGGTACCCTTGTAGCACCTTGGAGTTCAACGACACTCTTTCCTCGACAGAACCCATCTTTTTGTTTAAAATTATCGGAACGCAGGGCTCCTGTCTGACGATGAGGTTCAATCTCACCGCAAATCATGAACACAGTCGCATTGTCGCTTGACCCAGTTGTTCTGCTTGACCCCACGACTAATTCCTTCCTTGACATCGCGAGCACCATTTCCTTCCGCTCATCAACAGACCAAGTTTTATTCTCGACTGCCGATGAGCTGCTCAATGGCATTCAGGCAGGGGAGTTGTTTGTCCTCAAAGCCCAGACTTGTCGATTTCTAGTCTCGGTTGCCCAAGAGGAAGACAGTGCAAATGACCAAACAGTTTTTACAGACACTATTGCCGCGAACATAATCAGCTACCCGGCAAGCATTATCATCGACGATATCACATCCGGCACTTGCTAACGAATCACAGATTTGGGCCCAACTAGGAATCGAAATAGTATATGATGTGGAGAGTCCGTTCAGCCATGGGCATTTATCCTTTAAGATTGAGCACGCCGGATCTGTGTTATACCCAACGCTACCTTCCAACACTACGGTCATCACTATGCAAAATCTAACCTGTTCGTTCTCCTTCCGTCGGAAACCATCCACCCCCGAAGGCTCCATGATAGTGAATCCTCAAAGGAGGTTGTCAATGACTGGTAGCCATGGTCCTCTCTCTGGCCCAGAAAGTGACTTGGGCTTAAGTATCTCGTCTGCTGAATAGGGTCCACAAGACGACATCGACGACCCTTTTGACAGCCAAGACTCAGGCGTCTGTCTTATAACTTGCGATACTGCAACCGCATTCAACAAGCAGACCGCTCAGGATGGAGATGTCACTTATTCCGTAGGTCGACTTGTGGAAGCCGGCCTTAACGCATTGTTCGTTGGTCACAAGGCCGTTGGCAGTATCAGGATGTTAACAACAATGGGAACACCAACACTTATCTGCCTCGCACCCGAGGTTTTCAACATAGGCTATCTTTCGGTAGGTTGTCTTCTTGGCCACTTTTTCCACTAATGCAAAAATTAAACAAGACACAGTCCTTGACTACTCGGTCTCGCCTTCTACCAGCATTGTCCTCTGTGTTCCAAGACCTTGGTCACATTGAGTCTCGTCGACTCCGAGACCATGATTCTGTCTCAGAGAGCATCCTTTTATACGATCAGAATAGCGCGGTCGAAGGCTATAGGCATCGGATTTGGAGGCTCATGCGTGGCCAAATCCCCCCCTACGAAGAAGCCAAATCCGCACAGCAACAACCCCGAGAATTAGCGACACATCCAGACGAGGCCTTGAGAGACCTGAGCTTTGATTCCATGACTTCTTATGGAGCTAGATCAGAGGACGAAGCCTTACTTCGTGACGAACTTGACCTTGCGACCAATGTTGAGCTTCAAGCAAACCAACATCGCAACATTCGGGAGACGTTATCAGATATCGATTTAGAGTTTGGCCAGAACACAGCTCCTTCATGGACAGTTGACGACAATCCGTTTTTGTCTTCTTCACCCCTGACCATGAAGTTTCCTGCGGACCGGAGCGAGCCTGAAGACGAGCAAGAGGAATGCGACGACGAGGGCTGCTACCCAGAAGACAATTCGAACCACGATGTCAATCAAGAAGCTTTTGGCTCGCTATGGTCGCCGCTACCACTCTCAAATTTCGGAGGGCCTTCTGACCCAGATAACGAGGCAGACCCAGAGGCAAATAGGCCGGGTTGGGCTTTCGACTTGGCAGACGCGTCGCTACCACCTCTTCATTTAACGCGAGAAATAGTCAGGGGCACTCCTGGAAGTTACAGCGACTCGTCAAATTCCGGTCTTAGTATGGAGGACGAGATCGACTTCAGAGCGGGTTATGGTGCCGATGACCCCCAAAGGCTAGGGTCGACATCCTTCGTATCCTACAGTGATTGGCGAAGTGACGAGGACAAGGGGCCGCTCTCGGAGCTATCATTCCAAACAACCAGCAATGACCGCCAAACGGATGGTGATGAGATATTCGGAGGACTTGACTTCGGCCGTTGTGAAACTATACCCCAGGATTACATGTCGCCAAGTGAGGTCTTTTCCGGAAGCGAGATTGACCTTGACGAAGACGACCAAATCGAGTAAATCAACCTTCAGAAGCTTACTGGTAGTCTGTGGGATGATATTTCGCCAATGTCTACACCGAGGTCATAGAAACGGAGTTTCAAGAGATATATTGCAAGAAATTGATGTCGAACGCAGCCTGTGACATTCGAGCATCACAAACTGTGGTATCTGCCGTTCAGGCGCGGCCATAAAACCGACTCAGTTCTCGAGCCCTAATACAATTCATTATCCAACCTCTCGCCCCATGATTGCAGCTGAGAAGAGTCCGACTCAGCGATGCCTCCTATGGCGCCCGGGCATGCATTTTGTCTCCTCCAGCGACGTAACTGCACTGGTAGTCCACCACTTCACACAGGTCCCAGTTCCCGTCTTCGCAACGAATCTTCCGAAAAAAGTGCGTAACCTCCAGGCCGCAATCCATCTTATTTCTTTCCTCCCTTGCCTCCCTTCTTCGGCTCCTTCTTCTTCTTCTGCTCGGGCTTCAATGTCGCAAAGTGTATGTACCAAAGAAGCACTCCCTGGAGGATGACGGCGACGAGGACGATCAGAAGGATAGTAAAGAGAATGGGCTGGTCGTTCAGAACTGCGACGGCCTCGGGGGTCGCGCCAATGGATCGGAACCAGTCAAATTGACCCATTATTGCGGTTTCGAGTTCCTCGATGTTGATCGGTAGTCGGGTACGAAGTCCGCGCGATGGTTCCCAGAATCGTGGACTGGCTTACGCTTTATCAGTCGATGAACTTCGACGGCGGGTTGAAGAGATGTGAGGTATGCTCGGACACCTGCGACGGGCGGTATGGACTGTGGTGGTCGGAATTAAAGGTGTGTACAGGAAAGTCAAAAAATGAAGGTCTGAGTCTCAAGTGCGCCAGTCACAAGGGAACGAAAAAAATGTACGTATTGTTGGGGGACCGGATTAGAAGGTTGTTTTGTTCGACAGCAGGAAACACGAGATGCGAAAGCAGACGAAAGAAGAGAGGAAAGGATAGGAAGGTTAGTAGGGGCCAAGATGTAAGGAAAATTGATCCGCTCGGCTTCTCGAAACGGGAGACGTCACATTTGGGAGCGCTTCAAGGGCGAGGAGGTGGCCCTACAGTGGCCATGCCACCATGGTATGGTGCCCTTTTCGCAGACTAGACCGCCTTGGGGGGTGAGACCAGGACGCGACATGGCCACATCGTGGTGGTTGAATTGTGTGAGGGAGGGCGCTGCCAGGGGAGGGGCGGCATCGATGCGCGTTTCAGGCCTGCGGCAGAAAGTCGACTGATGTCTGCTGCGGGTGATTGGCTGCGCAGGGACGAGCTGCAGCGGTTACTTCGGCACTAAAAAGGGGTCCTGGGCTTCTTCACGGGAAAGACATTCTGTTGCAGGCAAGTAGGCAGTGGATTGGCCATATGGTTGTTGAGTCTGCAACGACATCAAAGAAGGCCATTGCGTCCTTTCTGGTCGGAAAAGGGTTGGGTTTGGCTTCGTGATATTCTTCGAATGACGCTCACTACAATAACACGAGCCTTCTCTCGTCCAAATAAGACAGGCACTCAGTATCATAAGCTTGATAGAGGCGATGAAGAGCTAAGATAGGACCATGCATTCTGGGATTAAGTAAGCCACCCCCTGGACTTTAGGCAAGTCTCGGTGAGCTGAGAGCTTTCGGTGTGATGCCAACCACAAATCGTTAACCTCGATTGAGTCATGTGACTAGAGGAACATCTCCGCTCCGTCATACCCGTAGTCGCACGGGCCAAGGGCGGGAGAAGACCAGGCTTCTTGGCCAATGATGTGGCCTGGATCCGTCCCAGGCAATTGACCGCAAGCCGATCCAATTGAGCTTTCCAAAAAAATTGTCGACCAGCTGGCGCGACCCTGAGCTCAAGACCAAAAGAGCCCATCACGCGACTTGCACCCACTCCTCGACGACCTCATTCTACCCCTTTGCTGCCGGCAACGAACTGGCGCAGAGACGTCGCCCCTCTCTGCTGCGATGAAATCGGTACGCCCGGCGCGGAGCGTCTTGTCGAGATGCGTCTCCTCCGCCTCGAGCGCACCGGCCGCCCTTCCCTATCGTCTATTCCACAGCTCCGTTAGCCGGTCAGGTCGGAGGCGATCACGATTCAACAATATCACCGCCGAGAAGATGGGTCTGACGACCCCCGATGCCATCGAAAAGTATGCGAAACAAAATTTCCCCGAGTACACGGAACAGCAAAAGGAGTTTCTGAAGGAGAAGTACACTCCCGAGCAATGGGAGGCTCTCCAGGCCGCCGAGGAGGCCATTGACCCGAAAGACTTGGTGATCCAGGGTCGGTTACGGACGGATCCCTACACGCAGCCCTACATTGAAGATTTTTCGACGGTCCAGCCCATCATCGATATGAAACCCCAACCGCCCGCAAAGCCCGTGGAGCATAAGTGGCTCCCGAGGAGAGCGTGGATCGACGACTACATTGAGAAGATGGCCGACAGAGTCGGCGGCCAGATGCAGGATACCATGGGCAAGGCTTTTGCCAGGGCGCTGCGCAAGATCTCGCAGACAAACTCGGCGAAGCTCGACTTCACCGAAGAGGAGCTGCACGAGCTTGAGACCAACCCCGAGTTGCGTCGCAAGTTCTTGGTCGACAACGACGCCGATGTGCTTGGGAAGAAGAAAGAGAAAAAGACTGGGGCGGTTTCCATCGCAACCGACGACTGGCTGAAGGAGCTTGACAAGGAGTTCTTCAACGAGATGGAGGCTTCCCTCAGCACCGAGGAGAACCCTTTCCGCTCCCGCGTAGCCTTGTGGAAGGAAGCCGACGGCAAAAGCACCTCGGCGCTTGCCCCTGAGCTTGGCAAGGTCGAGGGTGTCAAGGGACTCTACCAGCCCCCGGAAGATGTCGAGGACGACGGCCTCGACCCCACGGGTCGCTTCATCAAGCTCAAGCAGGCCACTGGTATGAAGATTAGCGACATTCTCTCCATTCTCACCAAGAGAGTCGTCGTTCGATCCGTTTCCAACCAGACTCGTCTGGGTAAGATCCGGAGTGCTTCCGTCATCGTCGTAGCCGGTAACGGAGACGGCAGACTGGGATTGGGAGAGGCCAAGTCGACGGACCCCGGTATCGCGACGGCGACGGCCACACTTCTGGCTATTCGCAACATGAAGCCCATCCGCAGATATGAGAACCGCACCATTTACGGCAACGTTGAGACCAAGATCTCGGGAACTGTTGTGCAGCTCTTTGCCCGTCCTCCAGGTATGTTCTACCCCTGCTAGTGCCTCAACCCCTATTATTTCTTTGACGGAGTCATACTAACACACACTCAGGTTTCGGACTCCGTGTCTCTCACAGGATATTCGAAATGGCCCGTCTCGCCGGTATCCACGATCTGGCGGCTAAGATTCCCCGCTCCAAGAACCCCTACAACACCGTCAACGCCGTCTACAAGGCCCTCATGAACCAACCCGATCCGGAGGAGATCGCCATTGGTCGCGGAAAGAAGATGGTCGATGTGAGAAAGGTCTACTACGGCGGATCTGTGTATTAATCTGTATACCACTTCTGTATACCACTGTATATGTTCAAACAAAAAAGCGCAAATCTCTAGAGAACTCCCTCCAAATGGTTCACTCACGCCCGCGAATAGTGAATGCAAATCTCAATGTCGTAACGTGATTGGCGTCACATGTTTTTTTTTGGGGGGGGTATCTGTTCTAATCGTAGTCTCGTCATGCATCTGTACACACTTCCTCTCGCGTTACAATCCAGACAGAAACGCCACGAATATCAAAATGCCCTCTCTTGATCTGGATGTTGCACCCCTCGTGATTCTCGTTTCCGCATTCCTTTTACTCCTCCTCCTGGCTCCCAGCCTGGTCACCCCAATCGATCTCCTGCTGCAGCACTATGCTGTACACGCTCGCCTTGAGGAGCGTAAATACCAGGCTCGTCTTGCGCTCCAGTTCCCGCAGGCCGTCGAGAATCTCGGTGCTCGGCGAGCCGCTCAGCTCTTCCAGCGTTGAAGCAAGCTGCGATTCCCAAAAGTGGACAAATTAGCTTCGCAGGTCTTCAGATAGGGTAGAGGGGAGAGAGAAGAATGTCCAGTCCCAGGTGTAAAGGGGGAAGCTATGCGACGAGACGAACCTTCTTCATGTTATCCGCCAACTTTTCGTACTCTTCCAGCACCTCGGCCTCCAACGGCGACAACTCCGGCTGCGAGTGCAGCAGCGTGGAGTCCCGCCCCTGCTCCATTGTGTGGCAGCTGTCTCTTGTTCTCTGTTTCGTTTCGTAGAACGGGCCGGGGTAAGTCTGGCGCCGCTAACTTGGTACAGAGACTCTTCGTTCTTGTCGATTATCGGTGGGAAGTTGTTTCGGTGAGTCGCGGTGGGACGCGTTGTGGCTTGAACCCCGCCAATCTACTTTGCCCAGGAACCTACCCCGAAAAAAAGCAGGCCCCAGTCCCATGTCGGTGAGGTGATGTGCATCCTCGGTGAGCACCTTACCTAATGGAGAGGGACTTGTAAGCGGCTCGTGCGCCATCACCCACCCACACCAATGTTGCGCGCGGACTTCCCGTCATCTTCCTACAACATCCGTCCACACCTCCATCTTTCAAGACATTTTGGAGCGGTAAAGGAGGCCATTGTTAGAGCGGCTTACATGACGTCTGAGCATTCTCCTTCTGATGTCTCTCTAGCAGGGGGAAACCTGGGTAAGAGACTGTATGGTAGGCACTGAACTGTAGCATTCGATCTGTCTACTACCTTTCATCGAGAGGTTCTCTATGAACTGGAAGTGAGAGACGATTATGGCAGGGTAGTTCACCACATCCGCCCAGTCCGCCGTACATGCAATCAAAGTCAGTTTGCGTTCCCTTTTGGAATTCTGATGTGCAAATATCGTAGGAGTCGATTCTACCACGCGTGCTGGGTGCCGAACTTGATCATGAGCGCGTTCCAAAGCCCCATTGTTCGTATTCTCCAAGTAAAAGGGATGGCTTGACGTGGCAAGCCTACTCATCGATATCTCCCCCGGATGGTTTCAGGACTAAACTAGACCACGCGAATCTCAACCCCGTCATTTCGCGACAGTCAGCCACAGAGCTGCCATGGCCGGCCGACACCACCAAACCACATCTCACTTTTGGGCCCAAAGTCGGACTAAGATGGGACTAGAGCACAGGTGAGAGAAGCTTAGGGGGTGGGTTAGAAAAGCTCTAAATCCAGATGCTCTAGCTCAGGTCACTTGACAGACCAAATCTAGGAGAGGTTTGCGGTCATGGTTCAATCTCACCTGTTATAACTTGAGGGTGATCTTCTTTTTCTGGCGTCGTTCGAGAGGGTTCTCGTCGAAAGGGGAGATTGATCCAATACCAAGCCAAACACGATTCGGAAAAAAGTGGCTTACATCAACCCGAAATTGAATAGGGAGCAATGGCTGGATCAAAGACATTCGAGCAATCGCCGCCTCTCACGGCCAGCGACTCGGCTGAACTACACACAAAACGCTCCAACACGCCCGCCCTCCTCGTCCGGCGGTCTTCCTTGATGAGCAAGTTCCCCGAGTCGAGCTCCTCCGCCTACGTCCTCGACTGGGAGACCGACAAGTGCAAGCAGCGGCTCCTCAACCACGCCGAAGATCTCTTGCGGGAAGCTGTCGGCCGGAGGCGGCTCACCATCGTCCAGGGCCTGCCGCTGGATCTGGTTCAGGTGTTGCGGGATTCCCTGGGCGTGAACTCTGGGTTTCTCGAAGCGCATGCAGGGAGGCGGCGGCATCGCCCGTCTGGGAACGACGAGGGCTCGAGTTTTATTTCGTTTGCGTATCCGGAGCTGGTTAAGACTACGAGAGGGAACTATGGCCCGGATCCTGGGTATAAGCCGTCGGCGAGGCAATCTGACTTGGTGGATGTGATGGATGAGGCGCCTTTTCACATGATGTCGAGAGATGGGCAGGCAGTCATGTTCTGTCATGCTTCCTTGTGGATGAGCAGCAAAGCTGATGGTATGTCTTCACAAGTTCCCATGGACATATCTCGTATACTGACTTGCGCATTCAGTCCTCTTCCTAGACCGACCCATATGGAACGACCCCTCATCACAAGTCCAAAAGGCGCGGAGACCACTCTCCGTAACCCGCTCATGGCAAAGCAAAATAGACGAGTCCCAAATGGACGGTACCTCAGTCTGGAACGTCCTCATAGCCGAAGGCGACGAACTCCCAGGCCTCGAAGACAGCCTCCTCCGCACCTTTCGTCACTCCGACGTTACAAGGCAAACACTCCCAGACATCCTCTGCGAGGCCGTCCACGACAAGTGGCTCGACTTCTTCGAGACCCTCCCCTCATGCGCCCAGCCTGGGTCCCTACAGGACGGGGGGCTCTACTGGCAGGCGACGGAATCCCTCGAGCAGAACCTCGATCTTGCGCAGGACCAAGCGCGCCAGCCGCTCCTGGGCGGTGGCGGCGGCATGCGGCACCCAGACTGGCGGTCCCTCCTCGAGCGTCTCCAGCGCCGCGTCGCCATCTCGAGGCTCGGATCGACGCCGAGGCCGCAGACTTCGTGGCCCCGGACGCAACCCACAACGGCGGCGCTGCAGACGCGGGACGTCAATATGCCGATGCAAGGAACAAACAACCAGCCTTACCCTGACGCCATGGCCGCAGACAGCGGTAAAGAAGCGAACCAGCGCGCTCTCGACCGCGTAACATACCTCGGAGGCATCCTCCTCCCGTTCACAGTAGTCTCCGCCATTCTCTCTATGAACGAGGAATACTCCCCCAACGCGCCGCGGTTCTGGGTCTTCTGGGTCTCCTCCATCGGCGCTGCCATCCTCTGCCTTCTCATCATCTACCTAGATCAGCTACGCTGTCTCGAAGTGTACTTTGAAGTAGCCGCAGCGGGGACAGTCGAGTCTCTATTCCCATCCAGCAAAACGCATACTGCCACCGCCGGCAATGGAATATCTCTCATGTCGATGCCTCCGCAGTCGAGATGGCGCCGGCCGGCGACGGAGATGTACATGGACATGGCAGAGCCCGGCGGAGGGGACGTTGAAGTCATGGCCGACTCGGCGGTCAACCCTACCATGGTCGTGCAACAGGGCAGAGACGGGTCGAACCCGAAAGCGTGGCGGAGGAGACAGCTCGGCTGGGGCGGCGCGGTGAAGAAGGTTGTCGGGTATTATAGCTGGACGGGCGGCAAGCCGGTACAGATTAGTCCGTACGGGTCGGAGAGGCTCCAGATGAAGACGATCTGATAATGTGTGGTGTAGTGTTCACGATAATGATAATCTGGTCTGGTCAAGAAAAAAATGCGACTTTTGTGTGGTCGTACAACGGGCCTTGGTTGTGTTTAGTATGACTTATTTGCGTTGTGATCTTCTCATAGTACTTTTTGCCTGTTGAAATGTCCCGAATCCTGCCAGGCGAGGCCGGCGTGGGGCCGTGTCCGGATGCAACGTCCGTCCGATACGAAAGCCTTTGTTGCTCCGGAAGAATCACGTCTTTACCAGATGCCCATGGATAGCTCTCAACATCTCAACCCCGGATAGCTTGGAACATACAGCAGAAAGCCAGAGAGAGATTGAATCTGCTGAAAATGTCCAATCAATTTTCTGGAACAGGAATACGGCGGTTGGTACGGCCTTGCAGACTGTTGATTGGTAGCAGGGGGCAGGCAGCAGGCGACAGCCTGCAAGGCACTACTCGTGGACCCCAACGGTCTCAACCAACAAGTTGGGACACAACGGCGCTTTGTGTCCGACCTTAGGCCGCCACATTTGACGATTTGCGGCCCAGGTACCCTTAGAATGACCAAGCATGGGGGCCGCACCGTGATCTGCCTTGGTCCACTTCTCTATGCCACCCATGGATGTCACTGCGGGTAAATCGTAGGTTCGTTCAATCCCAGGCTGACGGATGCCTCTGCCAACAGTCCGTCTACTACAACGCCCGTTTTCATTATTACTACGCCCCATTTGCCTTACTTTCATGAGCGGTATCGGATTGTGCCAGGTTCCTACCGTACCTCTATTCCGATCTCCACGATTCATCACCCTCTGCTCCTCCATAAAGGCATCAGCTTCAAACTGGCGTAGCTGCCATTTCATTGATTTGCTTCGTCATCTCTGTCACCCGAGACAGGTAAATAGGGAAGCAGGTAACAAAATAGTATACCGCCAGCCACTACAAAAGTGACACTATTCACATTACATCTACATCTATCACTGTCCCCCCTTAAACTTCTTTGAATGTATTATCAAAGGAATACATGAAGAATAAGAATAATCGGAATACTAATGATCGTTCTAGTAATATGAACAAAACCCAAGGGTGTATGAGCGGTAACCCATATTTTTACCTACTTGGCAGACACTGAGTGAACGAGAGGTCAGTCACCACCCGCCATCTTCCTTCTCATTTACACCTGCCTGCCGACCTTACCTTGGTTTCTCTCCACCTTTCTCACATCCACGTTCTACCTTTCCCTCCTGTCAACCTTCCTTCTCACCACTTCTCACCCTGCCCAGGTCTGTCTGGACCAAGCGATCCGCCGTAAGTTTTTTTTTAAGTTGACACTTCCATCACATTATGTGAAGGACTGCACTCCACTGACTTCCATACTACTGGTTATACTCTACAACGTATGCCCATTACTTAGCTGACCTTCTTCTCCGAGAAAGCCGTCGCTGCTGTGCACTTTATTTTATTGAAGCGGCATATTTCGACTACCAAACATCACTTTCGCTTACTCATGTTGCTTCATCGCCGCGCTTCAACATGACGCGCCGCAAGTTCAATGGCGATTTGGCTCAGGCCTCCAATGAGCAAGTTGAGCATATTTCGGGTCTTCGGAAGGGAGATGACGATGGTGAACTCACCTTCGTCCTTTCCCATGATGCTCTGCCGTCTCCCCTCAATATTTGCCTCACTGCCCTGAACGTGGACGATTACCCACATGGCTCTGGCTTTGTGGCATACACCAAGGAGGAATCTGTCCCGATTGTGGTTTCCAAGGTCCTTGACAACATTTCCAACTTGACTCAGGGCAAACCCATACTCAACACACTGGTGATGATATCAAAGAAGCTGAGCGCAAGTCTTGACTCGGCGAACGACGACGAAGACGAAGACATCGAAATGACGGATATTGAAGACGACGAAAAGTACGACGAGGACGAAGACGAGAATGAGGATTACGAATATGACGACACTGACTTTGGTCTTGATTTCGGAGGTGCTCCTGCTCCGCAAGCATCCAACACTCCCAGCCATTCAGCCAAATATCCTCGCCGCCTGATCGACGATCTTCAGAAAGCCAAAGACGCTGGCTTCAAGATCTCCCTACTGAGCGACGCTGCCACGCACGAGAAAAGCTGCATCTTCGCTCTTTCCCTCCTTGTCGAACATCTAGGAATCAGCGAGGACACGCTAGAGGCCTGGGAGATCAGCGCTTCAGACTACATCGTGTTACTATACAAGTACGATGTAAGCTATCCTTGCATGGAATCGTTCCTGAGGCTTCCGCCAGGTCACTCAGAATCAATGCAGTTCCGATTGGGAAAGTGCGCTTCCTTCAAGCCTACTCTTAACTCGGCTCTCATTCCATTCCAAAAGAATCTCGACACTGCCAAGAAGCGCTCAGAGGAAAACGGTGTGCCGAGCAAGAACTCTCTCGATGCGCCGTTTTGCTCAATGCCCATCTCGGAATCGCTGGATATCTTCCTGAGCAAGGAGTTTACCAAGCTGCTGAAGACTCGATTGGATTTCGGCGTCTCTTGGGATCGCGCAAAGGAGATGATGGAGGAGATGACAAAAGAAGGACACTACCGCGTCGTCAACTCTACACAAAACAGTTCCTATCAGAACCAAGTCCCCGCTTCCGACAGCCTGACTGACAACGAAGCCCAAGTCTCGACGGCAGCTCGCAAGCCACTCAACAAGGACTTCGTACGACACAACCCCGAAGATTTCGGACCATCGCCGCGCGAAGAACTCAGCATGCCTCTCATTGCAATGCAGTTCGCTCTGCGTTACTTTGTCAGAAGCACGCAGTACTGCCTGGTTTGCCACCGCAAGACTGAACCTGGATTTACTGCTCTCAAGCCGTATGTCTGTAACGATCCTCTCTGTCTCTTCCAGTACATGGCCTTAGGTATGGGTCCCAGTATCGAGCACGACATCATCAACCGTCCCTATGTCGTTGATCTATTGGTCAGCTTCTGCGCTGCTGCTTTGACAAGCGGCCGTATTCGAGAATGGCCGCGGGGCCTGTCTATCAAAGTTCCTGTCCCAAGCCAAGTGATCACGCCAGGGCGTTACGCACCAGGAAATACCATGTCAACGATGAACGCACTCCAACCAGCGATTGCGCAAACCCCGATCCAGCCCCCGATCCAGTCCCAGATGGTTGGCTCCGCAATCCTAGTCTGGGCCCAAATTTCAGCCGGAAACTTCAACGTGCGCTCCTCACAGAGACTGGAGGGAGTGCGACCGGGAGATATGGTCATCTTGGTCAAACATGTTCGGGGCCGCGATGGGAAAGATACAAACATGCACCATTGCCGCATTAAGTCGGCCAACGCCATCTGTGACGATGACGGCAACGACTGTGGCAAATCGTTCAAGTTTGATCGTCTCATCTCAACCGACAAACCAACGCAAAATGCAGGCATTCAACAGACCTTTGAGTCACAGTTCAACTCCGAATACATCATCGATGATGAGGTGGGCGATGCTGAGCTGTATCTCTACGATCATGATCTCGACGATCTGGACGAAGCGTATCAGAGGGAGGCATTGTTGATTCTCGTGCAGACAATCCCCCCCATAAGATACCTGCGAGAATTTCTTCTTGACCACCGAGGTTGGTCTCTGGCGAAATACGAAATAATGTCTAAGTCGTCTCTGGCTTTACTCCGATGGATTGTGGCTTCCAACCGCTCGCTCATTGTACAGATCGACCAGCCGGTAGACCTCGACATTGGCGGAATCAAAGCGACCGAGGAACGGCAGAAGGAACGCTTCGTCGGACTTGGTGACGATTGGATGCAGTTCCGCTTTGCCCAAGGATCACCCGAGAAGGAGAATCGCTTCAAACAGGAGCTTGAAAAGGAGGCGAGTCGAAAATACCCGACGATGTTTGCGTGGCACGGTAGCCCTCTCGGAAATTGGCATAGCATCATCAGGACAGGCTTGAACTTCAAAGAAATGCTCCATGGACGCGCTTTTGGACATGGAGTGTACTTCGCCCGCGACTTTCCAACAAGCTTGAGCTACTGCTCGAGACAGGCCAACCGGACGTCATGGGTGGGCTCGGAACTCAAGCTGTACGCCGCTATGAGTCTCTGCGAAATCATCAACCGTCCGGAAAGGTTCAGATCGATCAACCCGTACTATGTGGTCGATGAAGTCGATTGGATCCAATGTCGCTATCTTATCATCCAACGGAACCAATCAGTCAAGAAGGAAGACAAACCCGAGACCGAGCCGGAATACATCCCACAAGATCCCATGTGGCGGCCTGTGGGACTTGGCAACATTCGGTTGGAGATTCCAGCTGCAGCACTGCCAAAGTGGCGCCAGAAATCCACTGTTCCAGGGTCCTCGCGGTCTCAGCCGATTATCCTCGTAGATGATTCAGGTGAAGACCAGCCAGATGACTTTGACAAGATCTTGAACCTTACAAAGGGCAAAGAGGACGATGGCGAGGAAACTGCTGAGCCAGAGAACGATCCAAACAAGACGCCCTTCACGCCGGGTACACTTGACATGAACACACTGCCTCAGCTCCCAGCCCCGAGCTGGGCTTCGGACGCAGGACGAAAGGTCCTCGGCAAAGAGCTCAGCAAGTTGCAGAAGGTGCAGGTTACAACACCTCTTCATCAGCTTGGCTGGCACATCGATTTCGACAACATTACGAACATGTTCCAGTGGATTGTTGAGCTGCACAGCTTTGAAAAGTCCCTGCCTCTGGCGCAAGACATGGAGCGCGCAGGCGTCAGCAGCATCGTCCTCGAGATTCGATTTGGTCGCCAGTTCCCTCACTCACCTCCGTTCGTCCGCGTCATTCGCCCTCGATTCTTGTCATTCTCGCAAAGAGGCGGCGGTCACGTCACGGCTGGCGGTGCCATGTGCATGCAGCTTCTGACCAACAGCGGTTGGAGTGTTGCCAGCAGTATGGAAGGTGTTCTGCTCCAGGTTCGCATGGCCATATGCAATCTCGAGCCCTTTCCGGCAAGACTTGAGCGCCAGGGTACAGGCCAACTTACTGGAGGAGAAGGTGACTATGGTGTTTCGGAGGCCATTGAGGCGTACAAGCGTTCTGCCTATGCCCATGGTTGGCAGGTGCCTCCCGATCTGCATTCGACAGCCAATGCGGTCTAAAAGGACAGGAACAGGAAGGATGATGTGTAGGATAGTTTCCCTTCAGCAAGACGAACGTGCTTGCTCATGACACGGCGTTCATTTGGAGAGGTTATGGGCATCAAAAGCAACTAGGCAGAGGAGTCATGGGGGACGGGAATGATATCACGGTCCATAGCGGTGTAGTTGAATAACCTCTTTCACTTGAAGACTCCAAGAGATTGATTGTCCCAGTGAAAACGTTATTTTTTGTTACAATTGTGCACCTTGCATGTCTTTTGACTTATCAGCTGGCACGAAATGTGGTGGTCTTTGGGTACAACTTCGTCCAAAGTTGACCACAACCTTAGTGCGCAAGGCGAGGAGTAGACTTAACCTGGACTCATGCGGCAAGCTGGGTGCCATCTAGTATACCGAACCCTGTTTTGTGAGACCATGATACAAATCTCAATAGTTGCCCATCTGTTTGGTAAAGTAAAATGCGAAAAGATGAGAGCTATCCCGAATACTTCGTTGAGGATGGTGGGGCAGATTGGAGCGACCCCGAGCCTGCTAGCAATACAAACCCGTTGTGCCGTCCTGCCTACCTTGAGATATGGGGTACTGGGGCAGATGGGTAACACGATCGTGTGTCACTCAACACCTGAGCTCATTTCTATCTTTTTCTTAGAGAATACGATTTTGTAAGAAGATAGTGCGAATAATGGGATAGGTCATGGAAAGGGGACTGTTCTTGTGGTAAGCAGCATCCTACCTCGTCGCGGACAACCTGGAACGAGCATCCAAGTAGCTAGAGCGGGGCCCACCTCACCGATAAGATAAGAATGGGGGAAGCTCCCACCATACCTACCGAGTACCTCAACCGAAGATAGTCGAGTATTCATCCATCCATCCATCCATCCATCCGCCCTTGGTTTACTTTGCCCGTCACAGGCAACGCTGAGGAGGTTGTATGTCCGCAGACAATTGGCAAACGAATCCCTGAAACATCCGACGACACATCTCACGTCTTTGATCCCGTGGTAGGCGCCATTTCACCTGTCTGCCGGTATTCGTCTCGATTTACTTGTTCCTCTGATGTTGCTATAGTTAGAAACCACCACCACTATTTGCGGACCAAGGACAGGCGGCATCCATATCTCCACTACCGACACGCGACGGGGCACCAAGGTCCACAGCGCTGCACTCGACTGCTCTGCACCTGCAGCTTCCCCAGACTCTCACTCAACTACGCCCGCCCGCAGCCTGAGGCACGACACGACGTCTTGGCAACCCACCGGTAGCTTTCCCTCCTCAAACCCTCCCACGACGCTCTCTCTACACTCCCTCATTGGACTCGGATCGCTTTCCAGTCCAACCGCCATTCATCCTCATCTCGCTGCCCCAAATGCATCGCGCAGCAGTGAGGGCCTTACGGACAACTTACCGATGTACGGCTCGTAGTTTCGCACGCAACAGCCGACGGGGTCTTTTGGACCACAACCTCTCCTCGTCCTACGCTACCCGCCACGGCCTGCGATCCTCCTCCTCCTATCAACACCACCCCGAGCATGCCGTTCAGCCGCTAAAGTCCTCCATGTACATCCGCCGCTTCTCCGTCGCCCTTGTGTCCACCCTCGTCGGCTACGGTGCCTGGTACTCCTACAACGGAAACGGTCTCGATAAGGCATCGAGCTTGACGAGGAGCTTCACCAGCGCATCCAACGCCGGCGGCGATGTTGCCCCGACCCGTTCTGTTCTCGTCGTAGGTGCTGATCAGCTGCACACCGGTACATTTGTGGGAGAGGGGCCTATATCGAAGACAACTAGCGACGACGGCCGTAAGGTTATTGAGATGTTGACCCCCGAACAAGCTACTGAGAAGCTGCGCAAGACGGAGCAGTCCTTCCTCGTCAATAGGGGACAGGGCGTACTGCGTTACGACTTGGTTCAGCTTCCCAGCAATGACCCGATTGAAGACGATCATGCCGAGAAGATTGTCGAGGTGCCAAACCAGGCCGCAGGCGCTGCCGGCAAGAGCAACGACTGGATGTTCTGGGGCGTCTTCGACGGCCATGCGTATGTTACAGCTATGATGGTATTTCCTTTGATGCGTGCTAATTACTGAACAGTGGCTGGACAACCTCGGCAAAGCTGCGCCAGACTTTGATTGCCTCTGTTGCCAACGAGCTCAACCATACCTACCAGTCGTCCGCTGACCTGTCTCCTGCGGCTGATGCTATTGATACCGCCATCAAGATCGGTTTCACTCGTCTGGATGACGAGATCGTCAACCAGAGCGTCGAGAGGGTCCTCAAAGCCGGCTCCAAGACCATGGCTGCAGAGCTCCTGGCACCCGCTCTGTCCGGCTCCTGCGCTCTCTTGTCTTTCTACGACAGCAGATCCAAGCTTTTGCGAGTTGCCTGCACCGGCGACTCCCGAGCGGTTCTCGGACGTCGATCCTCGTCCGGCAAGTGGACAGCTACCGCTCTTTCGGTCGACCAAACAGGAGGCAACCCCGACGAGGCAGCCCGTCTGCGCAAGCTCCACCCTGGCGAGGACCGAGTCGTTCACAACGGCCGAGTCCTTGGCGGTTTGGAGCCGACCCGCGCATTCGGCGATGCTAGCTACAAGTGGAGCCGTGAGATCACCAACAGACTACGTGAATCCTTCTTTGCCCGATCCGCTTCTCCTCTTCTCAAGACGCCCCCGTACGTCACTGCCGAGCCTGTCGTCACAACTACAAAGATTGAGCCTGAGAACGGTGACTTTGTCGTAATGGCTACCGATGGCTTGTGGGAGATGCTTACCAACGAGGAGGTCGTTGGCCTTGTCGGCAAGTGGATCGAGACCCAGGCCAGCGGCTCTGGGTCGTCGTTTGATTCCACCTGGTCTAAGCTCTTCGGATCCAAGAAGACTAGCCTGCCTGTCGAGCAGGCGAGCGACAAGAGCGTCGATGGCCAGAAGACGCCCATCCGCCTGCAGCAGTGGGGAATTTCTCCCGACGCCCCCGAACGGTTCGTTGTCAAGGATAAGAACGTGGCTACGCACCTGGTCCGTAATGCCCTTGGTGGCAAGAACGAAGAGCAGGTCTCCGCTCTGCTGACTCTGCCCTCCCCCTTCTCGAGACGCTACAGGTGAGTCAGGTCGCAAGTTCGAGGTAGAATACATGATTCAGGAAGACTGACCAGTTTGAAATAGGGACGACTTGACGGTGCAAGTCATTTTCTTCGGAAACGGTGAGAAGACGGGCTCTGTCAACCTTAATGAGGAGGCAACGGCCCCGTCAAAGCAGCAAGCCGTCAAGGCGAAGCTTTAGAATGCGTCTTGGTTGAATGTATCTCGGCCACACTGGCTGCCACAACGACCATGTCCCGAGAAGACAACATCAGCGCACCTGTTTGTATCTTGTCTGTATGAATTAGCTCTTTCACACTCCATTGGCTGCGTAAAAAGAAGAGACTTTATGGAGGTTGGGTGGGTGCGATGAGGCGATGCCATCCGCGTCCTGGTACAGGAAGAAGTGTGTTGTTTCTGGGAAGCGAAAGACGGTTCACGATGTCCACCCGAACGAGGCATCTCTATATTAAAAGAAACCAGTGTTTGTTTAGCGATAGAGTCAAGCTTACTGTTTTTAAACGAGATTCGTTTGAGGACTATCCGTGAACGCAACGACTGCACTGACCCATGTTTACGTAGGGGCAAGTCTCATGACCTCGTCAAAGTTTGGTTCTCAATGACAGTCTCAGTGCCTAGTCCATGCCCCCTGCTCGTCTGCTCGTCTGCCTTGATGCAAATCACGTTCATGGCGCGGGAAGGTGTCTGATTTCTCAAGCTTTTTTACGTTTCATTCGTGGTTAATGATGGCAAGGGTTTACAGAAAACCAAGAAGTAAAAAAAAGATTTCCCTCCCCCAAGGAAGTTTTCTCTTTCTTTTTTTTTCAACTCAACAACCTCCACGCACACGCTTCCAGCACTTCGCTTCCTTCTTCTCAATCCTCACTCGCTGCCTTATCTGTCCGTTTCTCTTCTCTCGCTTCTGTTCTCTCGTCTCTTTCAAAAAACAACAACAACAACCAGTTTCCCCAAACTCGATAAACGCCAGTGGAGGACTTTTCTCCCAAACGGGGAAAATGGACAATGAATAACAGGAAACTCCTAATGATGAAGGCACAGAGACCCTATGCTGCAGGCTGAAATATTTTCGTGAGAAATCCGTGGATAGCCCTCGAGAGAAGGGGGAACCGTGAGGGCCTTTGTAGTGTGGTTTCGTAGTTTCGTAACCATGATGGTTGATTCCCTCGACTCAAAAGGCTCGGGACGTTTTTCTCTTTCCTCCGCTCGCCTCTCGTCAGTTCTCGTCTCTCTTCAATCTCGTCGCTTGTAAATGATAGTCCGTGGCTGTAGGGACTGTCGGTCGAAAAGCCACTAGCTCTTACACTCTCTCGGGAGTGATCCGGTCTCTCTCCTTCTCCCACGGATGAGCGTGACTAAATCAATTGGCCTAAACAAAGCCCTCTAGCGGCTCTCGATGTCCCGCGTTTGGATGTAGTGACGAAGCGGACTAGTGATTTTGTCCACTCTGTTGTGAATGATGATCGTCGTCTCCGTCATGGTGCAGCGTGACACTGTTGAACTCTTCGAAAGGATCAACAACTTCACCGCCAGGGGTCGTCATGCCACTATCCAGAGGGACCCCCTTGAGGTTTGCTTGTAGCGGGTTGGATCCGCTCAGGTCGATGCTCTCACTCTCCTTGACGTTGCGGAAGTTGACAGTATCAATACCACGTCCAGTGACGGGTACGATGGGAGGCTTCATGTGTCGAATCAACGCCCACTGAGTCGTCTTGAAGAACGGATGCGCCTTGATGTCTGAAGCACCAGCCTTGGCACCTAATCTCCGGTTCTCGTCCTTGATCAAAAGTTTACGAATCAGGGATTTGCAAAGACTACACTTTTGTCAGTTCACATTGCGGGTTCACATTGTCATTCTAGACTTACTTGGATAGCTGAGGTGCGCCGGCATGGTCGGGGAAGGGAATGTCTTCCCTCAGAATATTCGCAAAAGTCGCGTTTCGGTTCTTACCCTTGAAGGGGGTGGTTCCGTAGAGCATCTCGTAGATCAAGATGCCGAGGGTCCACCAGTCCACGGCACTAGTGTGGCCGCTACCCTTAATGACCTCTGGTGCAATGTACTCTTCCGTTCCGACGAACGAGTTGGTGCGGAAATTGGCAATGCACGACCGAGTATCAATGTGCAATGAGGTGGTGCTGGTACCTGTCTTGCCAATGACCATTGTGGGCTTTCCACCGAGATCGGACTGCTTCGACAAGTCAAAGTCCGAAAGCATGATGTGGCCCGACTGGTGGAGCAAGATATCTGTGCAGTATGTCAGCAGCCGATTGGTAAGCTCAAAAATAGTTCTTGTCGGACTCACTCTCTGGCTTCAAGTCGCGATAGATGAATCCCATCAAATGCAGATATTCTAAGGCCGCGGTGACCTCTGCGGCGTAGAATCTCGCGTCTTCTTCGGGGATACACTTGCCAGGGCGCGTCTGCAGCGCCCTGAAGAACTCTCCACCACTGCAGTATTCCATACAGAGATACAAATAGTCCTCCGATTGGAATGAGTGATACAGCGTAACAATGAAGGGGTGATTACTCGTAGCTAGAATTTCTTGTTCGGCGAGGGCGCGCTTAATCTTGTTCCGCTTGATCATCTCCTTCTTGCTCAATACTGCAGCGAGTCAGCAACACGTCGGCGCTTGGCTCCAGAATATCTTGACTTGAATCTTACCTTTCATGGCATAGAGACGACTGCTCTTCTTCTCGCGGACTAGATAGACCTTGCCTACATCTCCCTTGCCAATCAACTTGATCTTGTCGAAGCTTTGCGGGCCGACCTCGACATCGCGAACCTTGATGGAGTTGGAGCTGTAGGTCCTCCGGAAAGCGAGACTCGTACGATTCGGGGGTGGGAGGTTGCCGAGGACGTCCTTGTCGGGGACGCCCAGACTAGGGGCGGACGCCTTGGACGGGTCAACCATCTCGAGGGTGCCCGAATCCTTGTCGAGAACCAACGGGTCCTTGCTCAGCTCGGCGGTGGCGGGACGCTCGGCGCTGCCTTTGCCTTTGGAGAACAAGCCCTGGGCATTGGGGGCACTGGCGACTCTCCTAAGTTTCCTTGCCAATTCCTCTCGTCCGGCGCTCGTCGTCTGCTGCTCGGGGCCGCCGTCAGGACCTTGGATCTTGAAGTTTGGGGTATCGGGAGGGCTAGGAGGTACTGATTCGTGGTTATGATGGCGAAGGCCCGGTTGGCCTTGGTGGGCAAAGTAAGGGTTCGCGTGCGCGGTCGGGCTGAGGGCCTCGTCGAGGGGGTTGCCTTCGCTGGCGGTGGTGTTTGTCCTCAATCGACCGACGGTGCCCTTGAAAAAGCTGCTGCCAAACTTGCTCCGGATTTCTGGGCGGGCGGCGGTGGCGTCTTGTGAAGAGTGGACGTGAGCGGCGGAGGACTTTTCTCTGTCACGGTCGGCGCCGCTGTTGAGGTTGATGCGGAAGAGGTTCTTCAGCTTCTGGTTGAACTGGGCAGCGCCATTCTGATGGGTTCGGCTGGCAGGCATATCGGAATCTCGGGGGTGCGCAATCAAGCGACCGATGCCATGGCTGACGGGACAGTTACAGGAGAGAAGCGAAGGGGACCGACGATGTTCGGAAGTGCGGAGAGGAGATGGAGCGGAAGAGGAGCGGCAGCGGTGGTATGCAGGTAGGTAAGGTAGGTAGGTAGGTCGGAGGTGAGTAGGTCAAGGTGAGGGTGAAGATGAGGTAGGTGGGAGGAACGTGGGACTGGATGCGGAGTGTAAGTAGCGTCCAAATGGTAGGGTCGGGTGGTGGAGGAGGAGGAGGTGCCGCAAGCAAGGCCGGGAGAGAAAGATAGGTAGGTGTAGGTAGGCTGGCAGGCAGGTAGGTAGGTGACAGAACAGAGGTATGGAACGGGATGGTTGGTGGTAGGTGGTACTTAGGTGAGGTGGTAGACATGCGGTAGGCGAGCGATGGACGGGGGGGAGGTGAGAGTCAAAAGTGAGTTAGTAATGTGGGCTTAGGCGTCTTTCCGGACGGGCTTCACGCTTCGGCTTCCACACCTCACCTTCCCATGGACCAAGGACCATCCATTCCTCCCCCGCTCGTTGGTCGATGACCGTGGCCGTGGTCGAGGTCGAGGTCCTGGTCGTAGTCCTGGTCTTGGCTCGTCACCCGAGAACTAGGTATGGCTTTCTGTTCGCTCCTCTCGCAGTTCACAGCACTCTCAATGCGAAAATGCACCGCCGCGGTCGTGGTCCGTCTATTGTCTAGGCCCCATTTGGGGAGCCCACTGGGGTCTCGCTCTTTCTGTCGCCGTCGTGGCCGCTGCCCACCTGGGACGCTCTCTCTCCTCTCTACGGATACATTCGGGCCTGTCCTGTGCCCAGTGTTCAGTGGCTCTCGGGCAGTGCATCGCAAGGCACAGGGGGTCCCCAGCCCCAGTGGCAGCCGCCCACGCGAGAGAGCGGCAGCACAGCAGGAAACGCGAGCCTTCGGGGGGTAAGAGGGAGTCTACTAGGTGACTTTCATCGCCTTGCCTTACTCTGTGGCATGGCCAGGGGAGGGGGGAGGGGGAGGATGATGGAACCAATGATACAAGACATCCACCAACGGATCAGAATGGGACGGCTTTTTGGCAGGGATGTTCCGCTTCAGGCGGGCCCGGCCTGGGCCTAGGTTCCTGTAGGTTCCAGCGTTGGTCAATGGTAAGTGCCCTGGTCTCGATTTCCCTCTGTTCTTCTCTGTTCAGTCCACCGTGCCACCTCAGGTCCAAGCAGGCTGCGTGGGCCGTGGCGGCTTGCAAAAAATGGGAATTGGGATGGCTTTGCTTACAAAAGGGATTTGCTCCGGCGATTGGTGCTCTTTTTGCCGACGATTTTCCACGCCTCGCAAATTCCCCCATTTCCCATCCCATTCGCTCTGCAAGTCACTGCAAGTACCTTCCATTACCTCCCGTCACTCTTTATACCTTACTTACAGGCATCCTGTTCGTCTGTCCACACCACCACCAACGCAGAGAGGGACTATTACTCGTCAACTCTATCTCTAGTGCCCTTCTCCAAACTGTTGATACCTTTACTTTCCTGTGCCTGTTCCTTTTTTTCTTCTGGCTTCAGAGCGTTCTGGTCCTTACTCATGCATTCACACTTCGACGATAGAGGCAGACAAGGACGAGGATAAACAAAACGCACAACCTCTGGGGGGCTTTGGTAAGGTACTGAGCGCAAGCCCATGCACTGGCGAGCCAAGATAACACCAGCGCCAGCTCGACATACGAAAGCCTCACCGGCAATTACATGCCAGAGCCCCAGCACTCATAACAATACCTCCCACGACAACAACTACCTCAATCCTCAATCGTGCCCCCCGGTCTCTGTTTCTTCGTCCTCCCAGAATCTCCATGTCCCTACGAGAATTCCCGCTGCTGACATGTTTTGTCTTTTTCCCCCCCTTTCCTTCGAGGGCTCGTGCAAAACACAGGCATCAGACGAATATGCAGAAATGGGCACAGATGTCGGGGCAAAAAAGCCTCATTGCGTTTGACCTCGCAGGCCATTCCACGTCTGCCGCCTAACTTTTGGACAGAGGACAGAAAGAACCCCAACAAAAAACCTTACACGAGCTTGTTTCTGAAATGCCTAATAAGACACTGTCACACTGTCAATACTTTTGCAAGACACGCTCCATCAACCACACCCGTCGTGTAATCCCGCGCTAGCACCGACTCCCCCTCAATCGGTCCATTTCAGCCCTCCACACCACCACAAGACCGCGCGGGTTCATGGCCGGCGATCCAGTCGTCTGGGGCACTAAAGGGTTTCCCGCCTGCTTGTTAATCAACCTTGGACTACAGAGGCACGAGAGGAGACCTCGACCAAGCAGAGAGAGTCGCGAGCATCCACGGCGGCGGCGCCATCCCATCGCCACCTTCCGTACCTAGCTGGTGTGGTTGGGTTGTCACATCGTGTCGTGCTGCTTCCCGACGAATCATTTTACCCACTCTCTCACTTTTTCCTGCATTGGCACTTGAGTCCGTCGGCCGCCCGTCGACTTACTAGCTGTGTATGCTGCATGGGAAGTATTCTAGAACCGATCTTCAGGTTCTATTTCGTGCAGGTGGTCCTCTCGACTCTACCTACGGATATCGTGCTATCCTATCTCGTCTGTTCCATTTGATCCAGATGCATGCCTGCCTGCTGGTTCTGTTCGTTTCGCCTACCCGAAACCTCTGCAAAGAAGAAACTCGACTCAACTAATATCCGGTACGCCGGCCTGCGTCCCGCTGACCTGCTGAATGCCTTAAATGCGAGAGAGAGGGCTGGGACATGTTTCTTCCTGAACAGCGGCCCTCCCTGGATGCCGAGGTGTCACTCCACCATCGCCTCCTCATGCGACGTTGAGCAATCTCCCCCACAAAACACCGCACATCCCCGCCGATGATGTAAGATGGAATGCGACCAGACTCGTCCCTGGCGCTTTTTTTTTTCCCTTCCCTTCCTGCATCAGCCTGAACTGTCAAATTTAGCAAGAGCCGCAATGCCAAGTCCTCCCTTTCGAATGAATAGCCATGCTCAGACACACGACGACGACTCTCCGGCTCATCCGCTACCCGTCAAGTGAGGCCTCGACAAATCATCCATGCTCGTCTGGGGAAGTGGAAACCGCTCAACGGCCTTTCCAGTTGGCCGAATGAATCCGTCGCACGACTTTCAGGGGCCTTCTAAGCAGCGGATACCCCCGTTGTCCTGAAGTCTCCGTCATCCCTAGGGAGGCGCAGTCGGTCAACCCTCATCCGAAACCATGCCATGAAGCTTGGTCCTCACAAGCATTGTCAGCTCGCCTCGCCGTCCAGTATTTCTCGATGGTGTTGTCGTCGCCGCCAGTGACCGCCAGGACTCAGCCCGCGATTCACGTCAACTGATTACTTGCGCCACAGCCATCAGCCACCTCATACTCCTTCGACCACATCCTCCATTGCGTCGTCCTCCTCCTCCTCGCTCGGCATGTTCTGATCCCTAAGAAGCAGAAGATCCCTGAGTTTCCGCCTGTTGTGGCGCCACGTGTACAAGTCCTCCTCCTTCTGATCCTTGATTGACGGTGTGACTTGGTTGCCGGCCTTGTCAAAAAGGTAGTCAGGGAGCTTGGTCCCATCATCGGGGTCGTATCGCTTGAACGACACTTGCGGCCCGTCCCCTACCTGCCAGGCGATTGGAAGCATGTGTAGATCCTCCACGTGAGATTTGAGGTCCGCTAGTGTGGAGAATTCGCGAGGCGGCCGCTGTTGGGCGCACTTGGCCCATCGACATCCAGCTGCCACCGTTCTGGTATGAACAATCGACACATGCCTCTGCAGAGTCTCAAAATTGTGAAGCTCAGCCCGACAACCCTCCCACTCACAGATGTACGTGTTGAAATGCGGGTTAAGACTCTTATAGATGTCTCGCGGCTTGGGTGAAGCTGCCTTTGGCGGTCGACCTCGCCGCTTTCCCGCATACAGGGCGCCTGTCTTGGGCCTATCCGGCCGCAGCTTTCTCGGCCCTACCTCGCCAGCCTCTTGTGATGCTTTCTTGCCCGTCAGACTTGGTCGAAAGCCCTTTGGTCGGCCGCGCTTGCGAGGCTGCGGTGGAGGAGTCGCTGCTCCTAGTGAAGTCACCTCTGGCTCCTCTGTCTCTTCTGGCTCATCTGGTTCATCTGTGACGGCTCTCGGTAAGACTGGCTTGGCGAGGCTCACGCCAACTTTTGCCTGAGCTGCTAGTCTTCTGAATTGGGGTGATAGATCCGATATCACCAGGTCGTCCGCATCGTCCTCGACTGTTCTCATCGGTGTCGTTCCTGTACGCTTGCTAGGACTCGATGGAAGAACTACGGCAAACGAGGACCGCGGCGCTGGCTGAGCTTTTGATGTCCTCGGCTTTGACTGAGCGACTGAAGTAGAAGAAGTCGGTGGTATGCTGCTACCCGTTCGGCTGAAAAACTTATCTAGGGTACGCTGTCGTGGGATAGACGGAGCCTGTGAGGCGGACTCATCCTTGGTGCCCGAGTTCGTGGAAAATAGCGGTGGCATGGTGAATATGGCCAAATCTGACGAGTTCTAAGCTGAACAGTTGTCTTTGAGCATGTTGGTGAGCAAGGTGTAGTCTGTCTTGATAGGTTTGCCGTGTGTGTGTGTGTGTAGATATGTCGAGTTGCGATGACCTGTCGTGAGGTTTGCTGTGTATGATCTGTGCAAGCCTAACCCAGTGTCGTATTGTTGCGTATGAACAGTTCGAGGTACTCGTGAGACCGACCGGGTATGTTGTAAAGGTCGATCTTTGAGGTCGAAAAGATGACCTAGCGACGCGTTGATAGGTTGCAGGCGCGACTCCTGGTCGAGGGAACTTAGGGAAGGAACTGGCAATAAGCGGGGCCTGCCCGTTTAGGGCGGTTCGCACTGCGGGCAAGGATGGATGCCGACACTTGCCCACCTAAATGGTAAGGTACTCGATGTCACTTATTCCTAGGTATTCACTTTCTTTGCTTCACAATGATAAGGTACAGACGCATCACATTGCTTTTTATTTGCCTTCTTCTCGCCGTACATATGACCCTTTTTCTTATGACAGAGAAGTCGCAGGCAGATCATGATGCTAACGATGCAGTGTCTCCCACCGGCCTAGCAGGTTTGATAATAAATGTACCATTTCTTGGACATTGAAGGAGAAGCAGTCATCCAGTGTTAGAAACGAGTGCTTTAGAGAGCGTTAGAGAGAATGACGATAAGATCAGCTCACTAACTATCAAGTGCATGGCATCTAGCTCAAAAGTAGTTGATTAATGATCTCATTTTACCATTTATAAGGCCTTTTGCTAATCGATTCCTTGGTGTTCGTTCCCTCGCGACTCGCACCGGGTCGGAGGCCGTAATTGGAGCTTTCCGGAGAGGGGACATTAATAATCGGGCATCCCGTTCGGCCCTCCGCAAATGCCGTCATGGATCCGAGCAATGGTCTAATCTTACAATGCCCGGCCGACCACATGCAAGCCTCAATAAGACATAAAGCCACTGAACCCCTCATCTGCTCGCCGTATATCAATCGCATCTCACAGCATCTCATTTCAATTGATAAGTCCTAATTGATAATCATCTTGAAAACAACACTCCAAACCCAACGATATAGCAGATCGTCTGAACAATCATGGCATCCAAGTCATTCTACGCAATCATCTCCGGAGCGGGTTCCGGCACTGGTCAAGACTCATTTCGACCATAGCGTATGCACAGTTGAAGCTAATGCAACTACAGGCCGCGCAGCAGCCGTCCGTTTCGCACAGGCGTACCCCGTCGTGCTTCTCGCCCGCAAACCAGAGAGCTACAACGCCATCGTGGACGAGATCAAGCAGGCCGGTGGCCAAGCCTTCGGCATCACGGCCGATGCCACAGATGAGGCAGCCGTTAACGCCGCCTTTGAGACGATCAAGAAGGAGCTGCCCGGAAGCAAGCTCGCTGCCGCCATCTACAACGTCAACGGTGGTTTTGCCCGCAAACCGTTCCTTGAGCTCAAGCGAGAGGAGCTCGACGCCAGTCTTGATGCCGCGCCGTACGTGAGACCTCGTCACTGATTCTGTGAAAAGGCGACTAACACGCGCGGCGCAAAGAAAGGGTTTCTTTACATTCGCGCAGAAGACGCTTCCTCTGTTGCTTGATTCAGTCTCAGACTCACCTCACCCGCCGTCATTGATCATCACTGGAGCAACAGCATCCATTAAAGGTCCGTTTCGAGAGAGTAGATGCCCTGAATGATGACTGACTTTCTACCGCAGGCAGCGCACTCTTCGGAAGTTTTGCGGCGGGCAAGTTCGCCCTCCGAGCCCTGGGCCAGTCCTTGGCGCGCGAGTTCGGCCCGAAGGGTGTCCACGTATCGCACGCTATTATCGACGGAGGCATCGATACCCCTTGGGGTAAGTCCTTTGTTGCCAATGGCGGCGTAGAAGACGGCAAGATTTCACCAGATGCTGTAAGTGAATTGCAACAATACTTGACTGGACGTATTGCTAACAACATCAAGATTGCTGAAACTTACTGGCATTTGCACACGCAACACCGCTCCGCGTTTACTCAGGAGATTGACATCAGACCGTACGTGGAAAAGTTCTGAGCAAGTGAGCGACACTGGAACTGAAAACGTAGACAATATAGATCCACGTCATGATTTGAATATAGCCACGGGCAGTCTCTGGCCTCTCTCTAAGTAGCCAAAGATCCTCAATATATCCCATTGGTAGTCTCACGAGTACTCAACGTTGGAAGTTGATGTGCACGCTGCGTACGTAGTCATACTTCATTGATTTTAGGTGTGAGAGTAGACGGATCTGCCACCGTGGCTTGGCGTAGCATTGACACGGCCGCCGGATGAACCTGGTCTTCCAGGTGCTCGGAATCGGCCTGTTTCGTGGTGATGCTCGCAGCCTCAGGCGCATACAAGAAGGCTTTTCCTCTTTTAGCAAGCTCAAGACCCGGACGCCTCGGCAGCCACCGGTTCTGGTACCACTGGCGGAACAGGGCCACCATTGATAGCAGCCAGACGTTCCTCTTCCCTCTTCTCACGGAGAGCATTGGTCTCGGCACGTAGCTTCTCCAAGTTCCACACTCCATCATCGTCGTCATCAGAGTCCTCCTCGTCGTCGTCCTCGGTTGTTCGCCAGTTGCCACTTTCGAACAGGGCACGACCAGTTGCTTCCTTGGCCTTCTTGGCCTGCTCCTCAGCCGCCTTCTTGTCCAATCGTTCCTTCTTCCACTTGGCGAATGACTCCGGCGTGACCGGTGTGAGGGTGCCGGTAAGTTTGTGTCGCTCCGACTCGAGGAAGTCTTCCAAGGTAAGGGTCTTGAGAGGTGACTTGTCCATGAGGGCCTTTTCAGCCGCTCTCTGCTCCTTGGTCTTCAAGATGAATCTGTGATAGCGTTAGCATTGGAATTGACCGCTGGACTGATGTAACTTACCCTGGTGGCAAAGCATGCTTGTATTTGCACTTGTCGCCGCCGTTTGGACAGATCCAGAACCATCCGTATTTGCCATCTTCGATGGCCTCGACGAAGAACTTGCACACTTTGTCGGTAGTGGTCTGCTGATTGCCCTTCTTGGAAAGAACGACAGAGCGAAGCTTCTCCTCGTCCCAGTCGGCGGAGGTCTCGACCTTCTTCTTCTCCTCCTCTTCCTTGCGGGTATCCGTGTACAGGTTCTTCTTTGACGTTTTGCGTTCGTCTTCGAGGTTGTGAGAGAACTTGCACTTCTTGCCCTTCTCACAGTTGCCCTTCTTGTAAAAGTTGCAGACAACTGTCTTTGGGTCGACACCGAATGGGACTTTTTGAATCTGAGCGGGCTTGTTCAGAAGCATTTCGGTCTCCCTCTTGGCCTCTTCCGCCGCCTTCTTCTCTCGCTCTCTCGCCTCTTTCTCCGCCTGTTTGCGCTTCTCTTCAGCACTGCCACCGTTCTTCATTGACGACGCCATCTGAGCGATCTGCTTCTGGGCCGCGCCACCCTTCTTGTTCTTCATGCCGAAGGTCTTGTCCTCGACCTTCACGGCCTTCTTGGCCGGCTTGTCCACTTTCTTAGGAGGCATCTTGGCGGGGTATTCGGTTTCTGGTGACTAGAAAAGATTGGTGGGCAGAAGCAAAAGTCTTCTGCTACGACTTAGAGACCGCTTCTGGCGGGTTTAATTTCGGTCGTGGTATTTTGGGATGTCGACAAACAGGTCGGTAGGGTCCGCTCAGATCGACGTAACGCAAAAAGTCATCACTGCAAATCCGAGAAGAGTGGGAGCGCCGTGGATGAAGTCAGAAGTCCAAGGCACGGTGGGCGGGTCACGTGAAGGGCTCACATTGGTGGGGGCGGAGCGTCACAGCAGAACTCGACCGGGGGGATGCAGTACTAAAGTGGAGGACCGACTCAAGCACCAAGTCACTCTTAGCGTGGCCGGTCTAAGCGTGGACAGCAGCTCCAGTGGTCTAGTTGTCCGTTTGGTTGCCCATCGACATCCTCATCTCAAGCTCCATGTGCGCCGCGCCAGCAAGTCCCAATAACCCACCTTGACGAACAACCTCAACTTTTTCCATTGTTCTTCGGAAGAAAGACGCTCACTGTACGCTCAAGTCATTCTTTTCTTTCATGGCAGTATTAACAAGAAAATTGACAGCCAAACACAGAGATCCTCCCCCAAAGATCCTCCTCGAACGTCACCCAAAAGCACCATCGCGCAAACGATCCCAAGCCCATCATGATTTCCGACAACGATCTCTACCGCCTTGCGATCTTCCTTGGCTCTGCCGCCATGGTTCTTATTATCTTCTACCACTATGTAGAAGTCAACACGGAAGAGGAAAAGCCCGAGAAGGCAGTACGACCCGCGAAGTCCGCCAAAGCAGTGTCCTAGAAGACCACAAAACGGCGCAAGTGAGGTAGTCGGGTGCCATGGCAAATTCGCTGTAAGATACACATGGCGATAGTGATTTGGGATCCTGCGGTCTCCCTGGAACAGTCGAGAAGCGAGGCTTGAGGCGACATATCGAGCGACGAGAGGGGACATCCATAACAAAGGGCACAGGTGATGTCGAACGCGGTCTTTTAGGGGGTTGACAATCGGATGTCCCTCCCTCAACAGAAGACAGAGCTTTGCAATTTACTGCAGTCAAAGATGCAAACACCAGGAGCGTCTGCAGGCTCTTAACCTCCAAAATCGAAACATTAGAGCATCACCATTGAGAGGCCATCTAATCTGGCTCTGCGTTGCAATCTCGTGATGAACATTGACATTGTCCAAGATCCCACGGTATTATGTCCATCTTGTGATCTAGCAATGCCATGAAAAGACACCGAAATGTATGATATGAGCTCCCAACCTTCGCTCTCTTTGAGTAGATGCCGTGTATGCATCACATTTGTAGACCATGCTACACCTGCTCCAGTCACTGACTGTAGCGCTAATCAAATATGTGGGATCAATGGTGTTTTGAGTGACACCAGAGCATGTTGGTTGTAGTTGTCTGCCTCAATCGCTCCAATCCTTGCTTCAGCTTCTCTTCTCTTCTGGCAAGGCGCATTCGAACACAGCGCAAAAGAGAAAGGAGCTGTGAACAGTTCCAAGCGACCTGATCAGCTGCTTCCCGAAATGGAACAATTGGAAGGCGCAAACAGGGGATGTGTGGCTGAGGATGCAGCAGCTCTGGCGGATCCTTTATGTCCTAGAACGGACTAGCGCGGCCAATCAAAACTTCCCGCTGTCAACGGGGTCCTCAGGCCCCCCTTGTTTTGGTCAGGCGCGCCGCAGCCTGCCGCTCCGCTGGCACCAAGCCCCGTCTCCTTTCCCATCTCGCCTTCACCCGCCCATTCCATCCATCCCGCAACTTCTCTCCTTCCAAAAGACAAACCTCTTCGCCCAACACCAAAAAGACCCCTCGACCTTCAACCCAAACTTCATTTCTTCAGCTGCATCGTCAAAGAAACTTGCGCAGCTCCTGTATTCTGTACCTCTTTCTTCAGACCGACCACTCCTCGCGCGCAAGCTTCTACGCGTCAAAGTTTGATTCTTCATCACATCAGCACTTCGTTTCGCATCACGCTCTTCACGACCTAATAATAGTTGAAGAGATTCATCGACCAGCTGCTACTCAATCGCAGCACTATCTCGAGCAAATCATCCCACCAAACAAATCCACCTCCACAATCATCATGTCTGGAAAGCTTGACCAGTCTCTCGACGAGATTCTCTCGACCCAACGTCGCTCTGCCGGCGGACCCGGCCGTCGCTCTCAGCGTCGATCCACTGGTGGTCGCCCTGCGGCCGCTGCCCCAGTCGGCGGTGTTCAGAAGACATCGCGACCTGCGCGCGGCGCCGCCGCCAACAAGCCTAATGCCGCCAAGCCCGCGCAAGGCTCTGGTGACAGCAAGGTCATCGTGAGCAACCTGGTAAGCCACTCCCCTTCCCCCGTCAATTCTGGTGCAAGCTAACGCATACAAAGCCCAAGGATGTCAACGAGCAACAGATCAAGGTATGTTGCCGATAAGGCTCTTCAGCCCTCGGACTTTGTTCGACATGTTTTTTCTCGCCTGCTCTCCTTCCCAACCGGCATCGTAGCGAGATCAAATCCACTGTGGCCATTGCCACATCCCAAACGGAATCTGTCAAGACACCGCCAAGACTCCTTCCTCGGTCTCTGCGATCCTGAGATACGGCGCAGAGCTCATTAGAAGTTGAGCACGTCCCTGTCGCGCGAATACAGTACAAACTTGAGGTAGCCTGGTCAGCACCTAAGCAATTGGTACAGCCGACTGAAAAGATGGGACGTTGGCTGTTTTCGACGGATATCCACATGACCAGCTTGGTCTGGTACCGCTCATCAGCATGACAATGCGATATGAAGCCCTTTTTAGCGAGCAAAGCAGTGAGCAACGTCGCAGCACAGGCCAGGACGGCTTCGATATATAGCTTCACTGCTATTGATTCGCCAACCTACAACAACGGATGGCCTTTTAGCGAGGGGTTGGAGCTTAGTGCACATGGCTATTTGGGTCTGAAACGCCCCTCATGGTGTTACGGCCATGTGCTACGATGTTCCCCTACAGCAGCTGTTACGACTTGGGGTGATACCCTCCGACTTGATGGCAACTGAGCATGAGGCAACCATGGCTCATAATGGGGCTTTTTTGGGGATGGACATTGACGCGCGTACTAACGCTCACTGCTCTGCTCGCTGCCAATCTCTTGTGCTCCGGTCGACTTTTGGATTTCTACCGATGTCTTGCCCCTTGTGCGGCTCGGGTTCGGACGACGCTCGTGATTGAAACCATCAACGCTTACGGATAACTAACATCGAATTTCCCATCAGGAGTACTTTCTCACATCAGTTGGACCCATCAAGAGAGTCGATATCTCTTACGGACCCAACTCTGTCAGCCGTGGCATTGCCAACATCACTTTCCGCGAGGCGGATGGCGCTAGCAAGGCCTTCCAGAAGCTGAACGGTCTTCTTGTCGACAACCGCCCGATCAAGGTATGGCCCCCGCAATGTGCCCTTCCATGTACTCTCTAACGGGTATTAGATTGAGATTGTCGTTGGTGCTTCTCAAGCAGCGAACGTCATCCCCCCTGCTAAGAAGACTCTTGCTGAGCGCACCACGTAAGTAACCAGCTCCACAATCGCATGAGTGCATGCTAACAAGGAAACAGGCAACCCAAGGCTCAGCCCAAGTCCGCTGCTAACAACAAGCGCAACAACGCGAACGCTGGTAAGGGTGGCCCTGCCGCCGCTGGTGCTGGTGGCAAGAAGCAGCCTCGTCCCAAGCGTACCGGCCGTCCTGCAAAGAAGACGGCAGAGGAGCTTGACTCTGAGATGGCCGATTACTTCGAGTCTGGCGCCAACCCCAATGAGAACGCGGCTGCCGCCGCTCCGGCTCCCGCTGCCACCAACGGCGACGCTGCTATGGAGGATGAGATCATGTAAACGGTACATGGCTACTACAGACTCATTCACAGAACGCCGGGCACTGAGGAAGTCAAAGTGGCACATCGCGTGGGGGGCTCCCTTCAACTTTCCTTAGGTGCGCGTCTCCGAAACTCTCGAACAGATTGCTGGAAGGAGAGAAGACATGGAGGTTACGGGATTATGGCTTTGGTTTCGACATGTTTTGGTTTTTTTCAAGCTCTCAGACTGCCTCTCTCGGCCTTCCGGCAACTACCCCCAAACATTACAAAAAACACAGATCACGGCTTCATTGAGCCGGAACACCACATTACCCATCTGCTTCGCCCAGGTTATAGCAGGGCATGTATTATAGCGATCCCCAAGTCGGACAGACTAATACACAAAGCGCCGAGCCCCCAACTTGGACTTTAATGATGCTACGTGAGGTCCTTTGTGAGGCGGCTGTGGTGAGACTAATGACGCGAAGTCATGTAGCTTGCGGTCAGAGCATGGAGAAGAATTCGTGTCTGTAGATAAAGGAACAAGGCTAGTCTCAGATCGATTCGCCGTCTCCTAACTATGCGTATCTCTTTGTAAACCGGAGGGCTATAGACAGAGACCACGAATCGCCTCTGCGGAGGAATTACTCCCGCAGTGAGGCTCGAAAGAATACCAAGAGAACCACGAGATCCATTCGCTAAATGCCCGCTACACCTTGAGTTCTCGTTGGAGATAAATAGAAACCAGTCCCAAAGATCACGTATCGTCTTTTCTTTTTGTCTTTTGATTCGAAAGAGTACATTCAGAGTCGTTAGTCTAGAGCGGTATCCACGGGCGTTGCAGCCAAGTATGTTGGCCTAGGTGCCGGGAAAGTCGTCTTGGGGTGCGTGATAAAGGAAGAAACTGCTTATTTCGCAGCAGCCTTGTCAGCGGCAGGGGCGGCCTTGCCGTCGTCCTCCTCGCCCTCCAAGGCAGGCATGTCATCGTCATCCTCCTCATCCTCCTCATCCTCCATGTCTCCCAGACCTTCCATACCCGGTGCGCCGCCGCCGCCAAGCTTGGAGAAGTCGATGCCTCCGAAGTCGCCGCCGCCGCCGGGGCCACCCATGCCAGGCATGCCACCTAGTAACCCAACGTGTTAGTCTTTGAACTTCAAAGGGCTCTGTTACACCGTACTCTGCCACCGCGGGGCGTTGGTTCAGAGGGGAATTTGCAAAACACGTACCCATACCGCCGAACTGAGAGAAGTCCTCCTCGGCAGCCTCATCCTGCTCGTCCTCGTCGACCCACTTGTCAAAGTCGGTCTTCAGGAAGTGGACCTTCTTGGCCTCCTTGAGCAGGCGGGGCCAGTACTCCTCCTTGAGTTCCTTCTTTTGAAGTTTGAATTCGACATTCTTGCCAGTGTGGTTGACCTTGCTCTCAGCGGGGTCGATCTCAGCGTACAGCTCGAGGTCAACGGCATACGAGCGCTTCAGAGAGTCGGAGGTACCGCTGAAGGACAGACCGGTAGGCTTCAGGTCGACCTTGAGGCTGGACTTGGGAACATCGGGAACAGTGATCGTCAGGTAGACGAAGTTCTTGGAGGCGTCTGATGAGCTGGAGCGCTGAGCCCAGAGAACTGTGGGGGCAAACCGGGTTAGCTTCGGCGCAGGTTCCGACTTGGAGCAAGGCTGTGTCTTTGAATGAACACATCAAGAATTGCAGGCGGATGTGGGAGTCGGCGATTGAATTCCTAGAATGCGCCAAAGGAGAGATGAGCTTATACGTACCCTCAGGAGTTTGTGTGGTGGCAGACATTTTGTTGGTGGGAATTTGTCGAGCAGGGAGCTATGACGGGGGATGAGGGGTAGGTTGATTCACGCGAAGCGCAAATGTGTCGCAGGTAGGCAATCGCGTTTAGCAAATTGGCCTAGTAAGAAGGGGTATTATGTGTAGAAGTTGTGCAGATATTGACAACGACTGTTGGAGTTGAAGAGGTTGAGAGTGTGTGGAAGAGAGAAGCTGGAGGGGGCTGTGAGGCTACAGGTTTGAAAAGGCTGGGCCCTTGGTTGGGGTGAGGCCGGGTGGGTTCCAGTTACCGCCTGGAGATCACGGGCAATTGTAGAAGGCGCTCGAATCCGAAAGATTTGGTAGCAACCCACACAACTAGGCAGGCGGCAGGAAGCACAGAGCACCTACCTCGGAGCACTAGTAGCACTACCTTAACAGCTCCAGGCTGGCACTGGCACTGGGGGCCAACTGGTGCTGCCACCACTGGGCCGCTGCGGACCGGACCCTGGCAGGGCTGAACGCACTGTACACTTAGAAATCCCGTCTCCTTTTCCCCCTCCAAGTTCCCCTCCTCCCTCCCGTCCAGGGCTGTTCACTTTTTCCTATTCCTCTTTTTGGCTGTGCCAGGTACCTGGCCGAGCCTCTTCTTGCCTTTCCAGTTGCTGCCAGGTACTTCATTTTGTGTGGGACTCTTGCTCCAGATGCAAGTACCTGTTTCCCTGTCTTCCCCTCTTTGCTGACGTTGGCTTCACAGCCGAAAGAGCTTTCCAGCCCCCCTGCAACCCCACGAATTAGGCGTAAGAAGCATTCTGAGTGGATAGATGTCGCCTGCCTGCAGCTCTTAGTGAGGCGCATCATGGCAGACGCATGCACAAAACAAAATCTACCCCGAGCAGTCTGTTCCTTTGTGTCAACTAATGTAAGGCGATCTGAAATCTTTGATCTCCCGGCGAGACGAAAGTCTGTTCTTCGTCATGTTTCCCAATCCCTCAGCGTCGGAGCCGTCACCCATCCGGGCCCGAGCATCCAGCTGCTTGATATCCATGTATAGGTAGCCAGCATGCCAGCGTAACTTCGTCTTGTCTTCCAACGCGGGTCACCTAAGGCAGGCAGTGAGATCATCGTGGGCCCTTGCCGATTTCCTTATCCACCAGGGGTCTCATTTGCTGCAATACGGGCCGCCCGGAACGTGCGATTCGCCTGCCTACGTGATACTGACTGCCCGCACTCGGATTCCCAAACCATCCGCTGAATGACACAGGGGTGAGCATCTTTCCACTCGACTGGGAGACTTCTAATTCTGCCAATGGTTACCGATTGAATGGCATTTAGATTTCAGGATGAACTTAGAGCTGCAGTCATTGACTCAAAATGCGTTTCCTGTTGTTGCCAAGATACCAGTTCAGCCAGCCGAACGAAGCTCTCCTAGCCACCGTTCGGCGTCAAGCACCCGGATCGCTTAGTGCGATACTCGGTATATTCATGTCGCCCTATACGCGCACTCATTCGAATACATACATATCGGCTCTACTTTCCCCACGTGACGACTATCCCCCACTACGAGCCGTATCAGTCGATGCGGCAAGCAGGGAATGACGACACATCGCTTCCCAACCCAAGGCAGCGCTGATTGAACCTAGCAACCGACGAGGCTGGCGACAGCCTAACACAACGCGCTACGAAGAACCATCCACTAAATATCATCGCGACGCCTCGGATTCCAGGGCTCCCCGTATTGAAGGTCTTCTCAGGCCCTTTTGTTTGTCGGTTTGCACAACATGGAGACACTCAGAGCCATATTCGTAAAGCCTGATCCGCAGCAACAGGTAGGTCACGCCCGTTTTGAATCATGGATCTAGAAAGGCTTCTAACGAGCTTGTGCCTGAACAGCTGCGGAAATGCAACGCTCTTATCCGCTCGAATATCCGTAAACTCGACCGCGACATCAACCAGGTTAGGCAAGTCGAGGCTAAGACGAAGAACCTCATCCTCCAAGCCGACAAGCGAGCCCAACGAGACCCCACGAGACAGAAGCAAGCACAGAAGGAGGCCCGCGACTTTGCGCGGGAGCTTATCCGCGCGCGAAAGACGAGTAATCGCCTAGTCACGTCTAAGGCGCAACTCAACAGCGTGCAGATGCAGGTCAATGAGGCATTTGCCGTTAGGAAGATTGAGGGCAGCATCCGCGCAAGCGTCGGCGTGATGAAGGACGTCAACCGTTTGATTCGGCTACCCGAGCTGGCCGGTACGATGCAGGAATTGAGCGCGGAGCTGATGAAGGCCGGTATCATCGAGGAGATGGTTGGCGAGAGTCTGCCCGAGGACTTGGACGAGTTCGAAGAGGAGGAGGCCGAGGGCGAGGTCGATAAGGTCCTCGGCGAGATTCTGAAGGACCGCATGTCCAAGGAGAAGCTGCCCGCTGCGCCGGTCACGCAAGAGCCCAAGCCGGTCGAAGTCGAGGAGGAGGAGGAGGATGCCGAGGCTATGATGAATCAGATGCGCAACAGACTGGAGGCATTGCGGAGCTAAAGCCTTGCATATCGATAAATACGGCGTACGGTGTTTTATTTTGCGGGCCGGGTCAGTCAGTTTGGCTTTCTTGCAGGCAACATGTTGCATTGGTCTGGAGACAGTGACGAAGACATGTCCAGACTTGGAGGAGCCTCTGACAGCGATCTATCGGGTTGTTTCACAACCCCACGGTTGCTATGGCTCATGTCGTGCTCTCGGGTCATCTTCATCTTTCGTCTGGCGTTTGGAGTAGCCATGATTCAGAAGTAAACATTCTCTTCACGTTTTGAAAGACCAGATGACCATTGATCGAAGGGCATCCTATGAATTCTCTCGCCTGGCTATTTGAGTGAAGTCAGAGATCTGGGAAGAGAGTCTTTAAATGAGAACAATGAACTATATTCTCCCAACACAATGGTTTCCGCCAGACTCCTAGTGACAAGGGAAGTAGTGAATAGCTGATGATAGCAGATACAACGAGCTGGGCCAACAGAGGACATACTCTTTGATCCGCCATGCCTGATCACTTTGCGGTAGCTATTTTGATCCAGCCTGCCTCCCCCGGACTACCTGATGCCAGGTTGTCTGGAAGCCCAGCCCTGCATATCATATCCTCACCACGTCGGCGGCCCTCGCTGTAGGATGTCCGCCGAGTCATACATGGCCACTTTCCTGCTAGAAACAACATCGATGCCGTCGGAATCTCGCAAAAGCGTCTGAGCACTCTTCCTTGCTTTATTTCCGCCTCGTTTTGACCTTGAACTTGACTGATTTCCTGCCTGATCCTTCGTGGCTATCTTCCGTGTCTCCCCGTTGAATACAGCTTTCACCAAGGCGATGGTTCAGTCATGGACGGGTCTTGCTAGCCATCTTCTCAGTCACAAACAAGCCTTACGACTCCTCTCATTAGCGATACATCATAGAAACCGTCGAAACCCATGGTTTACCATGTTTACCCGCTTGGAAGTTGTCCCCCTAGCCTGAGCCTCCATTCCCACATTCTCAAAGAGTGTCAAGTTTCCACACTCAACCGACAGCCTGCCTTTGCTTCTCCCAACTTCATGATCTAGAGAACCCCAAGACACTCCACCAGGAGTTCATTAGTCTGAAGCTGAGATCATTTTGGTTCCTAGTATCCGTACCTCTCCACGGCCTGCTTTCTAAAGAGCTGACAAGCACTTCCGCCCGCCGCGGGGATCTCCTTTGAGGGATCTTTGTATAGAGATAACAGTTTGACCTAGTAAATGGGCAAGATACTAGTCCAACAAGCAGGACTGAGATGGGAACGGCTTCAAATACCAAGAGGAGATGGGACATGAGCTGGAGAGACGGAGAGCGGGAAAGAAGGAAGATGAGAAAGGGAGGGTACCTGTTGCAACCTGGCTGACAATGCTGAGAAAATTTCTGTTCACGATGCTCTCATACTTCACCGCGACTGAGCCCGAAGAACAAACAATCCCACGTGCAGAAATAATAGGTGCTGACACACGCACAATCAAATCTTAGGAATCGGCGCCTCCACTCTAACATGGCGGCATCGGTCCCGATAGTCTCCGCAACGGAGCGGGACGCATCTCACCAAGCAAAGCCACCGCCTTATCAAATACCGACATGGTTCTTAGCTAAGCCGTCAACGTCTGCCCCGTCTTCCCATCGCCAAGTAGGCAAGACGTCATGTTCTGCATCGTTGCGTTGGCGGGGCTGGGGGAAATGAGATGCTGCAGCTCGACCATCTTACACAATGCTTTGCTAACCCAGCCTGCTGGCTCGAATTGCGTAGGGTCCACTCGGTCACATCAGTTCTGTCAAGCTTAGTCAAGCCCACGCATCGACTCCCTCCCAGGTAACAAGATCTCGGAAGAAATCCCAATTCCATGATGGAGACCGGATTTACAGAGAAGAACGACAAAGCTGACCTGTTTTCTCCGCAATCTCAATATGCTGGTGTGGGTCGCACCGAGCGGAGTTCCACCTCAAAGCAACCCATGGCCGCTCGGTAAGCGTGAACCACCCAATGACAAACCTCACAAACTACCGAAGAGGCTTGATGTCTTCGCTGCCGACATTGGATGAACCGGGGGAGCTTACTAACGTACAACGTTTTTGGTTACCGCATGCTTGTCAAGCTTCGAAAGCCATGCGGCTTTTCCCATCGTCGACTTCAGCATGTTTCCTAATGGGGAAATTTCCTGTCAAGGAGGGACGGGCAAGGCTTCGACGATGCCCTGCATCTTGCATACCATCTATTTGGAAGTGCTTCCTATGCCGATGGGATTTGGGGCTATTGGAAACCCCACAGCTTGATAACGCGTTCGGCTTGGTCATGGACAGCCAGACGTCCGTCCGCGATGCTGGCTGGCTTGACGGAGTCTGCTCCGATGTGAGGGACTTTGGTCACGAATGCTCCTCTGAGTTGGGGTTGTTTCTGCTTCTACTGTGTATCGTCAGATTTCTGTATAAGAAGAGAGAAGGGCCTTGCCTCTAGTTGCCGTTTTTCCTTCCATTCTCATCCAGCAGACAATTCAAGAACAGTCTCCTTCATCTCAAAGACTTAACCGGCTCTCCAAAAGACCAGACCTCAAGACATCCTCTTTCAAGATGAAGTTCTCCATGACTGTCGCCGTCTCGGTGCTCTTCTCCGCCGTTGCCAACGCTGATGGTGAGCTCCCCATCTAATGACTCCATCTCAAGCCTCGGAGATAGCACAGCTTTACTAACACAAGAGCCAAGCCGTCCCTTGGGAGAGGCTCAACAAGAACGACTCGATGCTGCTCGTCGTCGACATGCAGGAGGGTCTCTTCAACCTCGCCCGCGATTTCGATCCCACCCTTTACCGCAACTCGATGCTCGCTCACACCTCCCTGGCCAAGGTCTTTGACCTGCCCGTCGTCCTGACCACCTCCGCCGAGACCGGTATGAATCCCTTCAAGCTCTGCCATTACTTCATTAACGCTGACAACCAAAACACAGGTCCCAACGGCCCCCTCCCCCAGGAGATCCTCGACATGCACCCCACCGCACCCCTGATCAAGCGCAACGGCGAGGTCGACGCCTGGGACAACGCCGACTTCCGCGACGCCGTCCGCGCCGCCAACAAGTCGCAAATCATCCTCGCCGGAATCACCACGGACGTCTGCACCACCTTCCTCGCCCTCTCCCTCCGCGCCGAGGGCTACTCCGTCTGGGCCAACGTCGAGGCCTCGGGCACCACCACCGAGCTCATCCGCGACGTCTCCAACGACCGCATGGCCGCCGCCGGCGTCCAGGTCGTCTCCCTCTTCTCCATCTCCCTCGACCTCATGCGCGACTGGCGCAACACCCCCGGCGCCCTCGAGCTCTTCTCCTGGCTCGACACCTACTATCCCGCCTACGGATACATTGCCCGCGGCCACCGTGCTGCCGTCAACAACGGTTCCGTCTCTGCGGCGCAGGAGACTCTGCCTCTGTGAGGGACTAGATGCAACACTTGATTGCTGTCTTCGTTGAGAATGGGGAGGATGGTATGATTCCCGAAAATAGTGACTGTGGAATATAAATGGTGGGCTTAGAACGCTCGACATGGTTCCATGAACTTCATCTTCTTGTCTCTCATTAATGAGCCTCCGCGGCTATTATAGAGATCTGGCATCTTCCCGGTGTCTTTGTTTCGCAACATTTCAAAAAAAGGATATAATAGAGAACTTTTTGACAACCATCCCTCGTGTGTGCTTTGAGAGAGAGTGAATGGCTTTGCAGCCTCTGTAATGAACAAACTGCCGGGTACTTTCAGAACAGCCAGACGTACGAAAAACGCCAAGAATCTCCTGTTGTACGCAATGAATCAACTTTAACTGAGTCAGTATCGTGCCGACGGACCGTTTGCAGATCATCCAGAGTACCCCAGTCCCCCGACTTCTCATATCCCGAATAGGCAAGTCACGGACCACCCGGCGCCGGACACACGGACCAGCACGGGGCCGACGGAGTGGGGCTCTCGCGCCGGGACCAAATGCAGAGCGCAACGTCTTCTTCCGGGGGGTGATAAGTGGGAACATTGACGCGGCCCGATGAAGCGGGCTCACAGGCAAGGGCTTTATCAGAGATCGGCGGTGAGCTGCGTGCGGTTCATGTAGGTTTGACAACCGCCGCGGATGCCGGAGGAGAGTTCCCACGCGAGAGAGAAGCCAGGGTTCGGGACCGTCCGTATGCGGATGGAGCAGCACCGTTAGATTGCGCAGTATGCGTGTTGTTGCTTTTGACGGATACGGAGCGGTACGGACGGAAAGATCTCGATGGTTGGTATGTATGCCTCATCTAAGCTGTTCACAGGAGCTTATAGATCCTGGCTTCACTCTCAGCTCAGGGGGAATGGCGTTTGCGGACATTGTGCCAGACCGCCATGCATGCCTCAGAGCGCCATCTGTATCAAACTTACGGTAGGTTCAGGTACAGACTGGGAGTAACATCTCAAAAGGTACTATTGATCGCGAGAAACATCAGACGCCCGAGGCTAATAATCACCAACATGAGGTTTTCTTCCTAGACGGTGGACAGAAGAAAAGGCGGTGGAACGACGATCACAATGACCAACACTCGTCCAAAAGCAAACGACTTTGAGTGTGGTCGATGCGTAACGCCCTCAACGGCGCCCCATATCCCCCCATAGACAACACGTCACTCATCGTAGCACAAAGAGCGGGGAGTCACGGTGAACAGAAAAGAGAAGCAAAGACAAAGCAAGCAGCCTGACGAAGGGGTTTCGTTCCCCTGAGGATCTGGCGTACTCGATCGGAGACAACGCAGTGGTGCATCTGCCAGTTGGCGGCCGTGACAGGGGGGTTCTTCTCGCAAACAGGACCCCAAAGTGTCCGGACTTTGACATCGTTGGAATGGAGCTGTCTTGGAACTCGCCTTGCTTTTGCTGTCTAGGTCAGGTTTGTCTTGGGTGATTATTCTGCCCTGGCGGATGTGTGTAATGAGACACCTGGGTGGAGAGCCCGAGAGACAAGTTCATTCTTACATCTGCCCGGTGCCAAGGATTCTCAGACAAGAGACGCAGAATTGGATACATCGGTCATTTTGGGCGTATGCATCCGTAATATTGTCATTTCTTCTCAGAAAGGTATTTTGCAATTTGTGATTATATCGATAGCGGTGAACACGGGTGCCGTATGCAGCTGAGTTGAAGAGGTAAGTATCGATGGATAGAGGGGTGGCAGAACCCAAGCTTGAGCTCGACAGGGGGGATTAGTTTCTTTCCAAAGGGATGCGGTTTCAGCTTGCGATGCTTCTGGCGTTTGCTTTTCTGGTGCTTCTCCTTGCCTCTTTCTTTTTTCTCTTCGGGATGCGAGCTGCACGATCGCGGGCGAATCGGGGAGGCACCCAAGCAACCCCCCCGCCCCAACCTTCAGCTTGGGTTGGCACGTCTGTCACCCGTGTCACGGCGGTACGGGTTACGCACCGCATGGCAGAGACACACCGCATACCTTATTTCGGATCCCCCATACCTGCGTAGCGGGTAGCGCACGTAAGGCGAGGTACATGTATTTGGGGATATCCTTCCTGCAACCCTAACGCGGAAGAGCGGGATGGGTGAGGAATGGGGGGCAGCTGTGGGTTGTGGTGTGTGCATTACGGCGCTCATGGCGGCCCGCTATCGGATTTGATGCAGCGGGAATGGGAAGCAGGAGACCGGGGGGTAGTAAAGAGAGGTGAAGGCCCTGAGGGTGCCGGCGCATGCAGCGATAATCAAGAAATCTGCGTTTGGCTTGCATGAGGTGCATGAGAGGGAAATCGCGGTGTGCAAAATGCAGAGTAAAGTCTGCGACCGACCGCTTTGCAAAAACAAAAAAACCTTCTTCTTTTGCATCCACATCACCGATAATTTCCATGGGTGAGTCACAGACTGATGAAGAGAGAGAAATGTGATTGCGACGCGCACGCAACAAACGGACGAGACGAGTAGGTAGACGGTTTTGGCATTCAAACGGTGATAGTAAACTGGATTGGCCATCACATTTACACAAATCGCCCAAACAGACGGCGAGCAACACGAACTTTGAGGGATGCGCCGAACCGTGATTGGAGCGCGGCCCTCGCACGCGCCCGACCAGTCAGGTCCCGAGCGCCGGCCATGGGGACATGGGACGCGGTCACCCAGACACTTTTCTTGTGTTGCACTCAGTCTTTCTGACCTTTGCGAGTGTTATTGGCATCCGCCAACTGTGATGAACAGTGTGATGTGATGGGGAGGCGCCCAACTGATTTCACGTCGCGTTCCAGAGATGGGGATTAGCAACTTGTAATGTCATTTGCACTTTGATTGTGTGGGGGGTTTTACTGGTGGGCATAAGTGATGGTGGGATGAGTATCGCGAATCGCGGCGAAGCCATTTTGAATGATCTCTTGATTAGGTTGCCGTATTCTTATGGGTGGATGCGAAA